TTGCAAACAAAACATCACCAAATCTCACAGGAGCGGAAAAAATTTATGGCGATATTTTTTTCCCCTGGCATTGAACGTTTATCCTGAATTATGACTCCATGCGGGGACAGCTGTTCACCCCGCACTTTATACCGCTGTAGCTACCACACAGGTAGGTGTTACATGTATTTCAATTTCGATGTAGAAAATGTTTTTAAATGTGTTGAAAGACATCTTCATAATAGTCTGCCATGTGACAGATAATAGCTGCCCTCGTGTCAAAAAAATACCTTCTAGAAGAAAAGAGTCCGAAAAAGAATATTAAATATACTCGTACAGACTATCAAAATATTAGGCAAATAACTACACTGCATATCGACACAATCCGCATAAACAAAATAACTTCACATTAATTTCCGTTCTATGCACCTGTTACGATCATGAACGCCCCAAAGTACAAGGGTTAAGGTAGGGCAGGCCACGTAGAAAAACACATAGCTCATTGAGTGGTCGGGCACAACCAGACCACTCTTTGGATTTGTTGCGATTAATCTTTCTTCTTTTTTTTCTTCTTTTTTTCCCGGACAATACTTCTCCGCGGGTTTTCTCATAAACGGTAAATGGTATGAAATTGTAACTTTCAATATATATCGACCCTCATCCGAAGTGGTGCATATTACTCGTCATGATTATGTCATCAGGTGTCAAAATTACAAGTGATTTTAACTGAAAAAAAGTGACCAAATACTTTCACTTATAACTCTTGAACTAAACATTCAATGATGTTTGTATTCTGTAATCAGATAGACCATTAATCGCTTGACCTTTACTCCCGGGTCTACCGGAAGGTCAAACTTAAATGAAATCAAAATGAAGACGTTAGCCTGAAATCAAAACAAAGCAACATTTCTTTCGAACGGTTCACGGTATGATCACAAAACCGAGTGTGAACTTGTACCTTGTTACGAAGATGTTATAATTTTTGTTACGCCATCGTGACGTCATAAGGTATCAAATTACAAGCGATTTAAGGGCAAATTTGGACAAAAGAAATATCTTTTGAACTAAATAGAGTATCGTGTTCGTTTTTTCGTGAGGTTGTAGACTATGCCGTGAGGATCAATTCTTGTCCCCAGACACAAAACTGCTTGACCTTTACTTCCGGTGTTATCGGAAGTACAATAAAAACTGAATATAGCTCAAAAGCGGAAGCATTTTGTCAGATTGAGCAATTTCAAAATTTGTTTTCCATCTAAATGTAGCTTATTAAATTGGCTTTCCACTCATCATTATTTTCGGTGCTACATATTTTTTAAATATGAAATACAATTTTGGGGGTGTGGGTTCCGCTTTTTTTACTCATCCTGTACGTTTTAATTTCAATTACATCGTAATCTGAAGCCATACCAAGCCTGCAATAAAGAATTTCAGACACAGAACTTAACACTTCACATAACCCATAGCCCAGGGATACCCATCCATGTTTATGGGGACATTTAGTTTGGTCGTAGCTGTGGGACTAATTGGTAAGATCAAAAACTCCAGATCTGCAGTGCCACTATCAGTAAGGATGTTTAGCGATCGAAGCTAGAGCTCTTGCCTTTCCCAGTCATTGTCAAGATATTCTCGTTTATTGTTGCAAAATGCTCGTTTTGTTTTATCTGTTTATAGGGCCGCATTCAGCGTTTAAAACTAGATCGAGAGGATCTTTTGCCTCCTACGTACTGCTGATTTAGGGTATGTGGGCCCGTGTATATTATAGGTCGGTGCGTTGGAAGTTGAACAAAGTACCATGAATCAAGATTGTTTGTACAAGGTATAGTTCCATTTCAAGTAGTACCAGCGATAAGTCAAGTATCGTGCTTCGGTATGTCAACATAGTACAATTATTCAGCCTTGACCCTGCAGTCCATATAGGCCTAATGCTGTTCCCAATTAAGCTTTGCTTTGGTATTCGAAATTGCGAACTTCTCGTTCAGTGCTTAATAATTAAAGTGATCATGTCTGGAAGCACAGAATGTGCCGGGAAGCACACAATGCCAGGGTTAATGGTCGAAGAGGCTTGGATGTAATATTAACAGTTTACTGTCTTTTGAAGTCACGGTTGGCTAGTGAACAAAATGATTTGTTTTGTGTTTGGCTTTTTTTCTGGCAAATTTGTTTCGATGAAACTTTGAAAAGTTAAATATTACATTTTCTATACGAAAACACTTCTCCAAAACGTATTGCTGTTACGCAAAACATGACGTAGATGATGAAAAATGTGGTAAAATATTACTTCACCAAGGTTTACCTAGTCCCTTTGGGAATAAAATGCAAATTAAGGTCAAAATAACGATGTGAATATGCATTTCGAAAACTGACTGTATCATGGACCCCTTCTGAAAAATACGTCAATTCATCGCGCACTGATCATTTGAAAGATTTACAGCAACGTTATCTGATGATAAATTCATCCTGTTGTTGATACATCTGTCATTAAAAAAAACACTTTACGACTCCACCCAGCTACAGCAGGTGCAATGACTCCACCCAGCTAGCAGGTACAGCGCGAAGCGCGGCGTCCCACTTGTATATGTTTAAAGAATTGCACTTTTGAATACAATTTACCAAAATGGATTTCAAATACTTTTCATACATTTAAGAGTAGTAGAAAGTTGTACGAAATGGGTTCTTTAAAAAAAATCATCGCGTGGACCTTTGAGTTTGCATCGCCCGAAACACGTGATCGTAAGGCCCCATCCACCTATTTCCTACCTTGCTTATATGAGTCTTTTCGTTGGTGTTTGGGGACTGCGTGCCATATCCATTCCGTAAACATGTCTAAGGCCTATAAATTATGTCCTGGGAATGTTCGGAATAATCGTGGTGACAAAATCCAAATGTTTAGGTACTTCTGCCCAGGGTGATTGTCGAAAGAGTATTACCTTGCGTCCCTAAGATCTACTTTTATTGGGAACAAGCTGGTTAATTGCCCGATAGTTTTCGACTTACGTAATTTTTTACGTGTCTGAATATATGTATATTGTTTTTATGTGCACATTGGGAAGACGAATTTCACTTTTAAAGTCTTTTAATTGGTGGACAATTAAAAGACTGGGGTGGACAACACATTAGGCCTACACTTGGGGTTTGTTCATGATACTTGGCTTATGAATGCAAACTTGTGCGTCTACGTCCGTTAACATTACCGCAAATTGGTACATTTCAAGCTTTTGTACTGTTCCCGATTTTAAACAAATGTGTCATACGTTTGGACTATCGGGAAGTTACAAGAGAACCTGAACATCGTCATTTCTTCCCATCACACACATCTAGGGGAGGGGAGGGGTACGTCATGATCCGATGCCCCTGTCAAATAGTGTGGGGGAGGGGGAGGGGTATATCCTCCCCATCCCTTTCGGGATTTACGCCCTTGCATTATATGTTGCATTGATCGCTTTCCCCTGATTCGCTACCTTACGTGAGGTAAAATAATACGGAAGACTTATTGTCATTTTTCACTTACCGTATCGTATAGTCTTGTGTCTGACTCACCAATAATGCCTCTCGTAGTTTATCAGTTTAGTCATATTTTCTTCACAGTTTTGGCCTACTGCCCATAAAGGGTGTGTTTATACTATCAATTACCGTTTGAATGGCGGATGGCCATCCTTGTCTGTTAACACCACGCTTAACATCTTCTTTCGTTGTCTTTCTAAATACGCTGTCCACGCACTGTTTCTTATAATACATGGCTTTTCGCAATACCGATCTTTTTCACAGTATACACTGCCGATAAAATGCATTGGCGTTTCATTGGAAGCTTCTATCTATGGAGGCTCTGAACAAAAACACTTTTAAAGAGGTGTTGAAGAATTTCCCCTGAATTCAAAGGAAAGGAAACATTAGATCTTTAAGATGCTCCTGTCGGTATTACCATGGGACTTTTAAGACGAACAACTGGGAAATTGTTGGAAAGAGGTTTCATACAGTTCACTGTAGACTCTCAATAAATCAACACCAGGGTTTTCGAGCAGAGTCGTTATTTTCTTGAATGGAAATCAGCTTGAGCTTGCTTTGTAAGAGCTTTCAACTATACATCATTAGAGTCCCATAGCTTTTTATCCTGAAAACAGCGATGGTTCTACATAGCTATGCGTGCGTGAAAGGGAGATCTGTAAAACTTGTTTTATCTTTGGTTTGAATCTAATTTTATTCATTTATTTAGTCCGTTTGTTGGTGGGTGGTTTGTTTGTTTGTTGTTTGCTGGGGGTGAATGTGTTTGTTTGTTTGTTTGTTGGGGTGTTGGGGTGTCCTTTTGTTGTTTGTTGGAGTGTTGGGGGTGTTTATTTGCTTGTTTGTTTGACTCACTCCGTTTATGTCACCACCAATATAGTCAACACAAGCATTATGTTACCATGGCATTTAATTCCGCTTAGCTTACTCTGCAACAAACGAATGCAAAAAAACCCAAACGGGATAGGGCCAACGTTTGTATAATTATCTGAATATGATTAGAAAATTCACGACGTTTCTTTTAATATGGCTTCGCTTGACCGTGACTGGGTTAGAGAGTTGATTTTTGAAACTTATCTTGTGTGAAACGGTCTTTAGATTTTGACTCTCTCTGACTTTTCCTGTTTTTTTTTTTCAAATCACAATTGTTTTCCAGCCTTTTTACCATCTCAATTTAATGGTGTTTATAAGACTAAGCTATTTTCACAAGCTGTTGACAGGATCGTCCAAATCCTTTGGGATTGGTTTGTCTACAAGGTCATTAACGAATTATTTCAGCGGGTTGTACCACAAGGACAAGCATATCGAAGGGTTTGATGAATACCGTGTAGCTGCTTGTACTTGGACTGGACAGTTCTAATAGCTTCGATAAGATCAAATTTGCATCAACGCCATCGCCCTCAATTTTCTTGTGGGCGGAGTTACTAGCTAAAAGCTTAATATAGGCCCAATATAAAACCAGACCGAAGCACTTATAGCTCGGCGTCTTCTTGTGAGGCACACCTCTGCTTGCTCGTGTATTGAGTGTTTCTTAGATTTGTGCACGGTTTATCTGTTTGCTCCGCTATGTCTACGCGACGTGTGCTGCTGTTGGCGCTCCTCATTCTTGGACCCGTCAATGCCCGGTTGACAGAGACGCAGAAACGAGAGATCCTGCAATATCACAATGACTTCCGGAACAACGTGTATCCAAAGGCTGCCAACATGGTGAAACTGGTGAGCATATTGGGCTCTTTTTTTGGTGGGGGGGGGGGGTTAAAGGGGCTGTGCCAATCACCTTTTGGTTTTGTACGATTTTTTGTGTTTTCCCCGTTTTTTTCCGTTCAAGAATTCTTCGCGAGTTTTCTTCGAAACGATACAAAGTATGAACATGACACTTGGAACAAGCATAGACTGTGATGACGTAATCAATAAATAAAAAAATGATCATCTTCTATCAATTATAACTCTTCAGAGAAATGAGCAATCTTGCTCACGATTTGTGATCTGATAGAGCTTGCTTTGGTGAACATTTTTGTCGTGTACGTACGTAGAGTTGCTCGATTTTTACTTACTATATTTAAACACCGCGAAAGAAGCACTTAGATTAAAACTAAACGGATTTTCTTCAAAAAATCTCAAGAAACGAAGATGAAACCATTTACAAAACATCAACCATTGTCCTTTAGACGTAGCATATTTTTTGACGTCATCATGACGTCATCACATTTAAACTTACGAGCGATATAAAGTCTGAATTGGACAAAATAGTTTGGATTGCATCTTTTCAGGGCGGCACATGAGCGAAATTTAAGCAAAGGCACTCGTTAAAAAAGGCCATAACTTTTTTGTAAATAAAACCGCACTTGTTCTTACATGGGCATTCGTAAAGAAAAAAAGGCACTCGTTAAAAATATTGGGGAGGGGGGCGGGAACGCTGGTGAAAAAAGGCTCTTGAATGGAAAAAAAGGCAGTCTTTACCAATTTGAAAATTTTGGGGGCCAAATACCCCGCTTAACCCCCCCCCCCCTTCCCCGCTGGCTACGCCTATGATGGTGTCCCCCAAAAATGTGATATCCTTAAATTTCTTTTAAAAAACCTGCTTAACATGACTATTTCATCTCGATAGAGCATATTTTTTATACTCTTGTTTATATTCAGTGAAAATGCCATGGAAACCCGTTCATGCAAATCGGAGATCTGACAAATTGTGCCTATGGGTTTTTCACCCATTCTAATGGGATAGGATTTACACAGTATTTACATCAGAGTGAAAAGGCCCATGACAATCTGAATCACTGATATCACTAACGGTGATGATGTATGTGGGTGAAAAACCCATAGCCTTTTACAATCTGTTAGATCTCTGATTTGCAAGAACGGATTTCCATGACATTTTCACCGATTATACGCAAGAGTATTATGCTCCATCAACATGAAACACTCATGTTAAGTAGGTTTTTATTTTTTAGAAAGGAAAGGATATCTGCTTGCACAACCTTTACAACTTCACGAAGTGTCTACATAATACATTCTTATTTTGTCCGGTCAGTCATGGGATGACGACCTGGCCCGCAAAGCTCAGGACTGGGCCGACTCCTGCGTCGACGGACACAACAACGTCAAGTCGAACAGTCGATGGGATTGGATCGGGGAGAACATGGCCTACAGTACGGCGACAGATCTGAGGGGGATGGTGAAGGGATGGGAAATGGAGGGGAAAATCTACGATTATGGGAGCGACTACTGCAGGACTGTACCAGGGGATCCCATGAAGTCATCATGCGGCCATTACACACAGGTTGGTATATGGCAACCTCGTTCCCATGGGTATGAGATCTTGCTCCGCCATGTTGTTTCCCATAATGCCTTGCGCGATCTCAAAGTCGAGGCTGGGTATATATGGGCCTTATTCGCGAGTTGGCCATTTTTGTCGAGTTCCCTGAATGTATTTCATTTAGTTGTTAACTGTTGAATGGGATGGCGCCAGACCTTTTAAGCAGGCACAATGCAGCCTTATATTACTGCCATTTTTTTTTTTTTTTAAATATGGCTTTAAATATTAGGGAATGTTTAATTACAAATGTTAACTTATTCATTGAAGCAGACTGGAGTTTATTATACATTAGCTTGCTTTCATTTCTCTTCGCAAGTTCCAAAAAATAAGATTTTACCTATAACTTTCAATTCAATATGGCCGACTCGTGAACAAGGCCCATACTCTCGGACGTAAGACACACCTAAACTTGTGTCATTCTTATATAGACAGTGTTGTAGTCGAGACTAGAGCCCCCTAATCTCCAAAAAAATGCAAAGTACTTCAAACATTACCATATAAGTACTTAATTTGCCGATCGAGTTGGGGGGGGGGGGAAACTCACCTTTTGGGGCAAATCGGGAAAAATAATGATTTTGCCAAAAAGGAGGAGTCCCCTTTTGCTAGAATCTGGAACACCAAAAGCTAATTGATTTGATGAATATTGTCTCCAAACAAGTTTGTACCAGATTTGAAAGCATTTAAATGAAATATTCGTATTAAATTGTAGGAAAATCGACGGAAGCATATAAAGATCAGGATGGGAAGCACAATGTACCCAAGCTCGGTCCCTAGAGGACCCAAAATATCCCATCAGTCATGATATAAAAGGCATATAGGGCCACAATCTCGAAACACGATTTCGTTAACGATCAGTCAATTGAATGATCGTTGAAAATCAACTACATCTCTTGAATTCTTCTACAAAATGACAGCAAGACTGACGGAATATTAATTGCATGGAGTGGCAGTCCAATCTTTAATCCAAATAAGCTGTTTGGTAATGATTGGCCATCTATGGTGATAAATGCAAATGACTCTAAATGCCTTTAACATCACCCTCTTTTCAGATGGTTTGGGCCAACACCAAGTTCCTCGGCTGTGGCTTCAAGACAGGTTGTCCGGGCTACTTCTCCAACCGCCTCGTCTGCAACTATGGAGAGGGGTACGTTGAGAAAAACAAGACTTGTCAAGCTAATAGCCCCAAACAAACTGGTCCAGCAGTCAGTGAGATGGGTAATAGACTGACCCTCTTTGACTAGCAAAGTCATTTTTTGGCCCAGGTTAGACTCATGCAAGACTTGACGAGTGACAAGTCCGTCAGTGAGTCGGGTACAATGAGTACCTTGTGGGCTGGCCCACTATGATGTTAAGTCAAATAATTTGGGCCAAGGTAAGACCTTTGCGAGTCTAATTCACAAGTGACAATCTGGGAGTCAGTCAGTCAGGGAGAAAAGGGATTAAAGGCTGGCCCCTCTGAGATGAGAAGAAATATCAAACTTTTTTCCCCTTATCGTCATTGTACAAATGTAAAAATATTCAACGTGAGTTGCGCAAGTAAATTGAATTCCGAAGGGGCCACCTTATTGCAAAATCATGATACAAATCAGTTTATTGAAAAATATCGAAGGACATGCTGCAGCATATAATTGACACCCCAGTTAAAACTCCCCAGCATTCCAATAAGTCTAAAATTTGATCTGTTCTTTGTTTCAGGGGCAATTGGATCGGTGAAAAGCCGTACGAAAGCGGAGGCAAGTGTAGTCGGTGCCCAAAAGGATACAAACGTTGTAATAGGCGATTGTGCGGTATGTATGAATGGATTAGATTAGGGCTCGGGTTAAACGCTTATTGCCAAGCAGACGCTCCTATGGGCTCCGTGCACAAGTACTCCTTCAACGGCCAGAAAAGGAGAGTTGGGGGAGACCTAGACTGGTCCTGCATTTTTGAAAAAAAGGAAGGAGGAGGCCTTTTCCCCCCTTTTTTTACAAAATGGCCGACCGACCCATTTTCCAAAACAACCGGCTTTCAAGATGGCCACCAGCTTTTTTTTAATTGGCCGCCACTTAGACTCAGGAAATGACATAACAGCTTTATGTGGCCTAGATGCAACGGACAAAGAGGCCAAAATGATGTCACTGCTTAAAATTGATCTTTTTTACGTTTTTTTTTCAATTAAAAAAAAAAAAAAAAGGAGGGAGCCTCCAAAAAGGAAGCGGGCGGGGACGCTGAACATGTTTTTTTTTTAATTTGGCCTAATAGCTTTGGCACATTCAGGAAGTCGTGCGTACTTCGCGCGCGAACCAATACAGTAAAGTTCGTCCACGGGGCTCTCAACAGTGGTAAAACGCACCCTCTTTTGTTGGTGCAAAGAGCCCATAGGGTGGGCTTTTATATTTATATTACGGTACCATTGGCATTGCGCTTTATTCGCAAACGTCGGTATGCACGTTTTTATAGCTCATTTCTCTTTGTTATATTTTTATCTGCAGTCCGTGGATAGACGATGCTGACGGAACCTCATTCAATGAATCACGAGAATAATGATGGATAGGTATATCACAGCACAAAGCCACCACTTTATTAGCATAGAAGTATAATGCATGTTTCAGCCATTAAATTTTGTCGTTTTCAATAAGTGAAGAATTATAGTTGATATCTGTTCTGTAAAACTAGGCCCATTTTTTTCTCCAATTTTATGTTATTTTCAATTTTCATTTTTCCATTTTGAAGGGCATTTTGGTGCCTGTTTGTTTTTTATGCTAATTCGAATTTCCATATTCATGAGCAAAAGCGTGATGTCATTTCAGGCAGAAACCTCAATGTTATACAGCTATTTCAGAATCAGATTTGCCAAAATTTTGGATATTTTGCTTTTGTAAATGTTCTTTTCTTCGGTGATACGTTGTATGTAGGACACGACAGGAAGCCTATTAATGAACACATTTTTCTCACAAACGTTTTCAGTGAGCAAATTTTGGACTCACTTTTTGAACAGAAATCCACTTAACTGAGCAGTGTCTTCCTAAGATGCCATCATTGTAACAGCGCCCTCCCAGTTGCCAGGAAAAGCATGGACAATTTTAAATTAAAAAAAAAGTGAACTTTTCTGTAAAATTAACCAAAAAGGAATGTCAAATAGTTTTCATACATTTAAGAGGTGTAGAAAGATGCACAAATTGTTTTTCAAGCAGCCTAATATGCTTCCCATTAATCTCATTAAGATACAGATAAATATTGCTGGTATAAAAGTTGTCAGTTTGTGAAGGAAAGTGAAATGATGCTGTAACCCGTGCATTATTAAACTCAATCAAGTGGCGACCTTAATTTTTTTTAAATTTTTATATTTTTTCAATTTCATATTCCCCGTATGTAGGTTTCCTCACTTCAGGTGTTCTCATTACCAAAACTACTATCTTGTGACGTGGGAGCGGCTGACTAATGTAATAATGCTAGTAAAATGGGGCCAAAAATGATAAAAGGAACGCTAAAGTTCCTAAGGTTATTACCCTGCGTCCACAAGTTCTACGTTTACTTAAATAAAGGGCATCCGTGTTACTACTCATTACTCAGTAGACTTGTGTGTATTTAGATCATTTTACGTGTACAACTGCATGAAGCTTTCTCTGATTCGCTAACTTATGTGACGTCAAATACAACGGAAGTATAGTCAGTTTTCAACCACTTCTCGCCAAGATTATTTTTGCCGAAAATTTCGATTTTCGCAAAAGGCAAAATTTCCAAACCAACTTGTGATATCCAGCCAAACGCCACAAATACTGATTCGCAAGAGTCATTTCAACAGTGTTTTGGGGCAAGAGGTTCCAGGGGGTAGTTCACTGTAGACCATCCTCAATTAATCAACACCAGTGTTTTCGATCGAGCAGAGTCGGCATTTTTTTTCCAATGGAAATCAGCTTGAGCTTGCTTTTTCATAAGAGCATTCAACTATCAATCATTACAGTTGTTTGTATATGGAAAGTTCTATAGTTCGATAAGCCCAGGATGGCACGATAGCCTAGTACATCCCACAACGGGAGTGACTTTGTAGCATTGCATCGACTGCGTCAGTGCCATCACCCTCAGTTTCTTGTGGGCGGAGTTTACTGGTTAAGCATCAGGCCTATAAAACCAGAACGAAGCGCTTTTGGTTCGGACATTGTGAGGCACACCTCTGCTTGCTCACGTATTGAGTTTCATAGATTTGTGCACGGTTAAGCTGTTCGCTCCGCTATGTATACGCGACGTGTTCTGATGTTAGTGCTCCTCATTCTTGGACCCGCCAATGCCCAGATGACAAAGCCGGAGTTCAAAGAATACATCCTGCAATACATCAATGACTTGCGCAGAAACGTGGATCCTGAAGCCGCCGACATGCCGAAACTGGTAAGCATATTCATTGGGGGGGGGGGGGGGTGATAGGGCTGTGACCATTAACCTTTGATTTTGTGCGGTTGCCTTTTTTTTCCGTATGCAGTAATTTTCCGCGAGTTTTCTTCCAAACGATATTGGGCAAGAACATGAAACTTCCAACGAACATAGACTCTATAAGCTCGATTTGTGGCGGTAAGAGTGCTCCCGATGGTACAAACATTACCAAACATACGTGCCCCGATGTCTTGCGCGTCAAGAAATCGATGGGTAAACAAATTACAAAAGAACGAAAAAGAACAGTAAACACATTAATAAACATGTCAAAAGTTAAAAGATTAATAAACATGCCCACATCAAGATGCCCCTTATATACTTTTACAAACTTTTAAACTTTTAAGTGGAGAAGATCGACAGTGAAAAAAAATCCAGAAAATTCCTTAGCCCTTTTTTCGTTAATTATTTCGTTACATCATCTATCCCTCGTATCACTTAATTTGTTTATTTTACAGTCACACAGATTTTGAAAAAATGAACCTCTGAGGAAAATAGGAAGATATATCAATTAAAAATCTTATTAACCGTACATTGAAAACAAACTGTTGAGCTCGAGTTGTATCTACGATCCGTAAATAAATCTTTATATCGAACTTATCTTGCCCTGTTTATATGTTCTGCAAACAAGCTTTTTATAGAAATTGGAAGGTATGTAGGTATCGAATAGGACCAGCGAAATTGCCCTCACTGTAATCTGGAGGCTGAATCGGAGATCCATTTTTTACTCAATTGTCCAATATACAGTGCTCTTCGGACTTCGGGAACAAATCTTTAACTTTGTAAGTGGAAAAAAAATGCACCTTTACAGTTGCTTACAAACAGTCAAAAATCTATATTTCTTCTGAGTTCAACAGATGAATCTATTATCAATGGTGTTGCCAAATTCGTCTTTTTATTTATGAACTTAAAAGAAAATCGTAATGTCTGATGGCTCTTGATGACTTTGCTTTCGCCTGCCAATGTATATTTAAATATTCGAGTTTAAAATATTGACGTATCCCTTCCCGGCTTTAACCCCACCGGCGGCGGAACCGGGGGGCAGAGGGGGCAGTTGCCACCCCACTTTTGAATAGGTAGCTATTTTGCCCCCCCCCCCACTTTTTACCAGGAGCGATTTTAAAAAACGAGGTTAATTAAAATGATACAAGAGGTAAAAAAGATTTTTGAACACGTGTCTCATTTATCGAGCCCTATTAATAGTATTATGTACTACAATGTATCTTTTGCTCAGAAAATATTGGTTAAAGTGGTCAGAAATTGCCTCAGATTGCACCACAGAGCATCTAGAATCCAATTTTTTTTTTTCGGTGCCCTTAAGCGGGCCCCGAACCCCACGCCTCAAGGGCTTCACGCTCGCATCAGTTCTGATCAAGGTATGTCCCCCCACTTTTGAAAAGCGATTGACACCCCTGGTTGGGGTTGAAATTTGACAATAGGCCTTATACCTAAGTGAGTATGGCGACACAAAATTAGAAAAATGATACGAAAAATAGGGATATACCGTAATTTTCGGAATATAAGCCGCGCGGTGTATAAGCCGCAGTAAACATTTTCATTGGCAAAATCAAGCCGCGGCTTATATTCCGAAAATTACGGTAGGAATAGTCCACATGCATAGGTTAGCAGACATTACGTAGGTCACACTTTCGTTTCGGACCAACTTCACACTTTTCCCATTTGCTTTGATTTTGCTTTAATCCTGCTCCGGGAACAGTAACTGGACCTTGCCCCCCCACTTTTAAAAGTGTTCCGCCGCCGATGTTTAACCCTAAAGGGGCCGGGGCGGAATCCGACCCGATCTTTCCTGACTTTTTAGCCTCGAGTCGTGCGCATCTTTTGATACCAAAAACATAAAATTCCGACAAATTTCACATTTTCCATAATGTAGTGTACGCAAAGCGGAATTGCCATTGGTGCAAATGAATAGTTAATTAGCCGATAATTCCAAAACCCTTTAATCTATAGTCCTGAATTCTTTGGGGTATGTTCATATTAAGTTGTTCTATGCATGCGACAAGTTTCATAATTTGTTGTCACTCAATGGCAAAGATCTGAGGGGGGCCGAATCCGCCCCCCCCCCCCCTTCCGGCTGTGAGATGGTCAAAATAACCCTGCTCCTTTAGGGTTAAGGGGTGTGTTCCAAGTTAGAATGAAAAAACAAAAAAAAACAAATGAAACTAGAGGTTGTAGGAACAACCACACGGTGTTGGGCCGTTGATTACCGCAAACTTTGCCACACACAGCAACTCAAAGTGTTATTTTAAGATGGAATTATTTTTTTTGACACACTGGGTATACAGTGTTTAAACGTCGGTGAAGGGCAAAACCTATAACTTGATCAACTCAAAGTGCATGTTTAATTCATGTTTGACTTAGTCAACATGCCGCTAGAGAGCGCTCTAACATTTTATGACGTCACCTGTTATATTGTTTTAAAGTACAGCCTATAGGCAGACACTCACATCGTTGAAAGCAAGTTTACATCTTTTGCCAATTTCAAATTATAAGGCACTTCCGGTTTCGAGCGGAAGGAAGGGTCACGTGATTTTGCACTTAATTCCAAAAATGAAGACCCTGCAATATTGTATCGATTGCCATAAAAACAAAATCAAATCTGTAACGGTTGATTTTATATTGATTTTCAAAAATTAAATATAACAATCTTTATTTGTTTGTAATGAGATACTTAATGACGTCATTGTGACGTCATTACCAGAAAGCTCAAGAGCTATGTTAACTGTGCTATATATAGCCAAATCTTGATTATATCTCTCACAGTTGACTTTTTAGCAATTTTTTTTAAGGTTTAAAGGTCTTTTCATTGTAACTTCCGGTCTGATGAGTGACAAATTAAGTGCTTTGCCCAAGGGCACACGCACCATAACCCCAGGGTGAAATAACAAGAATCATTTAAGTCCATACACTTCTCTTTTTTTCGCCATAACTGATTGCAATGGTACCTCACCAGTTTTGCTCTCATACCTAACAAGGGCGGATCCAGAACACAATTTTTGCCCCCCCCCCCCCCCGGATCCGCCCTTGATACCTAAACGGAGAAGTTTCAACAGTTCGTACAATGTAGCCACGAACCATTCTTTCGTTGGCTCAGAGCAAACTTTTTATTATGCCCTGCAAAAACAAGAAAGCCATAATAAAAACATGTATTTTTAGATGATATGCATATGTTACATAAACTCCAGGGACTCAGAGGCTCCGTCAAACTCCAAATTGAAGTCAACCGACACTGTTTCTGTTTTTGAGCAGTCATAATGTGAACCAAACAAAAAATTAGATCACGTCTCCCATATTAGGCAGCTTTTTTCTGCTTCTCATACTTTGACTGGATGGCTGGCTTTAAAACAAATTGTCATCACAAATTAATATTCATGAGTAGAAACGAGGAAGAACAACTGTTTTCATCAAAGACAAATGGACATTTCACCCTCTCATTTCCAACAAGCCTCCTTCTACAGTATCAGATTTAGAGGGGGCGGTTGCAATCCCCTCCGCCGTTCAGCAGCGGCCTAATTTTATAAACTATTACAATGGGACCCAGAAATAATAGAGCAAACTTTTATTATGCCCTGCAAAGACCAAAAAGCCACAAAATGCATTATCTTTTAGAAAATTAGCTTATGCAGAAAATTAATGATTCGTACAGTCTAGCCACGAACCATTCTTTCGATAATTCAGAACTTCATTTTATTACGTCTGTGCAAAGACAAAACAGCCATAAAACGTGTATTTTTAGATGATAGCCATGTGGTACATTAACTCCAAGGATTGTAGAGGCTTTGTCATAGAGCAAACTTTTATTATGCCCTGCAAAGACCATGCAAAAAGCCACAAAATGTATTATTTTTTACGAAAATAAGCATATTTTGTTGCTTAGCAGAAAATTAATGATTCGTACAGTCTAGCCACGAACCATCGATAATTCAAAATATCATTTAATTACGTCTGCGCAAAGACAAAACAGCCATAAAACGTGTATTTTTAAATGATAGGGACTTTAGAGGCTTCGTCAATTTCCAAATTGATGTGCAGCATCAGAAATGCGCTTCAAAAGTTAGATTATGTCTTCCATATTATTTGCCGAGGCAGCAACCAACTTCCAGTTGAGCAAGCAGTGATCAAACTCCTTTTTGGTCCGTAGTGTGGTTAGGGTTTGTGACTCATGATCAGAGGGTCAGGAGTTCGCATTCAGCTGCTGGCCATATGTTGTGTCCTTTGGCAAGCCACTGCATCAACACTTGCCTCTCTCCACACAGGCGTGTAAATGGGTGCCGGCATTACCTAGCATCCCATCCAGGGGGAATAGAAATATTCTCTGAAACCGGAGACAAATGCCGGCGCTGCCCATGGCCCAATGGACCACATTTGCTCCTGACATACTTTATTACTTAATTACTACTTTTTATCATCTAAAAAGTGGTGGGTAAATGCCCCATGCCCACCCTCGAAAAAATGATAAATTGAGAATATGCTGGCAAAAGTACAGGTATTTTTTTTAGGGGGGGGGGGGGGGATGTGCTTTGCCCCCCTCTAGAAAAAATCCTGGCGACGCCCATGGCATTCGACGTGGCAGTCCCTGCTGTGCGGCTGTACTGCATATGCACTGTACGAACTATTAATTGAATAATATACAACATAAAATATTTGCTTTTCACGACACCGGACGGCGGATTGAAAATGAGAGGGCGAATTGTCCACTACTGTTTGCCGAAAATATTGTCAAGGAATTGATCGCCCTGCTTTATATTCATGAATATTAATGAATATTAATTAGCATTGATAAATTGTTTTCAAAAGCCAGCCAGACAAACAAATTATGAAAAAAAAAAAAAAAAGAAGACAAAAAATGGGGTGTGATCGCTGTTTACTCTTTTTGAAGCTTGTTGTTGTCCCGTCAAATAATATAGAAGAAAATTATCCAACTTTATGAAGCGCATCTTGCTGCAGCTGCACATGGCTGCTCTAAAAAAGAAACAGAAGCGGCAGACTTCAATATGGAGTTTATGCAACATGTGCTTACATCTAAAAATACCTGTTTTGTGTTTTTTTTGTCTTTGTACGGGTATAATAAAATTCTGCTTTGAGCTAACGAAAAATTGGGTCGTGGCTGCGTCACGTGCAATGTGGGAATCTGGGTAAATTCGGAATTTGCCCAGGGCAAAGTGGGAATTCCAACATTGCGCGGCAAAGTGGGAATATTGCCTTTATGTACTATTAACATCAATAACTCTCATAAAATCACCTTTGAACCATTTGCTGCTAGAGGGGGGTATTTAAATATTCATCGGCTTTATTCCTTTATTTTGTTACCACCTAACCCACCAAATGTTTTGGGAATCATTCGTGAATTACTACATTTTAAACTCGGGAGGAAGATTCCCCTTTCACTAATTCCAAATTAACCCAGATTCCAACATAATGTGCTACTACCGAACCAGGGCAACAGTGGGAATTTCGTTCAATGTTGATGTAATTTGCTATAGGAAAGGGCTGTTAAAATTACCTATTTGGTGATATTCCTTCATTGTTCTACTTCTGAACCTGAGCAAAGTGTGAGTTTCCGTCAATTTCGATGTAAGAGCTATTGTTAAGGGGTATTGAAATTACTATTCCTACATTGCGCTGCTTCTAAACCTGAGCGATGTGGGAATTTCGATCAATCCGCTACACGTATAAGACGTGTGCAAATGAAACATTGGTAATATCCCACAATTGCCCTACTACTGAACCTGGGCAAAGGGCTGTTCAAAGTACCCAGTAATATTCATACATTGCCCTACTATTGAACCTGGGTAAAGTGGGAATATTCCTACTTTGCCGGGCAGTATTGGAATTCCCACATTGCCCAGCCGGGCAAAGTGGGAATTCCAACTTTGCGCGGATTCCCACTTTGCCCGCGACAGCTGTCTGTCCTCTGTACAAAATATTAAATGTTCTTCATCAAGACATGAGAGGAAATCTCGTGATGTACGAGTGGAGTCATGGCGAAATGAACAGGGTCCTCAATTAAGTTCAAATTGTTAAAGATGAGAATAGTTTGTCAATTTTTGGCCTGAAATCGCAGGCAAATTTAAATATGCTTATGTCACAATGGCGTAACAAATTGTTGGTACTTCTTTGGACAAGGGTTCCGTCAGTGATCTATACAAGGTTTCATCTTCATCCCTTGAACAGGTTTTGTTTTTGAATAAAGGTTGTTTGTTTTAACATTAATGATTTCGGTATTTTGAACTCACCTAACTTTGACCTTCCGCCTCAGCCGAATTGTAGGGGAAATTTGAAGATGATCATTTGTGTGTGTGTGTGATAAATACCCAGCATTAGATGTAATTGTGGGCAAAATAAACATGACAAATATGGTTTGGTGTATTTTCTATGTATGTTCTATGTATTTTCTATGTCGAACGCCCTAGAGGCATTAGATTCATCACTTTATCTTAGGCTACACCCCTCCCAAGGCAAGGGCGGAGGAAAATATATTGTGGTGTACGGCTGTTCGCAGTAGCTGCCTTTTTTGCGACGTCAAGTTTTCGTTTTTTTTTTTTTTTCGGGAGGGGGGGTGGGGAGGTTGTCCCGAGGTGAAGTTCCAGATCCACTTTTAGAATGCATAATAACCCCATATTATCTTCTGATTGTATCCGGTCAGTCATGGGATGACGACCTGGAGGCGAGAGCTCAGTATTGGGCCGACACCTGCTCCTATAATTACAGAGGCGCCACTACGCTACCGGACAAGCCTCATCTGGGTCGTATCTATGAGATAAAGACATCTTCACAGTCTACCGATCCGGGAGTGGCACTGGGGTATTTGGAAGAGGACAAGCAGTACAAAGATTTTGGGCCCGATTCCTGCCTCAGCTGTGACGAATACCTAAAGGTGAGCGCTCGATTGTTCGAAGGTTCGTCAATCCGAAGGTTCGTTAGTCCGTACGTACGTGTTTGCACTGAACTGGTTCGGGCGCGATATGTGCCAAAGCTTTTATGCGTTCGAATTTATCTTGCGATGGTCTCCCAGACTAATCCCCGCCCCCAATAACTTTGGATCATTCGAAATAGCAGTGGATGGACTGGGAACCAGCCTATAGTTCTCCCCCAACTCTCCTTTTCTGGCCATTGAAGGGGTACTGTACTTGTGCACGGAGCCCATAGCGCCTCTAACTAGAATTTATCTGAAGAATATGGTTCCCAATCATATTCAAAATAATCTGAAAGCATTTCAATGAAATTATAGAAATGTACACGCAATGAATGAGAAAAATGACAATAAATGAGAAAAAATATTAATATTTATAATATTTAATTATAAATTATAATATTTAATGGACTGCGTATAATAGCCAGCCAACATCATTCCTGTTAAATTTTTGGAAAATCCTCGTAAGCTTATACAGATTAGGCCATGAGGGAACAATGTACCCCTACTCGGTCCTTAAGGAAAGACCCAAATTGGCCCAGTCTGATAGGGTGTTAACATTAACAGCATATCGTTCTTTTTTCAGATGGTTAACGCCGACTTCAAGTACATGGGCTGTGCCTTCAAGACTGATTGTACAAAAAAAAGAAATATTGCCCGCCTCGTCTGCGACTTTGGAAGAGGGAGTGGAGGGTACGTTAATAGAAGAGAAGTAGTCTAGGCAATTGAAGCAGGTCCACGATCACATTGGTGTACTGAGGGGTCAGTCGGTCGGTCGGTCGGTCGGTCGGTCGGTCGGTCGGTCAGTCGATGGGTCGGTGGGTCGGTCGGTCGCCTTTTGTCAGTCCGTCGGACGATCGGTCGGTTAGAAAGAAATTACACTAAAGGCTGGCTCTCTGGGCCCAGCAGAAACATTAAACACTTCCCCTTAATGTCATAATTTGTACAAATGAAATATATTCGGGGAAAATCATATTGAGTTGCACAAGCAAATTCGATTCCGAAGGGAACACTTTAACCTTTATTTTATTGCAGAGCCAAATACAAATCAGTTTATTAAAATATTGAAGGACAAGCTACAACAGTTTGGTACCCCACTTAAAACTCCCAAACAATCCAATAATTCTAAAGTTTGATATTATTTTTTTGTTTCAGGCCGTGGCGTTACGAAGGTAGCAAGCCGTACGCAAGCGGAGGCCAATGTACGCAGTGCCCATCTGGATACGACACTTGTGATGCGGGATTGTGCGGTATGTTTTGTTTAAAAATCCAGCTCTTTATAAAATGGATTCCTGTTTCCCATGACGTTCGGGGAAACGTGATTGCCAAGCAGACTCAACAAATACTAGACTTGATGACAAGTCGTTAGCTAGTCGTATTTCACGGTCAGTGAACTTCAGTCGAACTTCATCGGCACGGCTGGTATAAGACTAGTACGTAATCGGCCGGGTTGCGACAAATCTGGTCTAGGGGCTAGACGTTGTTCTTGTTTGGTACGCGATAACCCGCCGCCGCGATAACCAGCCACCGCGTACGCAAACAATTACCGACTTGGCACCACTTTTTAGTTCGCCTGCGCCGCCGCGTGTATACATCGTCGCTTTGCTCACGAAGTGACAAAAAACCTCTAAATCTGGCAAACGTTCATCACGATTTTAGTCCCGGGTGGTTACGTTAACTTTAGTGTACGGGTACGGCACATGCGAGAACGTTTCGTGTATCCTCGGCTTAAATAGAAGTGTACGTCGATTCACATTACAGACTGGAATAATCTGTACCCGGGTTCAAACGTTTAAAAAACTGGGTTTGTACACAACGTATGCAGCTTGCTACCAAAATTGGACAGAGCACTCTGACTGGCTTAGAATCAGGAGGATATTACACCTGGCATTCACTGGTCTCGGACACGCGTGCTCGTGTATGGACAGTAAAGTTTTCAAGTTTGAAAGTGTAGTTTCAAAATGCTCTTATTTTTACCAGAATTAATTTCCTTGGCTGAAATTTGGAATCAATATCCCTTTTCTAAAACTCTTCCATTTACGACAAATCAACCCACCTTGGAAATTCCTAGTTTTTGAGTTCGTGAAAACCTTGTGGAGACGTATTCATCTATAGAAATTGCCCTGTGGAGACGTAAACAATCTTTTGTTCCTTATTGTGTGCATGTCTCCAGCGGGCACAGTGTATCAGATCGTGTGCACGAGAACAAAGAAATGTCTCCACAAGGATACAAATTTCAGTATGCGTGCACACAAGTGTGTAAACACCAGCGCCGTAACTAGGGTTAAGCTAGCTTCTAGGGGGCACCTGAGGGTGCACCAATTTTTCAAGGGGGCACTGCACTGATGGCATCGTATACATTGTTTGTGTGAATTCGAGATTTCAAATGGGGGGGGGGGGGGGGGGGGGCACACGGACCTGGGGGGGGGACACTTTCCCCCATGTCCCCCCCCCCCCCTCCCCGTAGTTACGCCACTGGTACACCTTCAATCGGGGAACCCCTATTGTCCCTCTTTTGTTTGTACTTTTTAGGTGAAACCGCCCATGTGTGTGGCGAATGCATACAACATAATACAGCCTGGAGCGAATCGATTGCTAGAGGGTCAAAGCTAATTCCTGGGTCATTTGGTATATATTCCATGCATCATAATTATTATTGTACTCTCATTCGAAAAACAAGATTTTGACATTATATATTCTAATTCACCATGGACGGTAATATATTTATGAAAATCCTTCGAAAACAGAAAAAGAAGCGTGCATTGATCAAGCGAAAGATATCCCCACTCTAATAATGGATGTTTCCTCAGCAATACGTCTGTGCTATCATTGGCCCTCTCTATGGAAACGTAATGCATATGCATTTCGCCGGGCGCATAAATAGATAATATCGGAAGTCGTTATAGACATATTTATGGGGAGGCTAAGAATTAATATAAACACGATACACAAGTAAGCGTCGTACTAGTAGGTGGCTCCGATGGACAAAACACGACTGACTAACGACTTGTCCTCGAGTCTAAACAAATACCAGATCCACTCACGTGGGTCTACATATTGTTCTTGGTGCTTTATTCGCAAACGTCGGTACGCACGTTTTCCATTCCTCATTTCTCTCTGTTACATTTTTTCCCGCAGCCCAAGGATAGGCAATGCTGACGGAACCTCATTCAGTGAATCACGAGAATAATGATGGATAGGTATATCACAGCACAAAGCCACCACTTTATTAGCATTATAACTAAAGATGCACGATTCAGTAATTTGTTGTTTCTTTTAATTATAAGTGAAATGTTGTAATTGATATCTGTTCTTTAGATTTTCCTCTAAGAACTTAACTTTACCATATTAAGGTGGTGGGAGTTCCTGGGCCTTATGATCCGGAATGTATGAGGCCTCTCGCAATTCGAAGCAAACTGTTCCCGATTTTCCTCATCTTTGGTAGTTCAATGTTGGTATATAGAACTTCATTGTATGTGAGCTTCTATTTCATTCATTTAAAATGTTGGTACAAGTATTAACTTGTCAAAAATCTTGTGAACCATTTCGGTGTCATGAAATTAAACCCGAAAGTCATAAACGGTGGTGTCCGGAAATTGGAAATGCTCAAAATCGGGTAAATGTTTGCCTATGCTTAAGCGAACCCGTAACATTTCTTTAAAGTAGATCCATTATGCTAGAAAATCATTTCCACTCATTTAACCAAAGTACCACATGTTTGTCCGAATTATTTCTTTATTTGTTATATTTGTTTATTTGTTTATTTGTTTATCTCTTTATCTCTTCATTTCTTTATTTCTTTATTTCTTTATTTCTTTATTTCTTCACAAAAAGCTGCTTTAAACAACTTTACGAAGATGATAATGGTTAAATATACTATTAATTTTGCATAATTGGTAAAACATATGGTTAAGATGCTGATTAGGAAGGTACGATTGATTTTAATTTAGACAAGCACTCTAATGTGATTCTCGTGAAATAGAGATTAATATTGCAAGTATAAGAGTTGTCAGCTTATGAACTTGTGTGACAATGATGATGTAACGCATGCATCATTAAACTCAATCAAGTGGTGACTCATCTTTGTCTTTGTTTTTGTTTTGTTTTCAATTTGTTTTAAATTGAGTTAAATATTCCCCGTAGGTTCCCTCTCTTTCGGTGTTTTCTTTACCCAAACTATCACTTCTTGTGACGTTGGAGTCATGACCAGAAAGTCTATTAAGTGATAGTCAGTCAGTCAGTCGGTGAATCAGTGAGGAAGGCATAAACAAGTGCAATTGATCTGAGGAGTTTTAACCCCAACCATAAGAAAAAGTTGATGCACCTCATTTGTGCATAGAGCTCTTTGATTTCTGGAACCACATTGCCCATGGAGTACACATCGGAATATGACCATCTCACTCACCACAGGAACATTATATCTTTGTTTGGAAAATACATTACTTTCATTACCAGCACACTTTCCCCAAAAATGGTTCGGCCAGCTTTCTATGCAAAGCCTCATTGGCCCATGGTTTTGTGCGTAAACCTTATCAGTCGGACGATCACACTCAATTGACTTCGGCAAAACCGCAAGGGCCATATCATAAAGAATAAGTTAACCGGACCATTTTTTTCCAAGAGTGTGATTCTAATGTTGGAATATATTCGGAGAACCATTGATTGTGTAAGTTTCATTGTATTTCTTTAGTTATTCGTCCACTGTCGTTCGGATTGTCCTTTTGTTAATGGTCTTTTTTGGTCACAGGCTAGGTCTAGGTATTCATAAAAGGGGTCGACAATTGCTCTGCTTTTGGGGGATCCCCTTCCATCATCTCTAATTTGAAATAATGCGGTCAAGTGTATAAATATATTTTGTAACACCAGTATCAATTCCATAATATTTAAAACTATGTATTTACGCCTTAATTGTCACTTAATGTGATCATAAGGAGATGTGGTAAAAATAATAAAGAATGAATGAATGAATGAATAAATAAATAACATAGGACAAGGGCAAGACAAACATAAGAAGTTAAAGGCAGAAAATGATAAGGATATTTTACGCTTGAAATGGCACATTTTTTTCCAAAGAATTACAACTATACGTACACTGCATGCAGTGATGGTATGCCTTTAATTTAAGCATGTACCTTGTGTGATGTCATGCAGGCAACCACCGCGGGAACCCGAACAAACGATGCAAGCAGGTCCGAAGGTGGATCCTTTTTCAAAATGGCTACTTTTCCAGTTTGGGAAACATCGTTCGTTTTAAGGGTGGTCTTCTTTGGGTGAGAATTTCTGTAAAATAGTTGATGTCAAGTTTTAATCGATTCAAATTCAACAGACATGCAGTGCAGAACATCTTTCGGAACAACCGCGTTTGCTAAAAGTTGGCATCACGGGACCTGCTGCTTCAGCGGAGATATAATACTGGAAGCAATTTTACCATGCCAGGGTCATGCCAGGATCAACTATTTGTTTCGAGGTTGAAAGTAGACCCTGGGACGTATAGTTCAATAGTTCATGAACGCCCTCTTATTTTTATTTTATTGTTTAAGTATCCGAGAGACATGAGAGAGGGCGCTATTTCTGTACACAATGATATCATTCATCGGGGATCCCGTTCAGACCGGTACCGCGCTAATGAAATCCCGTTTTTCAGCATAAATTCGAGGGAGCTGATGGACGTCTCAGCGTAACCTGTAAGCAGGTAAGTAACTTATACCATGGAGGAAAAAAAAGTGTGAACAAATTTGTGGAAAATTGCATTATACCTATATGGTGCATATTTTGACTTTGAAATAAAATATAGAACTAGAGGGGTATAGTCGTGTTCCCTAACGTGGCGCACTTCGAAGCTTACCCAACTTTCCTTGTGTAATAGTGTTTCCAAATCTCTTTGTTGATAAACCTCAAATTCATGCAGTGAAATACTGTACTTTTACCTTTTTAATACTTGCTATTTAACCTCTGTGAACAATTTCGGTTTCATAAAATTTCATCCGAAATGCAAAAACGTTCGCGTCCGGAAATTGGGCACAAATTGGCGGAGTGTTCCCTAACGTGGCGCACTTGAATAAATCTCGGAAAATTCCAAATTAACATTTAGGAATTTCTTTAAACTTGATAAATTCTGATAAATCATTATTATCTTAACTTGCAAACCCAGCCAGATGTTTGTCAGAAAATTATTTTTTTATTTTTCGGGGCATTTTTCTTTTAACTTTGTAACGGGTAAATAAACTCGCGATTTATAAACGGAAGTGTTTAGAACTTGATGAAATTTCAATTTCTGTGAAATTTCAGTTAAAACTTTTGCTCTAGCTAGGCGCTACAGGCGAAAAATCAAAGTGCGCCACGTTAGGGGCCGCGCCACGTTAGGGTACATCAACAATAGGCTAGCCCTGGTGGATTCCCTTTCCTCCCTACGTTACGGAGGGAGTTAGTCGTATTGCAATGAAGACTTCGTCCAACCTGGGCTAAGGGGTAGGCCTACTCCTAGAACTATGAGGCTCCACGGCTCCACTACGTGGAGCCTCATAGTTCTAGGAGTAGGGTAGGCCTAGGCAGTAATAATATTTGGGGAGGCTAATCATCCTTACTGGCAGCTGGTGTGCTGAATTGCGAAGGACGCGGCTACAACGTGGTCGGGCCGCTGGCACGTAAACAGGTAGCCCCATAAATGTGGCCTATTTACTGGACTGCCTCCGTAAACATAGGCCACACATCCACATGTACAAAAACGTGTCGCACTTTGCCAAATTTTGATTTTCAATTTCACATTTAGGCTTAGTTTGTAGGATTTTTTTGCTTTAGAAATAGAAGCATACTCACCCTCTTTATAGGCTAGTCAAAAAGTGCTGCCTTTTTCAGATGTCTAATTTTTGTGAAATTTCATGTTGAAATTTTGATACGCAAACGTGTAAAAATGAATCTGGAAATTTCACGAAAAATATACATCTGAAAAAGGCAGCACTTTCTGATTAGCCTATAAAGAGGGTGAGTATAGCTTCTAAAGCAAAAAAACCTACAAACTAAGCCTAAATGCGAAAATCAAAATTTGGCAAAGTGCGACACGTTTTTGTACATGTGGATGTGTGGCCTATGTTTACGGAGGCAGTCCAGTAAATAGGCCACATTTATGGGGCTAGTAAACAGGTAAAGGCGCCTATAGCTGCCGGCCACATCGACCCATATATGACCACGGAGCACAGCCTAGACAATTATGTCCTCGACCCTCGACTCATCGCATGACTCGAGCCTCCATCACTCCCATCATGCCCATAATTACGGTCCTACTAAACTGCGTCAACAAGCGTCAACGGTCGTCAACAAATTTTGTATAAATGCTTTTGAACATTAAAAGTAGCTTTATATGGTAGAAGAAAAAGCAATAAAGAACATCTTCTGCATATCAATTTAAGTTAAAATTATTTAAAAACTTGTTTTTTTGAACGCGAAATGTACGACGCGTTTGTCGATTAGTGTACACTTCGCGCATGCATAGCTCTGTACACTTCAGGCATGCGTAGTACGGCTAAGCTACACGTAAACAAAATGGCGGCCAACACAAATCAACAAATTCGTCGTACATTTTGCGTTAAAAAAAACAAGTTTTTAAATAATTTTAACTTTAATTGATATGCAGAAGATGTTCTTTATTGCTTTTTCTACCATATAAAGCTACTTTTAATGTTCAAAAGCATATACAAAATTTGTTGATGCTTGTTGACGACTGTTGACGCTTGTTGTTGGCGCTTGTTGACGCTTGTTGACGCAGTTTAGTAGGACACCATAATTAATCTTGCAGGCATGGCAGGTAACGCTTGCAACGCACGCGCAGTTGTCACACACAATTGAAGGTGAGTGCGTAGAAATAGGACCGCGTAGCTTTGCCTTTAGGGGTCTGACGACCGGTTTTATCATGTTTATTAGCATTTGTTTTTTGGTATTTTGTTGGGGGCCGGGGGGGGGGGGAGGGGGGTAGCTTGAGTAACTCCAGCTTAACAAGCTCATCAGGAATTCTCATGTAACGCTGGAGACATAACTACGGCGTGAGAGTGTGGTCTTAAAAGACCCTTAAAAAGGGCCTCCCCAAAATGGTCAATTTGGTCAAAATGGACCATTTTGGGGAGGCCCTTTTTCTAGGGTCTCTTAAGACCACACTCTCACGCCGTAGTCAGGCGTGGATCCAGAGGGGGGGTTTTTGGGGTCAAAAAAAAAAACCCTGCTCTGTCCAAAAAAAAAAAATTCCATACAAATTTCATAAAAAATAAGTCGAAACTCAAAACCCCCCACCTGCTATGACACCCAAAAAAAATGTATACTGGTATAATATCTGTCTGTTCTAAATACGGTAGACCATTCTGTAATCTAGTGCTAATAATCGTCGAATTTGAACAGCGCCTCCTATTGAAATATGCTACCAGCCCTAGGATTATTAGGCCTGTAGTAGAAGTTGTTTGTACAATTTTTTTTAACAACACACAATGTTCAAGTTGTGAATCATACAGTACATGCAGTGACATGTGTGAAGATTTTTTAACTTTTATTTTGGCCGACAGACATTTTGAAGCTGAAGGAAATCATGGACGGGTATAACGGCAACGTCGAAAACATCAGAACACGAGAATTTCCTGGACTATCAGGTCAGTGAAAAGACAGTAGGTTATTCCTACATTAATGGAATCCTGATGAGACAGTAGGGACTCATTGCATAAGTCCCCTCTCATTAGACTTCAAGGGCAGATCGGGGGGGGGGGGGGGGGGGGGCAAAGGGGGCCATGGCCCCCCCCCCCCCAAAAAAAAACATTGGTTAAAGTGGTCAGAAATTGCCTCAGATCGCACCACAGAGCATCTAGAATCCAAAAAATTTTGGCCCCCCCCCCCCAAATTATGTTCTGGATCCGCCCTTGTCATTAGTATGATTAAGATGGAGGTGAGCCGCGATTGTGTAGTTTTGGATGGCTAGTGCGTAAGGTGCTCGTCTCTCACCACTGTGGCCCTGGTTCGATTCCCGGCTAGTGGACCATATGTGAGTAGAGTTGTGCGTTGGTTCTCTCCTGTGCCACGAAGGTTTTTCTCAACTCAAAATAGCGACAAGTGGCAATTATTTGCCCAAGGAATAGAAGGGGAAAGCCACCCATTGCTGTAGGTATATAGTTGAAGAAAAAAAAAATGTGTTATTACATTATTCAGTAGTCGGCACGTGTTCAAGGTTGTCTTTCAGTAACTACAAGGCTATATATTGAACGTTGTCCTTGGCTCCCGATTTTTATTCTATTTCCCCACGAAATAGAAGGGGAAAGCCACCCATTGCTGTAGGTTGAGTAGGTTCAAAAAGTGTGTAATTACATAATTCAATAGTCGGCACATGTTCAAAGTCATCTTTCAGTAACTACCAGGGCGTGCAGGTTTAAGTTCTGAAGGGCGCTATTTATTGAAAAGTGAGTACCGGAGCACCAGCAGCTTAAAATCGCTATACCAAACAATCGCTATTACGAACCATTTCTGTGGATCCTGCGATGTTCGTTATAGCGGCGTTATCAAATGATGCAATGAGCTTAAGAAAGAATGGTTCATTTAAGTAATCCAGTCTGGGTTTTTTAATGACTTTCTTGAAACTTTTGGTTTCTAATCCTTCATGTCTACAGATGTAACATACTTGGACCATGCTGGAGCAACTCTCTATGCAAGGAGTCAGCTAGCCTCGGTGCATCAAGATCTGATGAGCAATGTGTATGGCAACCCCCACAGTCCATGCGCCAGTAGTCGACTCACGACAGATACTGTAGAACAAGTCCGTTACAGGTATAAAATACATGGATATGCAGAACCATTTCATACTGGCACGTAGACCCTCCAATGAACCTCAGTTGATTATGAGAAAGTTTGATTGCGTGGACTTTTCATCCAGGTACATATATGTGCCACATAGAAAGGCTGACACTACTTCTAGGCTGGTGTTTCGTTCATAAAATCACATCTTAATTTATGAAGTTGAAATAGGAAAATTGACTGGAGCAAGGTTTGAACTACATGTACATGTAGTCTGTGGAATATCCGCTTGTATACAAGCGTCTATGATGTCTGAGCATATCTTGCGTTTAAATATGCAAAACAAGACTGCGTCTTGGCATCGAGATTCTGACCATTCAGCGGGCGCCTTCTATTGGGTCTTCCGTAACCCGTTGTGGTATTACAAAAACATGGCAGCCAAATTGACCAATCCACAGCTTAGTCCAAAATTTTGATCGAACTGATGTCACAGTCTCTGAAGATGATTGGCTGTCCTGCAGGGTCGCATAGATTTAACATGCTATGATAGATCAGACGTTCAACCGTGGCTTTGCCTACATGAATGTTTGATCCTCAGACCACACATATAGCCAGGGATCATGCCCAAAGTCAAATCTTGAATTCACTGAGAGATACCTGTACATATGTAAAAAGTGTAATAGATATTTTGTTTTTCCTCTTTTTTTTTGCTCTAGAATATTACAACATTTCAACACTTCTCCAGAGTTGCACTCAGTCGTCTTCACTGCTGGATGCACTGCAGCACTTAAACTCCTCGCGGACAATTTTGACTGGGCATCCGACAATCATAAAGATGAGCTCAACAAGACAGCCCAGGAGTCAAAGGGCAGCCAAAGTGAAGGAAATCCTGAACTGCTCAGTTCCGTCTCTCCAAAGGTGTCCCAAAGTACACCCCCAGAAGGCATTACCCAGATTTCAGTGCAACAAGACGACTCACGATCACAGGATCAATTGCAACATGCATCGCAGCGTAATCCTTCCCAGCATGCCATGCAGAGATCAGCGGGGCTCTTCTGTTATCTCCTAGACAATCACACGTCCGTTGTCGGGATGCGGGAAATTGCCAAAGCAAAAGGTGCTGAGGTCCTATGCGTCACGTACCAAGATATCAAATGCAACACCGACATTCTGCTGAAACATCCAGAAAAGGATTCTAAAGAACGTCACGGTTCAAGCGACCATCCAAAGAGCAGTTTTCCCAGCAGGGACAAACTCAAGAATTGTCTGTTTGCGTACCCTGCCCAGTCTAACTTCTCTGGTGCCAAGTATCCTCTTGAATGGATCAGCAAAGTGAAACACGTTTCTAAATCAAACCCACTAGAGCACTGGGCCGTGGTTCTCGACGCAGCGTCTCTCGTCAGTACCTCGCCTCTAGATCTGTCAGACTGTCCGGCAGACTTTGTTGCCGTCTCCTTCTACAAGATCTTTGGGTTTCCGACTGGCCTCGGGGCGCTGATTGTCAGGAACGACGCTGCGCACTTCCTTCACAAGACCTACTTCGGAGGAGGCACCGTGCAGGCTTATCTCGCAAGACGTCAGTTTAGTGTTCCCAAAACAAGTCTGTCAGACCAGTAAGTACATGTACCAATGTACATCTAGGCGATTGACTTTGACTTTGTCAGATTTGTGCTTCGGATATCCTGAGTAATCTTTAATATACACCTTCACATCAGACATCCAGAGTTGTAATGACTCCAGTCAAGACTTAACGCGAGTCAAGACGCAAGCAAGTTCAGTGGTGACTCAACTTACTAGCTAGACTTAATACAGGCACATGACTCCAGGTACTGCCAGAAAAATGACTGGACTCGGCTCAAGTCAAAGACTCATTAACACCCAAGTCCTGTAAAACGTGCAAAAATAATTGCGATGACTAATAAATAGGCTACAGTTTCACATAAAGTGCAGTAAGCAAGGCACATATGTCATACCACGGACTCCTGTTTCGTACTACATGTCTCATTAACAGAAATTATCATCCCTGAACCAAAAACAAACCAAAACTGGAACTGAATGCATATAGTGATAATAAATAAGATCATACTAAAATGTCAGTGACTCAAATTGACTCGAGCTAGAACTTAAAGACTCAATGGAGTTGTTTCCCTTGGAATGAAGTGCCCTTAGAATGACTTTATTTGAGTCAATGTCTTAAAGAATGACCTGGACCCGACTTGAGCCACTACAGCACTCATGCTTGACTCTTAACAACCCTGCATGTTCACAACTAACTTGGATGTGGATTTGTCTCTTTTGCCCCATATCAGATTTGAAGATGGAACGCTACCCTTCTTGGACATTATTGCCTTGAAGCATGGGTTTGATACACTGGAGACCCTAGCAGGTATGTACATGTTTTGATCATTGTGTCAATGGCTCACCCCAGATTCGGGGGGGGGGGGGGGGGGATTGGTTGGGGCAGTGGCGTCACCAGACTTTTCAGTCTGGGGGGGCACAGGGGGGGCACCAGCATTTGATGGGGGGCACTTAGGTGGATACGGATCGCCGTCCCGGGGGAGGGGTCTAAGGGGAGGGGGTGCCCCCCTCCCCATTGGAAAATTTTCGCATACGGAGGATGGGCTAGATGCAAAATGGTGCCACATTTGATGCTAAATTCGATCTGAAGATATCTCCAGAAATTGCTATTTAACCAACTCAGATGATGGGAGTTGAATATAACAAAATATATATATATTTTTTTACCAACCCAAATCTCAGATGGGGGGGGGCACTCGGGGGGGCACTAGGTTTTCCAGGGGGGGCACGTGCCCTCCCTGGCCCCCCCTTGGCGACGCCACTGGGTTGGGGGAAGGAGGGGGGGTTGCTGATCAATATTTTTTAGCCGGTTGTAGCAAATTTGGGGGCGGTTGACCTCTCATGTAAGAGGTAATGTTCATTGAATGTACATTTACACAAAAAAATGTACATAGCTGCCTGTTAGCACGGTCTCTTTGGTGTAATTTACACTTACTTCAAATTACAGGTGTTATATCGGCTGATGAGGGTCTACTCTCTTCTTTTCCTTTGGTTTGGCCCCCCCCCCCCCCCTGCAAAAGATCCCTCCTTAGGCCAGAATTTCAGACCTGACTTTTTTGTTAAATATGTAATTTGAACTGACTGAATTTTCATTGAAAACCCAGGAGGCATGAAATGCATTTCTGACCACACCTTCGCCCTGGCCAAATACGTGCACCATGAGATGTCTTCTTATCGTCATGCCAATGGCCAACCTGTTGCCAAGCTGTATTGTGAGAATGACTTTGAGAGTCAGGAGTGCCAAGGACCAATAGTCAACTTCCTCCTGCTTAGATCCAGTGGAGAATCATTGGCTATGCACAGGTACATGTAAGAATTAAGACATATACTTACGAATGACACTTCTGTTTGTTTTAAGCTGACCTCAGGTCGACCTAGTCTATGTAATAGACCATGGCAAAGAGCCATGGTCTATGTGAGCAGATTTGCTGATAAATTATGCAAGACAACGGCCTCTTGACCTCTAGATTTTGACTAATCAGCAGGCACTTTCTATATCGGGTCTTCGGTCATTCACCCATTATCGCATCAGGGACATAGATAAAAAAAAAAAAATTGACACAACAAACAAAGGCTGTGGTCATGCGCTATGCATTATGTTACGCGGTCCACGCGCACCAAGCTTGTCTAGGTTTTATAGATGCCTGGCCGTTGTTGTATTACAAAACACTGCGTTCGAATTGACCAATCAAACATTTAGTCCTGATTTGGTAATGAAATGACGTCGTGATTTAGTAAAGTCGACTCCGATTGGCTGAGGCGCAGGATCACATAAATCTGCATGCTTAGATATATCGGCGATAGACAAGAGACTGGGCTCCATGGATAACGGGTGATACTCAGACTAAGGTGGACCTTGCGACAACACAGAAGTACGACCGTCAGGAACATTTACGTCACTGATTTTTTGTGACTCAAGTGTAACGGCTACAATATTAAGACAATCAGCATCAGTTGGAGCTCAAAACAATCAACAGGTGCAAGAGCAGAGAAATATTCAGCTTCTGTGCCACGACAGGACGTGGTCCTGACCCGTGGGAATCAATCACAGTCGACCTGTGTGAAGTTACAATGTCGTGCGGGCATCCGGATCATTTCAATTTCGTTGTGAATCGCCGTCATGTCGTGGGTGACATGAGCATGGTTGCTGATATTCTTTATTGAGATGCCGCTTGTTCCACGGTAATCACACAATTTCTCAGTTTCGTGTCCAGAGCATGACCTTTGTGCTTCGTGCCAACAGTTCTGACGCAGGGCAAGCAAATCGCGGATCGACCTGAGACTAGCTATAAGCATTTCTTTGTGGCATACTTAGTTCAATTTCTGTACGACTATGCTAGTATTTTTGCATCTGCAAGACGTAAATTCAGCATATAGTTTTGCTCCTCAAAGGCACTTGTATGCTCAAATGCTGTTTGAGGTTTTGCAAGAATATGCGGATTATATGGACATCGTTCTTCTTTTTGTTGTCCTTCAGATTGAAAGGCTAGCATCATTACATGGCATCCATCTTCGCACAGGATGTTTCTGCAACACCGGAGCATGCCAGCGACACCTTGGCTTAACAGACGAACACATCCTCAACAACTATCAGGTATAAGTTGTTGCAAGGAAATTTGACAACTTTTTTGACAATTAGGGTTCAAAGAACATCTCTCCCAAAACTGACCACTGACTGGCGATTATGAATAGTAAATGATCGAGAAATTTGCTGGAAAAACTGTCCGGAAGGATTAATTTTTTTGCTGCTTTCCCATCTCACAAAATTCAGACGAAAAAGTTTCACACCTGTTTCAAACCTGTCGAGCCAAAAATATTCGGAGCAACTCATGACTACCAAAATAAAATTTGGTTTAACACTGGCAATTTAAAGATGTCTGAAGTCAAAAGGCTCTTGACGAGTGCACATCAAACTTTTGACAACTTTTGCTTGTTGTCATACCTGTTTTGAACGTCAAACTCAATTCAAATCTTTTCGAATTTTTTTTTTTTGGGGTGCGAATCAACAAAATGGGTGTTATTCTCGTCCGATTTCTGTCCATGGCTTAATTTTCAGTTTTGTATTTTGTTTTCCTTTTTGATTTGTGTGGTGTGTTCAGGCAGGGCATGTGTGCGGTGATGAGATGGACGTCATCCTTGGCCAACCAACCGGCTCAGTTCGCATCTCCTTCGGCTACATGTCTACCCTTGACGATGCCAATAACTTCCTCAGCTTTGTACGGGAATGCTTCATGAAGACATCCAACCAGTGTGGCACAGCCACAGAAATGTCAAGTATCCAGAGTCCCGTTGGGACTAGCTGTGAAGGACCAGAGCGGAAAACAAATCAAGACGTGGATTCCGTCCAGGAGGAACCAGCTAACGTCTCTCAGAGTGCTCACTCGGGCCTTGACGATGCCCAGTCTCTTCGAGATGATCAAAAGAATGACATCCAGCTGTCTAGTGTCATTGGTTCCTCCCTCAGTGTACCCAGCACGGTGCTAAAGAAGGTTCCATTATCCGGCCGCAAAGTGTTGACTAATATCTTCTTGTATCCCGTGAAATCATGCGGGGCATTTCAGGTGATTATAGTCTTATTTATTTTTCTGGTCATGATGTGGCACAGAAAGCAGCTGGGTCGATGTAGTGTGAATTTCGGACTGTGAAATACTGACTCACTGGTAGTATTGCGCATGCCTGCGTTAGGATTGTGAACGTTCAACCAAAAGTTTAAAAAAAAAAAATCAAAGACACCGGATTTCATAGGAGTCCAAATTTTATGCGACACTAGAAAAGTGTTTAAGACCAGCCAGCTGGTCTTTATCAACCGTTTAAAACTGGCCACTTGGCAGGCTTTCTAGAAAAGTATTGCTGCACGACAGACACCATATAAAACCGGCCACGTGACGGGCTTTCGACCAGTAGGAATGGGTAAACTGTCTTAGGTATTCATATCAATTAAAGGTGTTGTAGTGAGGTCCTTGCAATCACGTTGCAATGGATCACAAGTCACCATGAGTCTTTCACGAGTCACCTAGTCCCATGTCATCTCACAAAATATTCCAACCAACTTTGACAAAGGCATTCCTTTGCTATCGTTCGTGCCTTGTTTCTTGTGAACGGAATTAACCTGTGACTAATTACCTTGTGATGCACTTGTGACCCATACCTCCACTCCAACGCCGTCAGTAAAATTAGTGCAATAAGTAATAATGGGATTACGGAGTTAGAAATGATCGTGTGGGGTGTTTGTATACAGGTGAGTGAATGGCAGATAGGTCCCAAAGGATTGCTGTACGACAGACACTGGATGGTGGTGAATGAGAACGGGGTGTGTCTCAGTCAGAAGAGGGAGGAACGACTGTGTCTCGTTAAACCTATCGTTGATCTGAAGAACAGGTGTCTTTGGCTACAATGTCAAGGTAAGGTGTGTAGTCCTGGGCCCAATGTCATAGCACTGCTAATCACAGAGTCCCGCCCTTACGATCGTCGTTCTGAACTATCAGCACCAAAGCCTACATTCTGTGCTTACCCAGTAGACACAGAATCCTCAATCACATAAAACGTAATGCAAAACCAAACTTCCTTGCCGTCCATGAAATACGCTAACTGGTTTAGTGTTAGTGCAGAATTTTTTGTTACAGTTAGGAGGGATTGTTATACTTATGGTAAAAACAGCCACAAAATTGGGCCCTTATTTAAACTAAATAACTGACTGCAAAAAACTAGAATTTTGTCCTTTTTTTCATGACTGGGCAGCATGAGTACATTTAGTTCCCTTGTTCTCCCAGGAAATGCTGTTCTCAATAATGCACATACGCATCAGTAGGTTTTCCCAATTGGAACACACGAACTGTGCACTGCCAAGAGTTGTGTTTGCCATTCAAATACATGTATTCTAACATCTTCGTTGTGTATTTCCATGACAAATTTGTACTGATGGTAATGCCGTAGAATATTTCCATGTAGGAGGTAGGAAAATAGTTTTATTTTGTAACTTTTTAATGTTTTTCTGCCAGTCTTTTATACTCACTTTTTTTTACTTTAGGGTACCTTTAACGATATTCTGTTTAATTAATAACCTGTTTAATTTTTTTAACCAATAACACACTAAAAATGCATAGGGAATTTTTTATTTTATTTTCAAAATACACTTTAAACAAATTTATTCAAACATTTTGGCCAAACATGTCATTAAAACTTGTTAAGGTCAGTAATTTGGCCGCAAAAAAGTCCAGTTTGGTGAGGTTACTGTAAATTCACTTTTTTTGGGGGGAGGGGGGTGAGGGGTAGGAGCGTCTAATATTTTGGTCATTAAGATACAAAAATGTAAGTGTTAAGTATCATTACTAATGCTGCCTTGAACTGGTTACGTTCTTCACCAGGCCAGTCAACCATCAGAGTGCCTCTGGATGTCAGCTCTGAGACGAACCAAGATCAAACGTCCAAGAATTATTGTCAGAGTAAAGTCTGCCTTGACAGGTAAGCGACGACAGTGAAATGTGATCTTTGATTTAGACTGTATAAAAAGAAAGGAGGACCACTCAAAATATTTGAACATAAGTGGCGATCGGAATTAGTAATTATTGCTTTGCCGAAAGAGTGAACAGGATATTTTCCAGTCAGAAAGGTAGGGTTGATACTTCCAGTTTTGTCGCTTGGACTGGATCCGAATCAATACAAGGATCGATTGGGAGTCGTGGTGTTTTTGCTCAGAAAAAAAGTTCTGTTTGTTTGTCATTTTTCCAGTGTAAACCAAATTTGCTAGGAGCATCCCAAGTCTATCTCCACAGCGGGAAAGCCTTGAATTGAATGTAGATTCAAGTTAACATACATGTAGTCTCATCTTAATTACAAATCAAGAGATGTCTTTGTTTTTTTCTCAGAGTGAAGACGTTAGACTGTGGCGATGGGGTTGCTGAGTGGTTGTCTACTGCAATCGGAAAGAAATGCCGTCTCCTCCAACAAAATCCAGAATTTGAGCGAAATTGTAAACTTGTCAAAGGTATGTGTTCAAATATAGAATCACACAGACATTTCAAAATAGTGTTTTAGTTTGATCATGAAAACAATTGTTGTGTTGATATTTATTTTAGGGCAATTTACATTAGATTGGTGTAGGACTGGCAATGTGAACAAGAACTTTGTGTAAGATGTCTAATACATTGTTTCTCGTACATTGAACCCCAAACCACCCTGACTGTTACTCCAGCACTGCTTAAAACTGCCCAAGCATTTTGTGGTTTTACAGATTGTCAGGGAATACACTGTAATAAATACAAGTACTAATTTGCATCTGATAAAAAGTTTGGTTGCGGTACCCACTGCTACAAAAGACTCGAATCGGCCCACTGATCTCAGCAAGCTTGGTGGTCAAGTTGTAAGACGTCTGCACTAGCAAGCAGGAGGTTGCGGGTTCTCGCAATCCCTCGAAAAACACAGGGTATACCGTGTTTATAAATAATTTCAAATAAATGTCAGGCACAGGGTAAAATCCCCAATATAAAACTTACATCTCCCTGATGCCAAAGAAGAAATTCTATTTTATAAAAAGTACTAATTGGTTTAGTATGTGTTTCAACAGGTGAAACTGCGACAGGTGTCAAAAGTGGAAGTCACCAGAGTCTTTCCCTGGTCAACGAATCCCCGTTCACTCTGCTGAGCAGGCCCAGTGCCCAGGCACTACTCAAAGCCATCAAGGAACGGCATCATCATCCCAACCAGCCAATGAGAAACACTCCTCAGAGCAGCGGTGACCTGTCAGAACCAATCACTACTCAGTATCCGCTGATCGGACAGAAAGGGGAGGGGTCTGATGTGCAGATGGAGGAGCTGATTGGTCGATTCCGTGGCAACCTGGTGATTGATGGGTGGGAAGCCTTTGAAGAGGACGAGTGGAAGAAGATACGCATCGGCAATCATGTGTTTCCAGTAAGCCAACAAGTTTATATATCAATGGCAAAAAAAGTTGAAATGCCATATTAGTGAGTACTTTAAAATGTACAAGATGTACAGCTTTAAGAATATAGTTTAGTGTAAAAAAAGATAAAACAGTGATTCTCCCCCCCCCCCACAAAAAAAAATTACTCACTCACTCAGCCGCAAAGAGAGTGTTGGTCCGTCATGCAGATCTCCTGTGCCAACGTCAAACAGCTTGATTCCAGATGCTCTCTACTTCAACTGCTTGGTCGACCCAAATAATCGATCAAGGGTCCTCTTGGGCGGCCTCTTGGCCTTGTCCAGCCGAAAGCTGGGGTTGGCCTTTCCAGGAGTCGATAGCGATGCCAAGTGCCTTCTTTGCTGGAGTGTTGTCATCCAGGCATACGACCTGACTGAAGAGGGCACGACGCCAGCGTAGGATTCGGGAGCCTACCTTGGGTAGTTGCGTTCTGCAGGTGACGCCGGACCAATGTTGTTCGAAAAGTCAAACCAGCAAATGCCAAAAAAAATTAGACATGCAAAAAACAAACAGTCTTGTTGCCAATCAGTTTGTTCGTTTTTAAAAGCTTTTCTGAACTTGAAGTCGTGCCAAATTTTGTGCTATTCTGTGTTGGTTATGTGATTCTAAATTTTGTTTTTTGAAGGTTGCTGGAGTCTGCATTCGGTGCCAGATGGTGTGCGTTGACCAGAACACGGCCAACAGAAGCAAAGAACCCTTGCTGACACTCTCCATGTTCAGAGGAAAGAAGGTGCGATATTGAAACAGTAAAAAAAACCAATGCAAGCACTCCCAATCCTAGCACAGCCTACTTAAGGAGTAGCATCTCCAACTCTCTTCAGTCTCCTGACGATGACTAGAGCAGTCTAGTCGAAACGTTGAGACCAAAGACAAGTTCTTTTAGAACTTAAAGCAGAACTATTCTTATCAGAACAAAAAACTACTAAGCAAAGTTGATAATAAGCAGGACAAGTTCTTTTCAGAACTAAATATCTTCTAAGCAGTAGTTATTACCACATGGTGTTACCGCAAACCGAAACGATACCCGATACTCCACTAGCAAAGCCTCAAATCTTGTAGCAAAAATAACGACGTGAGAGTTTAGCATTTCAAGGTTAATCTCGTATACTGAATTTCCCGCAAACCATGAGATAAAACCTAACAATTAGTTTTGCTGTATCATGTAAGTTTACAGTAAACAAAAATAAATGTTTGCGCAGAGCTGTGCTATTGCTTAATTTCTTCCGTTTATGGTTCTTGAGAAAATGAGAATGATAGCTTGGACCGTGTGTTTTTGTTTTAAATTTAAATTTAGTTGTTTTGTAAGCAAAGTTAGTCTCTCCAATGAAGGAACTGAAATTTTGGAAATATTTATTACGGATTTGGCCCTGTGATAATTTGTTTTTTTTTTTGGGGGGGGGGAGGGGTGGTGGTGGTGTGCTTTATCTCCTGATTTGTGTCTATGATACATGTATTATCCAACCATTTTTTTGTGTTCTTGACAGGTTCCTTTTGGCATCCACCTGCTACGAGACGAGGCATCTTCCGATGGCACAACTCTCAGAGTAGGAGACAACCTGTCTGTGCTCCAACAGTAAAACAACTCCATCATTCAGACCGTATACATGAGTTTGGAGTTCTCATGGTGAGTTCAAGTACAGTGGAAGCACTGTGACATTTATACCTGAAACCCCTACCCCCTTTTCAGACTTGTCGAACCGCAGCAAAATGTCAAACAAAATTAGTGGATCCCAGCAGAATTTTTGTCAAACGCAATATGACAGGGGTACGGAAACAGACAAGTTAAGGGACACATAACCATACATGGGTGGAAGGAAAAACACAGAAGGGATAGAAGGCATTCTTAGAAGACAAAGGGAGCAAAAATCGGGCAAAAAAATGATTAAAGCAACTCAGGTTGACCCATATACACGTACATGTAGATGTAGATTTTTTGTTAAGGACGGGAATACTTTGTGTATATATTTTGTATTGATTAGAATCTGAAAGTTAAAAAACTGCAACAGTTCAACTTGAGATATTAGGCGCACTTGTTTCGACCGTCCAACTTCTCATGCACGTCGTTTATTAATTTAGTTAAGATGTCCATTGACATTGATTTTGTTACATTTATTTCTTTCAGATGTTGTGTGACATGTTAATCTGAATTTGATGTCCTACTTTTTATATTAAAGGCACTAGTATTGCAATGGGTGATTTGCTGCCGAATTTAACACTTTGAAAGGTGTTTCCACCAAAGGCAATTTCGTGTGGATTTACAGATTTGTTATGGTTTAACTGTAAATATTACTTGGTCTGGAAATCAATTTTAAGTAATAAATTAAGGTTTTATTAGAAGGTACTGCCAGATTATTTGATTTTTATATGTGGAATGGTAAAGGCAAGAATAATTTGTGCAATAAAAATGCAGGACAAGAATATTTAGAAGAAAACAAATTACCATTTTCATAAATTATGCAGAATCAGAAAAATTAGTTATGAAAAAGATATTTTTATATTATAAATTTATTATGACAACAAAAATGAAAACTGCTTTATTCCTTAAAAATGCACAACAAGTTTGATAATAAAATACTTCGATTTTATTAATAAAGATGACAATTGTATTGTGTGTAATTTTATATCAATTTTATTCACAAGGGGAATTTATAACAAAATAAAAGACCTCATTTTTTGCGCTTTTTTTTGGGGGGGGGGGCTGCAGCTTAATAGTTAGGCTTCATAACATGATTACAGAGGGTCAGGGGTTCAAATCCAGCTAGCAATATATTGTGTCCTTGGGCAAAAGCCTGCGATGGAGCAGCATCCCATCTGGGGGAATTAATATATTCTTGGTTGTTTCATGCCAAGGAAACCAGAGAGAAACGCCCGCCTGATTGACTTGCGACAGAATTTACTTTTTTTGTTTTGTTCTTTTAATGTCAATGGTTGTCCAACCACAATAACTACCAAACAAACAAACTACAAAAATAAGTTTGTACAGGTTCATATTTCAAACAATATTTTATTCTTTTCAAAGGTAATAAAGTACTTCTAGGATGTCTCCATTTTACGTTGGACACAATGGGATTAAACAAACAAAGTGAATATGAAGCTAGAGCGTCATGTATTTCTCAATGGTGCCGATACAAAGCTTGTACTGTACATGTGGATATTGAGAGAAAAATGTGGACATCATCTGCTTATACATGTATTTGTATTTATCATGACCAATTGAAGTGCCCACACTTTCTAACTTGTATGCATTTAGAGTAATCTCTATGGTCAACCCAACTGATGTCTTGTTCATTTAGAGTAATCTCCATAGTCAACCTGACTGATGTCTTGTTCATGTGGACTTCAGCATCCAGTCTTCAAACATACCCAGACTAGTGTTGTGATTTCATCGTCAGAAAAACCAAGCTGTCTGAAGAGAAATTTGCAGAACAGAACGGATTGAATCTTGAAATATCTTTCATTTCCTTATGCTTAACTCTACTAGCCTGCATGGTTAAAAGTCTTACATGTACGTGGCTATCAAAACCACTGGACAGTCATTCGCCTGATAAGGTTGGCTCATTTGTGCACAGAATGGATCCCATGCACAAGTACCCCCTCGCTTGGTTACAAAGAGCGAATGAGGAGGGACTGAAATGCACTGCCACTACACAGCTTACATTCATGCGAGTGTCAAACACGTTTTGAGTACATTCAGCGTACGACATGCGTACTTCACTCCAAACACACAGATTGTGTGCACACAGTCGAGTTTACTTTACTCTCGAGGACAATGCTTTGTGTTTCCCTTTGTCCCTGTAATATAACACTCTCCCATAGACTAAGCACACAAACTTACTACAGAGGACCGTTTCCAACAAAAGACTTAACTCCCGAGGACTGAAAGGATCTGTTGTTCTCCCTTTGTGTGTCGGTCCTTGGGGGTTATGTAGAACAGAAACACATGTCTCTCTCACGGACCTCTTACAAATGGTCACAAACCACCATCCACTGTTCATACAGAGTCCACTAATTGTCAAGTTATTCATTTCCAGGCACCCTTTGACCTCCAGTCCAGAAACTCCTCAAACTCGGCCTCGTCTGCACTGCCGCTGTTGCCTTCCTCTGTCTTGCTCTTTGAGGGTTGATGCAGCATCTTCGCCTCCATCTCGGACTTGATGGTGTCCTGCTTGTCCCGCAGCGCTTCCACTTTGGCAAAGCAGTGTCTGGAAGAGAATTTTGCAAGAACAATGTCAGTCCCTGACTTTTGATTTACTTGTGATGACCGGACTTGTGATAGACTTGACTAAAACACTGATCTAACAGCTATCTAACTACCGATTTGTTTAAGTTAGACATCATGATAGAAGATGAAGACGCTTCAAAGCAAATGAGTAAACCTTAAAATGGTCCAGCAGTGTACGTGTTGGTTAGTTTGCCAGCCATGTCTACTGATCTGATTGCTTACATCTGTTCATCAATCTCGTCAATGTTTCTGTCCACCTGGGCCGCCTCCTCATCCTCGACTTGAATATTCTCCGACACCTGATGACATGAAAGACAAAGAAGATGGGATACAAACATTGCCTGCCTCGAGTGGTCAGTATCAGTAATTTCATTCTTACCTCAAAAGGACAAAAATCAGTTTCAGCCATAATAAATCCTTAATGTCTCAGTCTCCTTTCCTTTCATTTTTCTAACCTGGTTTTCTTCTTGCATTTCTTTCTGGAATTTGCTCCATTCCTCCTCCATGGTGTTTTTGACTTCAACTTTACGGACCTACACGTCGCATGGAAAATTATGAGAAACAAAAATAAAGTACATGTATGTTTCATACACACAACACAGAACACTGAACACTTTATAGAACACTTTCACAAAGTAGGACCTGAAAATGCTTCCCTGCCTTCCAGCAGATTGTCACCATACACCAGTTTTAACCACAGTTGTGGTTTGTTCACCTCAAAAGAGGAGAATCAAGCTAATTCTTATGAAACGGATTCACAACAGCCATAGTGAAATCGCTGTGTTCACTTGGCTGTTGCAGTAAGCGTGAACCAGCGATCATAGTTGCTTTCATGACGTCAGGACTATTCCCAACTAATTACACATGATAATGAAAGGTTTGCGGAAACACCATGTGCGAATAATTTCTCAACTAAGGGAATGGTTCTGAAAGAACCAGAGGTATAAACTCGACGTTTCGGTCAGTATGCTCTGACCGTCATCAGGAGAGCCATAGTGAAAATCACTGTGTTCACTGGGCGTCATCAGGACTCATCAGGACTCTCCTGATGACGGTCAGAGCATACTGACCGGAACGTCGAGTTTATACCTCTGGTTCTTTCAGAACCATTCTCTTAGTTGAGAAATTATTCGCACATGGTGTTTCCGCAAACCTTCATTATTTAGTATCTCCACCATGCAAAGCCTCAAATCTTACTTAATTACACATGATAGTCCAGGGTTTGGACTTCAGTCAACTCACCTTAGCATCCATAACTGGATCGTCAAAGAATCCTTCGGGGATTGCCTCTGCAGTAGTCGACGGCTTTCTGTTATCACAATTATTTTTTTTAAAATAAAAACTGAGAATAATTATCTTACATCAGTACAATGAGCATAAAAATTATTACGTCTATGGGATATGGTACTTTTGGCAGACATTGCCGTAGACTTGTGCAAAAAAAAAAATTGTAATGATCACCTAACCCTAAACTAAACTATACTTAACCTACCCTCACCAAACTGGGTTTTGCATCACGAAGAATTGATGAAGGCTTGCGACCATAAACAGGGGTGTGAGTGACCACTGATAAAAATAGCTGAAAACAGCTGGAAAAAGGTGTAAAAAGCTGAACTTTGGAAATCTCCTATACTTTTGTACACAGCAGGTGAGGGAAAAAAAAACAACTGAAATCCAAAACAAAAAAAGCTGAAATCAGCTTAAAAGCTGAGATTTCACACCCCTGCATTGAAAATCATGCATAGAAACAGAAGGGTGACATTCAAATGTCTCCCTAAACTTTTTTTAAGCGTGTCTCCTAATGGCCATTTGCGAGAATTACACTCTTTGAATTTCAACAGTAATAACAATTATAGTAGAATGTGGCTGTCATGAACTCGCTATTACGAGAATTCAGCTATAAAGAATATACGTACCCCTTTGTTCCAGAAATTTGCATGTGCAAAATTGCATTAAAATTTGCGGCTTTAGGGTTAAAGGGAATATACATCATTTGCTTTTGCTGTAATTTTCAGAAATGGATGGAATTGGGGGGTTGGAAATATATAGCAAATATAGTTACACTGACTTTTTTTAGGTTTTGGGTTCGAAAATGCTATAAAAACCAAGAAAAACAATCATTTTCCTGTAGTCTGGTTCCCTGACTCCATTTAAGAAGAAACAGAGCAGTTTACATATATTGGGGAATTGTAAGGTCAATGAACCAGTCTAGCTGGCTTGTACCCGTTCACAGGTGTGTAATCGATTGCAAACAAGTGCGATGGTCAACTGGGGCCAGTATTTGAAAAAAAGCCAGTTTTTTCCAACGCTGATCGGCCGATCAGCGTTGAAAATTGATACAAAAATACCACTTTTCTTGAAAATGACAGTATACCATGTGCCATGATGTTACAGGATGCTTTACACTGTCATTCACTAACAGTCCAGCAAGGTATTTCAAAATGATTTGGTAGTTTTATTTTTTGATGTTTGCAAATGTTGTATTTTCCCTTTAATACTTGAATATACCACGAGGAAAGATGAAGCATACCTTTCTTTAGTTTTGCCGTTTGTAGTGTTGGATGTGCTGACTTCTTCGTCGCCAGAAGGTTTAGACGCGGCTTTAGAAGGTGCTCCAGAATCAAAGAAATCTATATGTGAACGGGAAATGAAAACTCAAAATCAACGAACTGTAAAAAAAAAAAAAAAATATAACCCACACTCTTCAAAAATGGCCTTTTTGTCCTAACGACTGTTCCATTTGTATGGTTTGTTTTAACGAAAAAAAACTCTTTTAATCCAATTTTGGGCGTCTGCAACCCTCTGAAAAAGGGTTTATATTTTGTGCACAAAAAGTTGCCCTGCAAGAGCCGAATTATTGTCTGACAGCCAATAATTCAAATTTTGTTAAGAAATAATTCAATAACTAAATGCCAGTTGATTTTTGCATTTTGGCTTAATGTCTCTTTCAACATTGAATAACTTTTATATTGCTAGGCAAATGAAGAAAAAAAAAACTATTTTGCGAGATGAAACTCTAAAGTAGCACGGGGAACGCATCTTTAAGAACACTGAAGAACGACTCAGGTTGTCTGTATCAGACAGGCGAACTTTATGACTTATTTTTCCATTGACTAGACTCTGGACTTGGTCTCAATGCCTGTCACATTCGATTTTGTGATGCAGTTGTAAAGAACTTTTCATGTCCATTACTAACTCCAATTTTAGGATAACTTGGTTTGGGACGACTCTCGAACACCTTTTTGAAACAAGAAACTGTAAGATGTAGGCCTACCTGATGGGAGTGAAGACGACACAACAGTCTCCGACACTGAACTGCTGGATGATTTCTTAGCTTCATCTACAGAGGGCGGGCTTTTGATCTCATTGTCAAAAAATCCTGCAGGAAGACTTTTAACACGAACAGAGAAGGAACTTTACTAAGCTACAAACAACAACTTTTGTGATGAAAGAGGTCATAAATCGAATTTCCCGTGACAAGTAGTTTTCATTTTCAGGGAAGGATGTGATTAGATATGCCTGAAATGAAAAAACACGTCACTAAAAGTATGACAAGAAAAGCTCACTGGAAAGCACTGATGCCCCTCGGTGTTGTAGTCAAGTCCGTCACAAGACCTAACAAGCCCTGAAAAGTCCACTCAAGTCAAGCCACAAACTATTCAAATGAACAATGGTATTCCTTTGCGCGTCAGTGTCCATCTCCTGTAGGTTGTGACTGAACTTGTGAATTGACTTGTGATCTTATGACTGGACTTGTGAAAGACTTTTGAGGGACAATAATCAGTATACATTTTGTACCATTAGGCATTTTCAAAAAGACAGTAAAATTATGATGCCTGAACCATTTATGTATATGATACGGTTTCAACATCATGTCAAGCAATATACTCATATTTTTTTAGTAGCCAGACAACAAAAAGTGATTTGAGTGTCAGTAGGGACATCTAAACTGAATTGAAAAGATAATTTTACAGCTCCTTAACTCCTTACCCCTTTGTTGAACCAAGTGCACTGCTTTCTCTTGGTTTCTTCTCTGAAACAGTTGAGGTCACTTCATACTCCGCTTTCCTTTTGGCTGTTGTTTGCGTTGTGTGAAGCTGTGTTGAGACTGGTTTCTGCTGGGGAACATTGGGTGCATTTCCTTGCCTCAATGCTGATAAATTCTAATGAAATGCATAACAAAAGAATACAAAATTGTAAGTTGGATAATAACATCATAAAATCATCAAAACAGGTACTGATTATAACCCTTGTGCCTTGATGCCCCAAATGGAGGTAACTGAACAGAATTTGTTAAAACATACCTGTATTTTGAAGTAAAATAGGAAAAATAATTATTATCACGATTATACATGAAAAATGTGAAATTTAAAATTATCTTTTAAATATTACACAGTTTCATGCTCATTCTGTTAAGAAAGGTATGTTAACTTTAGTTTAGTTATTTACAAAGGAAGGATACATGTACAAAAAGCCAAATTAAAAAACAGGTTTTTCAGTTTTAAAAAGTTCAAAATTCTGACAAACAAAAAAATACTATCAAAAAAATCTGTGGACATTCTCAGACCTCTTTATGCTTCTTTCCTTGGAGATGCGCTGGCCAGACAATCTCACTCTTCACTTGGCAGTTACAAACCACACACACAAGCTGGCCTACACTGTTATACGTTTTCACTGTGTTAAAGAAAGCATTTTTCTCACGTTTTTAGTCCCTTGCATTAAAAGTCGCAAAGTTCCAGTTAATACTAAAATGAACAATCATGACAAGTTGAAGTCACAAAACATAAGTTTAAAAAAATACTTTCTCGTCTGGGAGTTTTAAAAACATGTAGGAGGTGGGACACCTTTGTTTAATATTCCCAAGATGGCTGATTTTTCAAGATGGCTGATCGATTCTTCCATTTTCTCGACTCTTTCACTGATACTAAATTGTGTGCATTGTAGCCGTCACCCTTTCTACAATACTACACACATGTAGAATTGCAGATACGATTTTGTTGGAAATAAAGAAAACTATATATGTGTATATGATATACATGTTCATGTCTCGACAAAGTTTGCAAAATGTATTGAAAATGTATGAATTAAAAACAAATAAAAAAAGATGGCGGAAAAAAGAAAGCAGGCGGCGGCGAAGACGAGAAACTGTTTTTTTATTTTTTTGTTTGCCTCAAATGGATTAGCACCACCAACCATCATGGTTATACATGTATACATGTACCGACTTTTGTACTTGATTCGCTGAATCACACAGCACCAACTGTAAACTGCGCAGGAAAATCGTAATTTGTACCCCAAGAAACTGTTCAAAATTACAAAAACATGAAAAAAGGGTGTCTTTATATTCAGGGAAGTCTTCTCTATGTATAAAAGGTCATTGGAAAAATGTTGCAACCTGACGCTACTTTTTTCTTCATATAACATCTTAATAATAATATAATAAAGGTCAATCATTGCAAAAATGATGATAAGACATGAATCTGATGACTGAGAAACATTTCCAATTTTGATAAGAAATACTAAGAAAATTTTCGCGGAAGTGGCGTCAGGTTGCAACATTTTTTCCAGGTCATTTTTAGCAGTAATAAAAAACACCCCCGAGGCCTCGACTCTAATTTTATCGAAGCCTAAACAGAGAGGCCCTACACTACACGATCGCCCTTTTCTGTAACAGATTTTTTTGGAGAAATTTGCTGGCTAAAGAGTGAGTAAAGTTGGCCTGATTAAATTATGAACGTTTCACTTTCACAGAGCGCTCGGTCCAGGTACGTCATACTCCCCCAGTCGATGCAGTCCCAGTCTGGTCTGACATGTCCGAAATCTGGGCAACCCATTTTACAAACTACGCTCCAATTACCATGCTCCTCCATATCACATTTCCCACAATTTGTACTTCTATATGAAAAAGGATATTTGGCTAAGGGCGACTCTATTCTTTTCGATGTTGCTTTACTCTCTGCCCGTTGTTTTTTCATCAAATCTCGAAGATCAACTTTCTTTTTGCTACTGGAAGACGCCATCTTGGGAATGCTGAGTGCGTTTGTTTGTTTGTGCAGTGCTTGCCGACGTGCCACTTCGAAAACGTTAATTCATTATTGGAGTGAATTACGAGAGATGAGAAAGATGGCGGCGTCCAGAGGGAAACATGTGGCGCTTCAATTTGTTGGAAATGATGAAGTTATTAAGCACATAGTGGCCGTTGATGAGGTTTCTTCAGGTACAAATTGTTTGTATAGAAAAGATTTAGCAAAATACTTCCGCAGATTCACAAAAAACCATGAAAATCGTATGTTGTTAGTGCACTATAGTGTCCATTGTAAAAATATGCAGCACAACACAACAGTTTCAGTTTGTAAATTGTATAGGCCTAGGCCTTATGAAAGTGGAATCTCGACTTTCTCACTCGGGAGACTAAAAAAACCAGCATAAATTTGCACGCCGCAACCACATCATTTGCTCATCACATTGGAAATTGTTCAGAATTTTCCTAAGATTGAGGTATGCATGATCAAGCCTAAAAATCACAAAGTTCGACGAACTTTTATTTAAGTCATCAAGCTAGCTTGAGGCATGCATCAGCGAAATGGGGGTGATCTGGCATGATGCCAACTTCTCTGACCTAGATAATCACCCCACACAAATTTCATTACCATATTTGGTAATCATGTTGGTGAGAGATTTGCATATGCAAATGAAAAGAACAACTTATAGCCAATGAGAGGGTTTATTTTGCTTCATGGATTGCATGCTATCTCTCACTTTTGTATCAGCTAGTGAAGTTGAAGTAGTGTTGTGCACATTTCACTTTCACTTCAGTCTCATTTCAATATCCTGCTCTGGATTATTTGTTGGATAAACTCTAGATATATTTTGGTCATCTTCATTTTCTTCAAGTTCAAGTCCTGTGGAATAATTTGAGTGGTTTTATTTTGTTATCAGTATGGCAACTTTTGTTTGCCATAGAGGAAAAGGTGAGTCAGAAAGAGAGTGACTTGGATTAGGCCCAACATTTTTCCTTTTTAATATGCACCAATGTCATGAATGAGGTATGTCAATGTCTAGTCTTAAAAGAGTATTTTATTCCACTCATCTCAATTCAAAAAGGTCTTGCTTAAATTAGGCCTAGGCCTATCAGAAGTTATCATGTTTGACTATAAAATGACCTATTTTTATTCATGTAGGCCTAGGCCTAGCTGTTCATGGAATGCTATTCATGCTAGGCTATAATTTATATTAATTAATTGTTGGAAATGTTGGAAACTCCTTTGACTTTGAAAGTTTGAGTTTGAGCTGAGGTAAAAATACTGATTAACACTGGGGCCTAACAGTAACACTACTGTTTTTACACTAGGCCTACCTGACTATGCCTACAGACAGTCATCACAGGCACTCAAATTCAAATGAGATTCTATAGGCCTAGGCCTATTTGTTTGTGTCAAGACTGAAACATTATTTTTACTGTCAGATTTGGGTTTTGATTACATGTAGGAGGAACAAGTCAACTTTTTTTTCTGAAATATTGATGGCCATTTTTATGTCATGTAATGATGTAGGCCTATGTGTTTTCCTTTGCAATTTTTTTGTTCATTCTTGGAGGTGGGAAAATAAATGGGTAGGCCTAGCCCTGTTCGTCAGTTCGGTGAACGGTAAATGATCAGTGGGGGACGGTTGAATTTTGTGATCTTTTTAAATCAGAGACGTCACAATTCAACAGCTAAATTTGGCAAGAAAGGAGCTAAAACTTAAGTGGCAGATGAGTATTATGTCACTGTTAATTGTACACGTTGTTATTCCAATTCTGGAACTTGGAAGTGGCCAAACTTTGATTGATCGGTAAAACAGTGGTCAACGATTCAGACAAGTACTTCGGGGAGTTAGGTTGGCGTAGCGGTACTTTCCTCGCCTTCCACCGCTGTGACCGGGGGTTCGAATCCTGCCCGGGGCAATATGTGGATTAATTAGGTTTTCATTCCCTATCTGATTCCGTGGGTTTTCCTCAGAATATTCCTCTGGGCTTTTCCTCCCCACCTCTAAAACTGCAATTTCTTCTCATTATCTTCTCTCTACAGGTTTCTTCAGGCTTTCGAGCTACAGTGCCTAGGGTGCTTTTGAGGAATACTTGTTTCATTACCATTAAAATTTGAATACCAGAAATAAATAAAATAAATACATTTTTAGTGTCCACATAGTCATAGACAACTACATGTATCGGGGTACTATGCTACTACAGACAGCCCCAAGTTTAATAGACATGTGTCTTTTTTTTTGGTAGGTCAGAATATCAGCTTTATTCTTATTCTTAATGAATTTATCAAGCATCGAAGTTTCATATTGTTTTGCTGTTAAGCCAAGAAACCAAGAAGGTCCAAAGTGCAAATGCTGGCTTCTACTACACCCTCTCAGCGGCCAGTGAGATCCTCCAGAAAGTCTGTCAACTACAAGGAGAGGCTCTTGAAAGCTCAGGATCGAACAGAGTCATCAGATGAGGACGATGAGAATGACGAGGAGGGTGAAGGAGACGAGCAGGAACACAACAAAACACCAGATGGTAAATTATCAAAGGAGTGGATATTGGCCGGCGCAATATCTGTTAGGCCAAATTAAAAAACAAAAAATATGTTAAGCGTCCCCACCCGCTTCCTTTTTGGAGGCCGCCTCCTCTTTTTTTTTTTTTTTTTTTTTTAACCGAAAAACTTATAAATGTTAAACAGTGACATCATTTTGGCTTCTTTGTCCGTTGCATCTAGCCCGTTAATCAACAATAATCTGTGTCAATCGTGAGACAGACCACAGCCACCCCCCCCTCTCCAGAGAATGCTGCGTCAAGGGTACTGGTACCTCATGTCCTTGATGTCTATGATGAGAAATGTCCTTAATGTCTTTGAATCGTCAGGTAACGATTTTGGTGTGTCAAAACAGTTTCAGGGACACGTGTAAGTCATACGTGCACCACTTTTCTTCAGCAGAAGACGGGTCAATAAATGGTGCAGAAATGCCACTATGCCCTTCCTTACATTACAATGCCCCTGTGGATTTTAATGATTTTGCCAGACTTTGAAATGTGTCTCTAACTGGTGTTCTTGTCACAGTATTACTGGATGAAGCAGGGATCAAAGGAACGGATGTTTATCAATTCAAAAAGTACAAGCGGTCAGGGCAGATGGCTCAGCTGGCAAGGAGTAGTGCCACGCCCGTCTCAAGCAAGAAGCCGACTCAACAGCGGGCTGAGCCAAGGGTGACAAGGAGAAGTAGAAGTAAGAAACTGAAACCAACTACATTAAAGAACAAGTTCACACTCTTACGGCCAAAATCGAGTGTCTTTGATCATTAACTAACAAATTTCAAGTCCTGGTAACGGGAAATACACATAATGCCTCACATTATAACAGAAAATGTTAAAAAGCCCTTTTTGCTTTCCACTGACGGGAGCTGTTTTTACCTCGCCTATGAACATGTATTTCCATTTCACCCTAACCACCCCCAGCCCTTCAAAATCCAACTGCATGTTTTGTTGGAATCTGTTGGAGTGAGTACTGCACTAGTAAACTGATTATGCTTTTACATCGGGTTAGACATGCCACCATAACTCAGGGATGTGATTTCTCCGGTTTTCCCTGGAAATCCGTTTTTATGGGCCTCAGATCAAAAGTCAACCCACGTGAATCCGTTGAGAAAATGGGGGGGGGGTAGAATGTACTACATTGTACTTAATTATGCTGAGATTTACTTACTCTGTAATTTGCGATGTACATGTATGTATTATCCCCCTTCACTCCCACACTCTTTTGTCCGTTCCCACTCCCTGTGACCTTTGATCCTTCCCCTTTCTGGTCCCTCCCCTGTTCACACCAGACCCCTTGTGGTTTGCCATCTCCCTTTGTTTCTTTGTTCTCTCATCCACCCTCCCCTGCATCTTTCCACACCTTTCCCACCTAATCCTCCTTTTGTGTTTCTTCTTTCATCCCTGCATGTTTGTGTGCACCCCCATGTTAATGTATGTACCTCTGTCATTTCTGTTTTAGCCTCTGAAGAAGAACTTGCTAAGTTCGCAACGTCAGGCCACATTAATTTTTAATTTATGTATGTATTGTGTTATAAATACAGCATGGACCCCAAATTTGTAGAAGCCACAGTGCAGTCCTAGTTCAGAATGGACTTAGAAATAATAAACTGTCTGTGTCTTTGAACTCATCGATCTTTCCTTGCAGGAACCATACCCGATTCAGATGATGATAGTGATTCCTCAAAGACTTCAAGCTCTGATGAAGACAGCAACGATGACAATAGTAGCACCCATAGCAAGGACAGTACCTCGACTCCGCACAGATCAGGAAGGGGTGTGAGAGGCTGTGCCACACGTGATGTGAGAGGGGGTGCCACACCGGCTAAGGGGTCTGCTGTAAAGGGGCCTATCACCCGCAGGAGAACCAGAGGAGATGTAGAGCTGGTGAGGCTTGTCTTTTTTTCCCCTTCTTTTTTAATTTGAACCAAACAATTGACTGGTGTGGGTTTTGAACCTGTGACATCCGGATTGCCGTTCCGGTGCTCTACCAGCTGAGCTTTCCAGCCCTAGGTTGTCATTTCTCATTTTTTTCCCTTTCTAACGGTTATCAACTCAACACAAGGTCAGGAGCCAAGAACAGAAAGAAGTCAAAATGAAAGGAGATATCCTTTCACATTTCTTTTGAATTGTAAAAGATTCTTGGTTGATAAAAGTATGAGACAAAATTTGCGTTGGGAGTTCCAGATAGAGAGAAGTACTTTGCTATCCTTTAGAACTGATCAGTCAGTGCATGAGAAGGCAGGCATGGGAGTAAAATGCTTGAAAGTTCAGTCAAGGGGAACTTATGACGAAAGTCCATGGAAACACAACCCATGTTCAGCGCCTGAACAACCAGATTGGAGTATTTTGAGATACAGAGTATTTTTTTTTATGTTGTCAAATATTTGGTCGTCTTATACACTTGTGGAAGCTCTGTTTGCAGCCGATTGCTTTTTTCCTCTGCTTGTTCGCAGCCCAACATGGCCGAGGAATATTTCTCAGCTCACTCTGGTCAGTCGGTGACTTCGGACCACACTCTGGCCAGACTAGCCATCCCTAAGATGGATCAAGACGATGTCAGCAAGGCACTAGGTGACGCTCCCAACAGTCATAGCAGGGAAATCTCAGAGATGTATCAGGAATACAGAGGCTTGTTCAACAAGTGGATGTTTCAGCTAAGGTAAAGTATGGTCTACACTTTTTTTGTGGGGTTAGCATGTTGCATAAGTCAATCACAAAGAGGTGGGCTGGGGGGGGGGGTGATTTACTTGTGATGGTTTAATTTATTTTACCTACAAAAGTAACTTTAAAAAAAACACAATACTTACTTTTTTTATTAGGGCTTGGTATCGGAACTGGGTACCCAAGTACCCGACTGTAATGTCAGGAAGGAACTGGTTCCAGATTATGGGATCGGATACCGGTAACCAACTTTACAAATAACTTAGTAGTTTCTCAGACAATGAAAAGGAAGATTTTGAAAGGGTTTATTGTTTTATTCCCATCGGTTATCGGGTTCCTGTACTGGCCTTAAATCCCCTATTTTCTATAGATACATGTAAAAAATTTGTCTGTGTGTGCTTTGTATATTTTCAGCAATGGATTTAATCTGATGCTGTATGGTCTTGGTTCTAAGCGCCGTCTTCTAGACATGTTTAGGGCGGAGATGTTGAGCAACTGGAGTCACGTTGTGGTGAATGGATTCTTCCCAGGGCTTACCGTCAAAAGTGTGAGTTTGTAACGTTTCAGTGGATGCCTCTTGATATTTTTGGCTTGAAATATTTCTGGCATGATGGTTTTCCCATTTTCAATGAGATTTTTTTGAGTCATTCAGTTTTTCTTGAGTCATTTTGTCATGCTTTGATCCATATTCTTGTAATGTGGAGAACTATTGGTATAAATATAAACAACGTGCAGTCAACTCAACTGATCTTTGATGCACCAACATGTTGTATTTGTCTTGCCAACCAAGGCATTGGTCAAATGTCGTATATGGTTTGATCTTCAACTTTGTTTCTGTAGATATTGAACAGCATAACCGATGATGTATTTGAACATGAAGCTGGGTTCCGCAGTCTGGCTGAGCAGACCGAATACATCCATGACACACTAGAAGAACGTGAAGGTAATTTTTAAATTTGTTTTGTTTGGCTTCGGAGTAGTTAAGCTTCTGATATGGGAATAGTTTAGTGTCTACCAATAACACTGTTTGATTTTGTTACGCCTTCTGGCCTGTGTGCGTGTACCATTCTTAAGAAGGTCTCCCTATTATGAAAAACAGGACATTCAGCTGGATAGTTTATAAGTAATTATTTGAAATCAAACTTATTGATCATTTGAAATTAGGTTACCTAATCTGGTGCATGTATTTAAATTTGAACAAGGGCTAATTGTTTTAAGTTTATCTGTTGTACGTTTTTCTCGTTCATTTCAGAGCCATTATTTCTGATCATTCATAATATCGACGGAGTAATGTTACGGGGACATAAAGCTCAAGCCACTTTATCAGCATTGTCTCAGCTAGCTTCGGTTCATATCATTGCAACTATTGATCACATCAATGCCCCACTCAGTAAGTACATGGCTTCCAGTTATTATCTTTAAACTCACCAGTCCTTTTGATTTGAGGCGTGCGATTGCACCCCCACACCATCGCACGCCTAAAAGCTTCCCGAGAAGTGCGAATAGAGATGGACACAATGTATGTAAATCGACGCGTTGCAGTCGCAATTTCCTTTAATCATCTCACAGTGTGCTGATACTAAAATTTATTGGAAGATTTTTCATGGATCTGTGTGGCTTAACTATGGATCAATCGGTCTATCAACCTTCTGCAACCAATCACTTACTTATTATTACTCCTAATGAGTCTTGGAACCTCAAATATAAATGACTTGTATTTATTTATTCTGTCAGTCTGGGACCAGTCCAAATCCAGCAGTTTCTATTGGATGTTTTATGACGTGACAACCTACGAACCGTACACGGAGGAAACCTCTTACGAGAACTCTCTTCTTGTCCAACAATCTGGTGTTCTGGCTCTCAGTTCACTCACCCACGTGCTCAGAAGTCTCACACCTAACGCCAGGTAAGTTAGATTATGGGTAATAAATTGGCTGCATTTGAGTTGCTCACCCGGATCGACTTGGGTAAAGGCAGGCGGGTTGGCCACGACAGCCAGGCCAATTGAACGCTCAACTACAGGCCATCATGATCCTCACGTGACGTCCGTAGCCACGACTGTAGCCACTGACAAAACGCCCGTTTCTGACCGGCTCTTAGTTTGAAATTTACTACTTTTCAGTCAATCGCAAAACTCAAAAAAGTTGGGCTGCAATTATAACCTCTAGTGTCGCAATGAACTCAATAAATAATTAACTTTAGACTTCAAATAAGGTAGATTTTTAATTCCACTTGAGATTTTTGCTGTCCGGCTGCCATATTTGTTAATTTCTTGGAATGAACAACGCATGCATTGTGATGGATTTCCACCACTGACTCTGCTCTACAAGCAGGGTCTGTGATGGCTGACCCGGGTGAGCCCCGATAATGACGTCAGAGCTCATCGAACGGCACGAGGCTATTCCGAGTCAATCTGGCTGAGCTACTCGAATGCACCCTTTAAGACTTGAAGCAATTTTGTAATGGTAGTTTGCTATTCATAATCACTCTTGGAGGACAACTGCAGGAACGCATCAGAAATATAAAATCAGACATGTCTGATGTAGCATGGACAATAAAAATAAAGTAGATCCCAGATTTATAGATTGACCCCTACGTTTTATGCATAAATTAGAGTAAACTTTGAGTAAATATGCACATACTGTGCCCCTGCATGTGTTTACCTTTAAGTCCCTCTCTTTGATAACTTCTCTGCAGTTCTCACCGTTTTTCTTTCTTCTTTGAAATGCAGAGGCATCTTCAACCTCCTTGTGGGGTATCAGCTATCACATCAGGATGATGCCACTTATCAAGGTCTGTCAGAGTAGGAAGACAAAACCAACTGAAATAACACTTTTTTGAGTCTGTTAAGGCCGGCCCTCAAATTAGAATCCCTCCCAAGACCGTTTGGGGTTGAGCCTGCCCAGTATGTCAAAGGGATTGGGACCTTGGATGGAACCGATCCGGCCCGGATTAACTCCACTAGGCTTCTGCACCACACTCTGGGCATCATGCTTTAAGTAACCGGATGGCTTCTGGGTTCATACCGATCGGGGTGAAAGGGATTGGCTTTATATCGGGCCTGGTACCCAAACGGTCTGTTATCTGATTGCTGGCCTAATCCAGATTCTTGCACAACCAAACTATTGGAAAGATTTTTAAAACATGCATGAAAATTTAAACATTTGAAACAATAACGAGCATCTACAAATACATGTATGTTAATAATTTTGAATTTTATAGACAGGCCTCGGAGTTTCAACGCCTTGCCAGTGTGACAGGTCAAAACCGGTCAAAAATAAACTGACTGTGGTTGCCAACTGTGGAAAATATTTAAGTGGGACTCGCTCCCATTGTCTCAGAATTGGAAGTTTATATGTCCCATTGCAACAAGGTCCTCCAGACTTTGACACCTGTTGCACACTGTTGCATCTGGTGGGATTGGGGATAAAGAGGCTTGGACACTTTCATTTTATTGGCAGCATTGTATGTTGGAACTCGGTCACATACTTCATCCTTTTTGAGCTGATGATGTATGAGTGCGACATGATTTCTTGCAGGGTTGTCCTTTAATGACTTGTATCAGAAGTGTCGCGAGGCATTCCTTGTCAACAGTGAGTTGACTCTCCGGGCCCAGTTGACGGAGTTCAGGGACCACAAACTCATCCGATCCAAAAAGGTACAGTTGGATTTGTGCAACATTGAAAATGCTTTTTCAAGAAAAAAATCCCCTCAATTTTTTTTCTGGTTTTTGATGAGTAGGCAATCAGATGAAAGTTGTTGGGGATACATTTTGTTACACCTCAAATATATTGATGGGCAAAATGCGCCTCTTTCATCAGTCAGAAGTTCCGTCACATAAGAGAAGTAATTTTTGTACCCTGCGCTCAAGACGTACGTACTATCGCCCAACTGGTCAGTAGTGCAGAGGAAGTAGCACCCCAAGTTCAGTTCCTAGACTCTCAGCTATGCAGCAGTTGTGATCGAAAGTGAGGTTACTGGTGGTACCATGCTAAAACTCTTTAACTGCAGATGAGTTCTTGTAATGATCTTTACTTTTTTTAAATTATGATGATGAAGTTAAGTACAGCTGAGGTGAATTAAAACAAATAAACCTTCATTTATTTCAGAAAAAATAGTGCAGAGTTACTGGAATAAGAGAAATATCTACTTTTCCTTAAGAAACAAGATTTTATTGTCATAGTATTCCTTCTGTTGTACCTCTGTTCTTTAACCCCAATATTCCTGAATCCTCCAATTTTCGTCTGATTTTTTTTACACACCCAAGAGAATTAGGATTAATGATTTTTTGGACGTGCGTTTTTTGTCCATGTAGGGATTGGATGGTGTGGAGTTTCTCATGATTGCTGTTGACAGCCAAACACTGGTAGAATTCCAACAGCAAGAGGAGGTCTGAGGAATGGTTGATGTCAAGTTGCCTCGGATGATGAGTGAAAGAGTTTGCAAAGGTGGGAGACTTCGTACCAGAGTTGTGGTCGAGTACATCACAAGTCCTCACAAGTCCTCACAAGTCAAACGCTAGTCATCCAGCTCCGGTCACAAGCCATCCATGTGCACGGTGGCAAAGGCATTCCTTTGTTACCGTTCAATCCCTGTTACTCATTACTAGACTTGAGATTTACTTGGGACCAGACTTGTGATAGACTGGACTACAATACTGCTTGATGATGCATGCATGACTGACATCAGTGTGTTGCAACCAAACCATTGCTACTGGAATATTTCAGAATTTGTGATGCGATCAAGCTACATGAGTCGTTTGTCGACCCTGGTCAAAAAAAAATTATTACAGATTTGAAAAGAGCACCATCTCAGCATGACTACTGTGAAAACCGCATGCCGATACCATCTTTAGTTCAAAAATTATGGATGTTGGAACATCAAGAGATGTGATGAAGTGATGTGATGAAGTTTCCTATTTTGTATCTCCAAATAAAAATTCCCGACAAACGACTCATTTAGCTTGATCACATCGCATTTGTCATTAAATGACAACAGACATCATAATGTCTGTTGTCATCATAATGTCTGTTGTCATAATGTCATAATGTCTGTTGTCATCAGAACCCACTTTAAGCAGATGGTTTCTAAACCGTTATAGAGTGATTACAAATTGCGGACATTTATGCAAAGCATACTTGAGCCAAGATCTATCCTAGGAATAACATCTGCACTGCCAGGATGTCATTGCCACTTGAACTGAAGAAGTGTGACATTGTTTTAAAAGCAGTAATTTTTAAGTCAGTAATCATGCACAATTCTATACTTACAACTGATGATCATTGATCGATGGCATATGAGAAATGTTCAAGTTTTATTTCACTATCGAATCAATCTGATTGCAAGCAAGATATTTTGGATCGTTTGGAAAATTTTGTTTTCAGTTGAATATAATTTGAGATTAATGCAGATCAAGTGTAACATGGATTTCTAATTGCTGGTGAGATGAATTCTTAAAATGAAGGATTACATTTTGTACTCTGTATTTTTGCCATTTATGCACGTATTCTTAAAATGACATTATTTGTGAAATGGTTTTCCAACAGAAATGTTATATTTTTATACTTTTGTAGCACACAGTGAAAAGACCAATCCTGAGATTTCTTTGCCAACTTGTTTATATTTCTTATACAATATGTATCGGTTGTTCATAATTGACTTATATAAATGTAGTTTAACATTGATAACCATGTTTTTTTGTTCCATATAATTTCATCATTGAATTTGAATCCTTTGATTTTTCTGTTTGTGTTTGTTTGATTTGTTACATTTATTTGCGTACATCTATTTGGATGCATCACTGAGCCCAATATTATGCCTTAATGCAAAAAAACCCCCACAAGTATCGAGGAGCTGCTTGTCCAGAAGATCGGAATTCTAAGAAATAAATTTGAAAAATCTGATTATTTTAGTATTCCTTCAGTTATTTTGACATCTTTGTTGGGAGCTGGTAACAGGGGAAGAAAATGACACAAAATTGTTATGTTCCTCTGACTAATAAGACACTGTAACTTTTGTTTTGTATCACTAGGCAACTTGAATAAGGGAATAAATGTGTTTATTCCAATTCATAAATACCAAGAGTTAACAACAACTCAAAATGTATTAATTTTAAGGGATTTTGTTTTAAAACAAAACACCCCTTTAGCTATGCTATGGTATTGCCCTCGCGTAAACAACTCCTTATATTGACTGGATATTGACACGCGCGTCATGCATACTGTGTTGATGTGACGCAGAACACAGCTGTGCCGGTGTTGTGTGAATTTAGGACTGTCAAATACTGACTCACGCCTATGTGAGGATTGTGAGCGTTCATCTTCAACCAATTAAACGGTACTGGCACCCTTTATTGGAGTCCACATTTTATGTGACACTAGAAAAGTGTTTAAGACCAGCCAGCTGGTCTTTATCAACCGTTTAAAATCGGCCACGTGACAGGGCTTTCGATAAATAGGAATGGGTAAACTGTCTTCATGAATTTATGTTCGGATTAAGCACCTGAGTGCTTGATGTAATTTTTCGATTATGATAACATAATGACATCATTCCTTTGCCCCAAATTCAAGGAAACTGAACACCATGACAGAATGAATTAGAGCCAAACTGTTTCAAATTGAATACCAATTTTTTATTACTAGTATTAAATAGTTATGGTATAACATATTTCTACTTGAAACTCACTAAAAAGGTAAATATAATATTTTCATACAAAGAAGAAATACTAATCATACAATGTACAGTGTACATTGATAGTATCTGGATAGTGCTTTAAACTTAAAATGTATCAAAAGTATCAGAGACGTATAAATCAACTATATTGTTGTGACTCAATTTGTTTCTAAAAATCGACAAATTGGCTGTATCACAGTTTGCATTAAGAGTCCCAGAGGAACCAGGAAATGTAAAATAATATACAAAAATATCTGTTAATTATGATAATTATAATTTTCCTTTCAACACATCCATTGACAAATTTATAATTTTTTTATCGCATTTACTAAAGTTTTCACTTTGACCAGTCAAACTTAAAAAAAGAAAAGAAAAGTAATTTACATCATTAATGAACACATTAATTTGCTGAGTACGTGTTTTTGTTACCTCTATTATCAACTAAGTACATGTAGCTTGGGGCTATATATATAATATTGTTTTACTAAACAACTGAACAAACAAATATTTTTGTAATAAACAAATACAAATGGTTAGTTATGAATTCTATCTACTTGACTAAAAATAGTTAGTGCACAACTAAATTCAACTTAAAATAACAAATATTGATTTTTCAACACACACTGGAGTACAGCCCAATACTGAGCAGAGGGTCCTTTTCAAACAGAAATGTACCGCAACAATTCCCCCCAAATTTTGTTCACTTAAAAGAAAGAAAAGACTTGGATACCTAAAAAACCCAACTATTTTTGGAATGAAAATTATATTATGGCTTACATGTAAGATTGTGGTCATGGAAAAATTCTTGGTTAATACATCATTAACTAGTCAAATTATGCTCGGTTCTAATGCATTTTTCAGTTCTTGTACAAATACCAGACTTTTTACATTGATTGATTGAACTGAGTATATGATTGGTCCAAGCTGGAGGGGGCAGGGTTGGGATGTGGCTAGGGGTGGGGTGGGGGTGGGGTGGGAGTGGGAGCTAGTGGGGGTAATTGTGTTGTGGCAGTCTGGGGGAAGTCATGTAAGCACTGAATGCAGAATTCAGGCACTTTCTCATTGGTTAGTTGAACCTGGTTTGATTCATTGGGGGTGGGGGTGGCGGGGGAGGGGGCGGGTATGGTGAGGCAGACTGGGGGGAAGCAGGCACGTAAGCCCGGGATGCGGGAGGATACTGAGCAGTCGGACGGATGGATTGTCTGGGAGAGGAGAAATCCTCCATGGGATAAGACTCTGGCCGGGTTGCCATGGTAACGGCATCAGTTGGAAGATACATCCTGTTGCCTCGTAAATCTTGCTGGAGACTCATCCTGTGACCATGGTGATTGGAATCGAAGCTAGACCTTGTAGGACGTCCATAGCCGTAACCCCGGGATTCATCATCATACGTTTGGTAGCGGCGTGGATCCTGAATTGAATAAATTGATTTATTATCAGTGATAACAAATAAACCCTTTTGGATTGAGTGAATAGTTTCTTTGTAAACTGATAAAAGTTGTCATTGGCAATGTTGAAGTAACATTTTGATCTTATGCAGGCAATATCTTCTTTAGCAGTTGGGCTAGTATGGGTTTTTTTTGTTTGTGGAGAGGAGGTACAGTTTTCGTCTAATTATTAAAATCAGACCAAGCACTTTTTAATACTTAACTATGTGTACAACCATTGTGCTACTTCCACGAAAACTTATGATACTGTCTTCTACGTATCTTCATTATTTCCCACACATTTTATGAATGTGAACTTGCTTAAAGATGTCTGTCTTTAAACTTGTATTAATTTTGCGATTGAAAGAATTGGAGCCCTTTCTACGTACCTGTAGGTATCGGTCGATAGGTATAGTCTCAGGGGCCATGTAGGGTCGCACAAAGTTGTCCCGGTAGTCTGGTTCCTGAGCATAATTGTAGTTGCCAATGGAACGCACCTCTCTACGCATCCTCCTCTGTTACCAAAGAAAGAACAACTACATGTATTACTCCGTGTGTTCAAGCTGTTTTCGAAAGAGCCAATTCGAGCAAACATTTACTATTCAACTGTCCTCTTGATTTCTTGTTTTAAAGTAGCCTCACAGTCTGGAAAGATAATGATAAGCATATTTTCCATATCAACATAAGAAACGCACAGAGCAAACTGCAATGCCGACATACTGGAAACATTTCATCTGGAAATGTCACCAACATGTTGTTGCAACGACCCAGACAGACGCCAACTATCTCGAAGACAATAGGCAAAGTTGACGGTTTCAAAGAAACAATGAAATGTAATATTAGTTTGCCAAAGTGTATAAACAAAATACGAAGGAAAAAAATTCAGAATATACTATATGGCTACTTTTCATTTACCTCAACTTCCGGAAGTGTGCTCATGGCATCAGCGATGCTCCTGGCTTGAGACTCAAATTCCTCCTCCATGAAATCTGGGTTGTCCTCCCCCATGTCACTTGGATAAACGGAATGTCTGGGATCGGATGGTCTTGGTTGAAGGTAATCATCTTGATGAGTAGGCTGTCAAAACAAAGAAAGAGAGAAATTCTAAAGAAAGGGCTATTGAATTGGTCTGTGTACTTATTAACAAATTCTAATGAAGTCAACACAAGTCACAAAGCCTTTTCAAACAAACTGTGGAAAGGGTATTCCTCTGTCTTGTTGCTCATCTCTCATTACTGGCAACTCAAGATATAGGGCTACAAGAGAAATAAAAAGAAGAGTAGGTAAAAATCTCAAGGTAGTAACATTCTTCCTGAAACAGGACAGATCATATATAGGTTGGAGGGAAACAAGCTACAGGCATGGAATTCCAAAGCACTTGCACTATGTGACATGCATGAAAATGTTTAGAATATTGTCCGGAATTAGTCTTTTTGAATTTGAGAGGGCATTATAATTATGAGTATAGAAAGAAATGCATCTTTCAGACCTTCCATTTTTCAGACTGTTTTGATTGACAATATTATCCTATTGTGAATTGAAATGTGATTTACTTGGGAACAGACTTCTGATGTACTTGTACCGTACTTGTAGTCCATCCCAGGCACATGTACATGTACCTTGGCTTCAGTATACGTTCCTTTGTCATTGGTCATCTTCTGTTGCTTGTGACTTGTACTGTGGCCTGACTTGTGTTTGACAAGATTACACTTTTTGTGAGTATTGCCAAGAAGGTTTTCTCTCTCATTGCCTAAACCTAACTGCAATGCCTGATTGACGGACGACTTGACCTAGCTTGGAGACTTGTCCTGTTATGCTTTGTGGATACAGTGGCGTGACTGGAGTTCACTTTGCATCAACCACTTAAAAGGCACCTCATTTTCTTTAGGAGGAACTCAATAGGTGTTTTTTTTCACAATAAAATCCTAATTTTTTGCCTTCCCAACAAAATTTTAAGGGGAGGGGTGATCACAAGGGAGGCAAAGCCCTTAAGTATAGGGGCCTGTTGCCTTCCATACATGTATGACACCCCTTAGAAGTATGCATATCTACATTTGTTGAACTTCATCGACTAACCTCTTTGACCAGCGACTGTTGGCTGTCATTGGACCTGGTCTCAGCAATGATGGGATCCCAAATCTCCTCATCCCTGACAAAGCGGGAGACGTCCCTCTTGGCCGAAGACCGCAAGGAAAGCTTTGTAATGTTCTTCTTAGTCTGCCGATGATAGAAGGTGAAGCAGAGCAGAAGGCCGACGCAAATTATGACGAGACTGGCCACTGATGTTAAACTGATGACAAGGATGAGTGTGTCTGACAAGCCTGCAAAGAGAAGCATGGTCAGTCAAGTCATACAGAAAGTGCCTTCTACAGAACTAAAATTGAGTTTATTATTCAATGTACTATTACAAACTTTAATGTGTTTTTCTGCCTATACATACACGTGCACGTTTATTATTATATTTTTTTTTTTTAGATTTGCAACTGCAAAATTAAGTACAGGAATGTTTTTCTTCAGCAAAGATTATTGTAATGTAAATTGTTATGAAATGACTATCCTGCATAATAGAAATGAAAGTTATTTGCTGACCTATATGTTCATTAACTAATTATAATTTGGGGAACAGCTGGCATCTTGTCAACTTAATCCAATGGAGCTCCGATCCTTGAGGATGAGGGTGAAAATGACAGTTTACATGGCAGTCAAACCCACGTAAATGTAGCCAAGACTGGATTCAAACCTAAATCACAGCAGTGGGAGGCAAGCGAATTACCACTTCGCCAACCTGATCCCTAAGCACATTTTACTTTGTCCTCTATGACATACATTACTATTATCCCAAGTGTCCTGCCTACTTCATATATGTGAGACTCGTGTTTGTGTAGACAGAGTTTGTAGACACATATGGCCTAACATTTCTTTGTTCTTCATCTTTTTGAGAAAAAAAATAGCTAAAGAGAGACAATTACCTGTTTGTTCAGCATCCTCACATCGTGATCCTGTGTATCCATCTGGGCAACTATTGAGTGAAAATAATTAAAGTGCAGTTATAAGAATTATCAATTGCACTGTAAAAGCCAAATAAAAAAAAGAGGGAGAAAACAAAAAAAGAAAAAGGTGTGCGAAGTCATATTCCTGTTAATTTAACCCTAACCCCCTAGGCCCTTGTTGCTTACAACCATCCTCAATCCTCCAAAATCCTCCAAAATTTTCCAAAATTTTGCAACTTTGCCTAAATTTTTCAAATTGTCAGACAGTCCTGCCTCAAAATGCATTCATCCTCAATCCTCCAAAATCCTCCTCATACCAAAACTTTGCACTCGTGTTTAAATGAAGGATAACCAACGCCAAATCCTTCAAAATCATCAGACAGTCCTGCCTCAAAATGCATTCATCCTCAATCCTCCAACATCCTCTTGTGCTTCAATCACCATTCATCCTCAATCCTCCAAAATCCTCATGTGCTTCAATCACCATTCATCCTCAATCCTCCAGAATCCTCATTTGATTCAATCACCATTCATCCTCAATCCTCTAGAATCCTCCAAAACCGCCAGGAGGATTTTGGAGGAGTGAGGTGGGTTAGGGTTAAAGGTGGGAAAATGTCCCCCTGCCCATCCTCGAAAAAATGATGAATTGAGATCTGTGCTGGAAAAGTATTGGGATTTGGGCGGAAAAATGTACTTTGCCCCCCTAGAAAATATCCTGGCAACGCCCACGTAACTGTTATCATTGTCACAAGACTGCTATGCATTTGTGAACCTTTTTCACTTCAACACATCTTTCTCAACAAACAACGATTACATGCATTGACTGGGAGTGCATTGACTGGGAAAAACAGTACAGTAATAAAAAATAAATTGCCATTTCTCCTCTCAACTTTGAGGAAACTAATATCGGTACAGTTTACTTTGCCATCCAAAATGCTCTCAGAAACTGTTTTCATATTGCAGTTTAATAACGATAATGAAAACGTACCTGCATATCTGCTCCCCAGTCTCATAGACATTAACACATGATCCTCCATTGAAACAGTTTGTAGAAGGGCAATATTCTGAAATTAGAAAATTAATAATATTTGTAACTTTTGTTTAGCCATGGAAAAAAAATCATGGATTCTTGCTTGCATCTCAGATATATTAAAGAGGGTTTTTAGGAACTACTATTTAATTTGTATTATTCAAGCATTGAGGGCACAGATTGATTGTAGCATTAAGGAATTTGCTTTGCATTTTCTACATCCTTCATAATAAAGCATGTTAATTTGTTTAGATTCTTCTCATGTATTCTGTGTCGGGTGTCGGATATAGGATTGAGTTTGGGTTAGTTTGCCAGCACTTCCACCTGAATCATGTTAATTATTTACAATCATATTCCTGTAAAAATTTAACCTCATGAAGGAAGTGGAACATTATTGCAGATTTACAATTCATTGCTGATTAGATCTTTGATCTCAATACTTCAGTGTTGAATTCTACACCACAGACATCCCCTCGAAAAATAAATCTGAAATGAACACTTTTTTTAGAATTGTGGGTCTGTCATTTTAAATCTCACAGTATACCTTCACAAATTCTGCCAGGGCTCGTGGTCACTCGAGGCGACCTATCCACGAATCCTACGAGACACTGACAACTGAAGCCTTCAGGTCTCGAGTCTGTGTCATAGCAGGTGGCATTTGGGGAGCAATCGATGTCGGAGGATGTCGCACAAACCGATGGCTGGGGAACTGTGGGGGGGGGGGGGAAGTGAGTATGAAGTTTTCAATTCTCTTAAGTGGAAAGTTATCTCTTCTCGGAAGAATTATGGTTCTGAAAAGAACCTGTTGGTTGAGTGTAGACTGGTTCTTTTCAGAACCACACTTCGTCAAAGAAGAATCTTTCTACTTTATCTTTCTAGTTGTCCTGTTTATATCATGTCACCTCACTTCACCGATTGTTGATCAGACTGTTTCTTCATACTTTGGAGGAAATACATGACAAGCTCATTACACTGCCATTCACCATGTCTCTTTTCTATAAGTTTCTATCCCTTTGTATTGCTTGTACCCAAACTTCTTGTGAGCTCAGATCGATCATGATAAGTGCGAGCTCTAGGTTTTGTTTTCAGCATAGCATTAACTAATTAAATATAGTTACCAGCATACAATACATGAGAGAAATTGTTATAAAGAGGTCTTTTGATACCTTGTTAAAAGAGGTAGCATAACCGTGATTTTGTCTGACTTTGTGTTGAAAACATCATATCAGTGTTTTGTCTTACCGGTACAGATTCTGCCTGGCCTCCCTGCTGGTGATGCATCTATAAATCCCTCAAGACACTGACAAGTGAATGATCCTTGCAAATTGGTGCAGGCTGCATCGGAGGAACAGTCATTGGTGTCCTCGGATGCACACTCGTCAAGATCTGATGAACGGAATCAAGAAACAACATCTGGTAAGGTGATGTTTTTGAAATTGGGTTTTGAAAAAGGAAAGTCGAACACAATGCAGAGATTGTTTCTTTTTGTATGGTCAAAATGTGACAATCTTTATTCATAAAATTGTACAATTTTTCAAGTATTTTAATGATGACATTATTTATTTATATGCCTATTCATATAACACAATTTGTCATTCTTTTTTTTATTGTTCATATTTTTAAAAAAAGTACCCTGCCGGTGGCTAGTGCTTATTCCAATTGATCTATCATGAAATTGCAATCTGTACAGCTTGTTATTAACTTGCATTTGATGCAGAACTTTGGATTGTTTTTTTGTGACTGATATGAGCTTTCTGAGTGACAAAAGTGGGTGTTTTTGGTAGTTGGGTGGCCAGGTCACTAACCTGTAACTGTACTGGCGGCAACATCTACTGTGATGTTAATACTTCCTGTGTTGATACTTTGCATGTAAGCATCTTCAAATGCCGACTCTATGGCTGTAGGGTCATCAGCAGGCTGGTTCTGTGTGTTGTTCAGGTGTGCAACATAATCAACCACTATGGATCCATTCTTGAATCCTAAGACCGTGCTCCCTAGGTATCGCTCTGCAACCTCAGGACTGCTAGTCAGGTAGATGCTGTCAATCTGAAATTATAAAAAATAATTTAAATTGCAATTTTCAATTTCAAAAACGTTTATTTCTATCTAAAGCAGAGAATAACCATGAGTGCAATAAATCCTCATGAGATGCATGGAGGCATGATCATGAGAAGCTGCAGCTTGAAGGGGCGTGTCTTTATATAAATCACAACACATTGAAAAATTATAAATACATTGAAAAAATAATGTCTGAAGAAGTACATTTCAAAGAGCACAGCTGTTGTTTTCATTTGAAAATTGTGAAGGATTAGCAATTGTTGTGTTAAGCTTTATATTGAGTTAACATTCAAAACATTTGCTTAAACTGTTTTAAGTTTGTCAGACTCTCACTGGTTTTTACATTTTTATTTTGTTTGTGGAAGACACATGCCTTCTTCGAAAACATACTTGAGCCTTTTTTCCAGACTTTTTTCATTTCACTGGTTTTTACTGTGAGTGGATAGTGTAAAAGTTTAACCCTTGATATGATATTAGGTGTGAAACACAATGCCTGTTTAATTTAGTTTGCTAAGCGCGAATGCAATTGGTTAAATGATCGTCTTATTGGGCTGAACATTTGTTGCTTACCGTCTTTTCCATGCTTGCTGCCATTGACCTGAATGTTTCTGAGGAAGGATCTTGCAGCTCCTCACTGAACTCAGCTTGTCGACTTTCAATCTGAGTAATTCGTAAAGTTCCACTGAAGGAACTTGATGCTGAATCAAATTATGAAATTTAAGATACAATTACAAAATGTACTATTTCTTGTTATCTTGTATACAAGTCAGGTAGCGATTAGTCAAATACTATTAGAAGAAAATATCAAATGGATAAAAATGTATTTATCAATTGGTGTGTTATTCTTTTGTGTTACCATGAACACAGTTGAAGAGAAAATCTGAATCATTTGTCTTGAAAATCTTCAGAGCAATGAAACTATCACTTACATGCACATTCACCATCGGATTCAAAGAACAGTGGTAAGCAAGAGCATGTAAAGGATCCCTGACCATCACTGACACATTCGCTGTTTGCTTTCTCGGCACACGGATTTGAACTGCATGGATCTGCAAACAAGTGATGATAAAAAATAGTAATGAAACAATGGAAAATGTTTATCTGTAGAAAGCAATTTCTAGCCTTTAAACATTGGAGAAACAACTTGGTTTTTTTCCACATCCAAACAGAACTGATTATGTCTGACTGACTTCTGTTTTCTTGGTATGATAGCAAAATGTACAATGATTTAGTTTATTGCAATAATTACCAATTGGTGTGGCTTGATTGCCGGCCGTTGACTGCGACTCTCCAAGAGATCTAGTTGTAACAGCCCTTGGTGTAGGTATTGTTTGCGGCTTAGGTTGTGGGCTGGTAGTGGCTTCTCCGGGTGTAGCTGTGGATGGCAACTTTGGTTGTGGAGTTGTTGTGACACTCTGCGGTTGTGGAGTGCTTGTTGCATCTGTTGGTTGAGCTGTGGACGCCAATTTTTGTTGCGGACTGGTTGTTGTTGCATCCTGGGGTTGTGGAGTACTTGTTAAAACTATTGGCTGAGATGTGGACTGCAACTTTGGCATAGTTGTTAGTTCTCTTCTTTGAGTTGTTGACTGCAAGCCGTTCTTTGGACTAGTTGTTGAATTCATTGGTTGAGCTGTTGGAGGGGCCATGGATGCCTTTGGTTTGTCTGTCGGTAATTTTGGACTCTCGGTTGCCTCGTTTGTAACTTCTTCAACCACATCTGTTGTTGCAATTCCTAAATCAGTTGTTCCCTCAAATGGTTCAGCTGTTGTGTAGTCATCGATGTCAATAGTTGTTAATTCGGCAAACGGTTGTGTATAATCCGGCATCATGGTTGGCTTCATTATTTCTGTGCATGAAATGTATACCACAGGTTATACTTGGATTTGTTGTCATGGTAAAATAATATAGTGCAATGTAATGTATATCTTTTGCAAATCACAACTCAAGTTAAAAAAAAACTAAACAAAATTAAAAACATACCTTTACACATTGGTGGAAGACCATCCCATACACCATCGCATGTGCAGGATAAGCTGGGAGTACCAATAAGCTTGTAGCCAGGCATGCAGAAGAAATACAGCATGTCACCCTCACTTGGTGGTTTGTCACTTGGTATCATGCCACCGTGACCCCCACTTCCACTTCCAGGCATCATTCCACTGGCACCACCACTTCCAGGCATCATTCCACTGGCACCACCATTTCCAGGCATCATCCCACTGGCACCTCCACTTCCAGGCATCATCCCACTGGCACCTCCACTTCCAGGCATCATGCCACTGGCACCACCACTTCCAGGCATCATTCCACCGGCTCCTCCACTTCCAGGCATCATCCCACTGGCACCTTCAGTTCCAGGCATCATTCCACTGGCACCTCCACTTCCAGGCAACATTCCACTAGCACCACCACTTCCAGGCATCATTCCACTGGCACCACCACTTCCAGGCATCATGCCACTGGCACCATCACTTCCAGGCATCATTCCACTGGCACCTCCACTTCGAGGCATCATTCCACCGGCTCCTCCACTTCCAGGCATCATTCCACTGGCACCCCCACTTCCAGGCATCATTCCACTAGCACCACCACTTCCAGGCATCATTCCACCGGCTCCTCCACTTCCAGGCATCATTCCACTGGCACCTCCAGTTCCAGGCATCATTCCACTAGCATCACCACTTCCAGGCATCATTCCACCGGCTCCTCCACTTCCAGGCATCATTCCACTGGCACCTCCAGTTCCAGGCATCATTCCACTAGCATCACCACTTCCATGCATCATTCCACTGGCACCTCCACTTCCAGGCATCATTCCACTGGCACTACCATTGCCAAAGTTAGGAAACCTTGGTATGAATTCTCCAAAGGGAAATCGTACACATGTATTTGGTGTCCCACTATGTCCACCCCAGCCTGACATACCACCATGACCTCCACTACCATCACCGAACAAATCGATCAGCTCTTGCCATGGAACAGTTATGTCCCCAAATGTAATACCATTAGGAAAAATTGATGCCAGTTGCTGCCACGGAATTTCTCCTCCCTGAAAATGTGATATCAGGTCCACGAGGATTTCTCCACTCCATAACTTTTCCAAAAGTGTTTGAATGAGCAGTCGAAGCTGATCCTCGCCCTGTTCAGACATGCCACCCATATTGCTAGGTTGCATACCATTATTTGCTGTAAACATCTGACTAAGTGACCATGGCCAAGCCTCGAGGACAGACTGGAATCCTGATGGGAACAACCTGAAAAGAGCTTCCCATTGCATGTTGCCAGCCCCGAATGGAAGTCCGTTCGGAAGCTGCTGGAACAGTTGTTCCCACGTTTCAAAGCTGCTATCGCCAATGTCGAATAAACCTGTTGGTATAAGTCCACTCCATTGTCCTCCTGCAGGTGGTCTTATGCCGGTCTGCTCTCCACTGACATTACTTTCATCTTCAGGCGTAGAAGGCAACCAAGTAAGTATCACATCCAACAGATCCTCCCATGGGCGATCACTGTTTCCACCTGTTTCTGGCTGTGGGTTCTCTTGTGGAGGACTTGGAAAAAGTCCCGAGACCAACCAGGACCAATCATCACTCACAGCTGGCGGACCATTTGGAAACATAATGAACAGCACCTCCCAGGAAATGGTTTCATCTCCTATTGGAATACCATTAGGCATCAGCAAGTAAAGTTGTTCCCATGTCAGGTTAACATTTTCTAAGCCTAGAAACCCTGTTGGAATTTGTCCAGTCCATGGAACTATTTCGCTATCGCCTGGAGCATCGGGAATTGTCCAATCATCTCCCGATGGTGGCCCATTTGGGAACATCATAAAGAGCACTTCCCAAGGTATTAAAATATTGCCAACAGGAACGCCATTAGGGAACAATTGGTACAATTCGTCCCACGTTAGACTGCCATCACCCAAATTCAAGAAATCCGTTGGAACTAAACCAAGCCATGGTGTTATTCCGCTATTAACTGATTCCTCTGAACTGTCATCATTTTGCATCGGTGGCCCATCAGGAAACATCAAGAATAACACTTCCCAAGCAACTGTTTCGTTACCCAATGGAATGCCATTCGGAAACTGTTGATATAATTCTTCCCATGTCAAACTGTCATCACCTAAGTCAAAGAAGCCCGTTGGAATAGGACCAGTCCATGGCATTACACCAGTTGAAGAGTCATCTGAACTGTCTTCATCATCCAGTGGGAGCCCATTGGGAAACACATTGAAAAGCGCTGGCCAAGGAACGATATAATCACCAACAGGGACACCATTTGGATACTGTTGGAACAGTTCTTCCCAAGTCACATTTCCATTTCCCAAACTGAGGAAATCTCTTGGTACTTGGCCTGTCCATCCATCGCCAGAGTCTTCATCTGCCATAGGAGGTCCATTAGGAAACAACATAAACAGTGCATTCCATTCAACAATAGAACTACCGGTTGGCAGGCCATATGGGAGTTCCTGATACAATGTTTCCCATGTTGAACCGCTGCCCGCTCCAGGGAAACCCTCTGGAATTTCACCAGACCAAGGAAAAGCAACTCTACTGCCAGGATTTATACGTTCGCTGCCTCCCTGTTCTTGAGATGACGGAACAACTGAGTCTGGCAGGGATACGGTTACTGCTCCAGGTAGTCCACGTGGAAACACATTGAGGATTTGATCCATTGATATTTGACCGTCTGCAAAGGGAACTCCGGCAGGGAATAAATCAAACAGCTGTTGCCAGGGAAGGCTACCAATACTAATATCAGGTGAAGGGACACTTCCAGAAACTAAGCCTATAAGCTGACTGACGCCCTCAAGAGGATTAAACACTTCATCAGTTGTCTCCCCTCCATCTCCACCAGCCATCGTTTCTTCTTCTCCGTGGTCTCCAGTAGGCAAAGCACCATCGTCTGCACCATCCCCGTTCCCAGGCCTAGATTCACCATCACTATGAGGTCTCGGGCCCATTTCACCGTCTTCACCACTTGGAGGCCTCACATCACTGTCCCCACCAGGGCTCGGCATTATGTTTCCATCTCCATCAGCACCAGGCCTCATTCCCTCGTCACCAGTGTTCATATTCCCTGGACAATTATTTCGTTCAGATTCAAGCCACTCTAAGAATTGTTGTATGAGCGGTTCCCATGGAAAGTCTCTATCATTTGGGATCATGCTGCTACTGTTTCCATTCATGCCTGGGATCATCCCTCCATGGCCCGGTCGCGCAGTTTCATCTCCACCTTGTCCAGGTCTTGTGTTGCCTTCATCTCCAGGTCTTACTGCTTCACCTCCTTCACCCTCCGGCCTCATTGCTCCTCCCTCCCCATTTCCGGGTACAAGTCCCCCAGGAAAAGTATCTCCAAGAGGAAAACCATCCGGAAACATTTGAAACAGTGTCTCCCAGGCCATGTTATTGCCTCCTCCTCGAGGAATTCCATTTGGTAGCATTGTAAATATGTCATTCCATGGAACATCGGGGAAACCTGACGACATGTCACCAGTCCAGGGCCAGTTGTTGTCCCCGTTCGAGATACCACTCAGAAACAGTTGGAAAAACTGTTCCCATGAAATCTCATCATTTTTCAAACTTAGAAAAGCCGTTAGTAAATCCACATTCAAATCACAAAGCCAATCAGGGAGAAGGCCTTCCTTTGATCCTTCACTACTTCCAGGACGATGTGGAAGGTGAGGGTGGGGATAATGAGGATGATCGTGTGGATGATGACCAACAGGTGGCGGCAGGTCCTCCCAGTTGAAGTCTTCCCAAGGATTTCGCTGGGAGGGGACGTATCTAGTCTGCCCATTACTAGGAGCAGGAGGAATGTAGTCACATGTACCTGCCAAAGAGTAAAATCGAACATATAAATCTATATTATAGAAAAAGTAAAGGAAGTGAAGGCCTGTATATTGAACAATCCAACATGGTGGCCTGTTTTTAGGGAGCGGCATCGCGTAATGATTTTTAAAGCAAATTTATTTTCTCTCCCTTCAAAACAGAAAAAATAAAAATATCAAGGCATTTTGTTAAATGCCTGAACTTCACAGTTTGGTTCTGTCTAATAAACCGCCCTGTGATATCATGTGATTTTTATATTAAGAAAAGAGACATCCTAAAACTGTTCAATTTAATGAATAAGTTAGACAAAAATTGGAGTTTTAGCCAACATAATAGTGCTAACATAATACTTTCCCTAAGAAAAATCTTCAAACCTTGCTTTTGAATCACTTTTATTGACACACAAATCGAGAAAAAATAATTGGAAAGACTTTTTTATTAGTTCACAATCTAAATCAGTCATAAGGTCATGCAGTGTTGAGCTATTCTGTTTCTGTAAATGTGTGGATATTGATGTATACTCACGTCTGCACTCTGGAACGGGTCCACTCCATTCGCCCTCGAAGCAGACAATCCATTTTGGACCAACTACAGCAAAGCCTGACTTACAGGAGAAGACAACTTTGTCTCCATCTCTGTATCGCCTTCTGTGCATGCCATGGATATGGAGCCACAGCGGTGGACAATACTTTGGCGGTCTGGTTGGTGGTTGATCGGTTGGCTCGTAAGTGGGTGAGCTCGGCATTTCGGTGTTGTCTGGCTTTTCAGTAGTTGGAGGCATTGGACTGGTGGGTCGAGAGGGCATGGGTGGCCTTGTCGGTCGAGTAGGCATTGGAGGAGGAGTGGTTACAGGGGGTCTGGATGGTTCACTGGGTTCAGGTGAACTGAAAGGACTGGTTGACATTCGTGGACTACTGAAGGGCTCTTCGCTCATTGGTTCAGTAACCATAGTTGGTCGACTAGCATCAGGTGAGCTAGATGGTCTCGTTGACATTTGTGGACTGCTGAAGGGTTCTTCGCTCATTGGTTCAGTAACCATGGTTGGTCGAGTAGTATCAGGGGAACTAGATGGTCTCGTTGACATCTGTGGACTGCTAAAGGGCTCTTCAGAAGGTAGCTCTGTTGCCGTCTTCGGCTGAGTTGGGCTTTCAGTAAACGGATTCGTTGGGCTAGGTTGTATTGGCTCAGTTGATGAAACTGCGCCCATCCCATCAGTCGTTGCAATATCAGCGGCTGAATCAGTGGTTGTTTCGGGTTGGACTACCGACGTAACAGGGTTGACGATAGCTGTAACACAAACCAAATGGACGGATTTCAATGTAATGCTGCTCATTACAATGGATACATTTGTGATGTTCAATTTATTGACATGCTCAATATTTATTGTTTTCAATAGGGCCAGCCTATTGTCCTCTTACTAACTGAGTCACTGACGGGCTGGCTGATTGTCATAAACCGAAACTTTGGGGTCCATCAAGACTATAGACTAGATTTATTTGAAAATGAATTTAACGCTGAAGAATTGAAGATATTAAAAAATGCCAGTATGTTAACATGCTTGTGTTTTGTTACTTAAAAACGACATTTCGAGAAAACCTTGATCACTCTTAACAGCTGAAATTGTTTCCGGCGCAAAGTCTTAATTTAGGCCTATGTTTTCAATGAACCTACAAATTTGTACACAGCTTATCTTTCATTGTAAATTGACAAGCCGTGTACAATTTCAAGTTCTCAGAGAAACGTGAAAAGGCATTTTCAGCTTTGTTTTACCTTGGCAAGTTGGTATGTCATTACTCCACGAGCCGTCGGCGCATGTTATCTGTGCTGCACCGATCAGTTCGTAATCTTCTGAGCAGTTGAAAGTCACGACATCAGCATGTTTGTACGTTCCCATTTGAGTCCCAAATGCCGGGGCGCCGGGATCAGTGCAGTCGGCTAGGTAGAGAATAATTTAAATATGAGTAACTAATTCAGCAATTGGATCAAAACAAAGACCACTGGAATGACATATAAGAACTTAATTACAATTTCTCCAGCGCAAGATCCAGGACCTGAAAAATCCAAACTTGCGCTAAGAGCCTCGGCTATTAATTGTCTGCAATTACCTCGAGGCTCATTTGCAATCACACAGAAACATGAGGACTCAGCATATTCCTGTGAATTGTAAATTAGGAACACCGAGGTAATACTTCTATACAAGATGGTTCGGACGTGGCCTTGGATGCTGGACATCCTTGACAAAACTTGATTTTGTTGGTTGGTTGAAACCACAGAAACTGCATTGAATCGGGTTGGTTGGTTGGTTCCTGTTTAATATTTGTATACGTTTGTATGGAGTTTTATGTGTGGTAGTTGTGTCATGTGGGTCATGCGGCTTTGCCAAATCTGTGAAATTCTACCGGCTAAACAAGGAGGCCTCCCTTTCAACAAACTGTGTGAATTTGGTTATAACGATTTCTGTTTTGTTATTAAATCCATTGAGTTTACCTTTGCATGACGGTACGCTATTGGACCAGCCTCCATTCACACATGTTATTTGCTCTGCACCAACGAGCGTGTATCCCACTGAACAGTTGAAGAAGACAACTTCAGAATTGCCGTAATTGCCCGTTTGACTCCCGAAGGCGGGAGTTCCTGGGTCGGTACAGTTAGCTGCAATAATGAAATAACCAGGAATGAAACAGTTTTTATTCATACGAAGTTTCAGTTACAACTTGGGTGACGAACGCTCTCGTGATTTTGTCTTTAGAGAGGTGTTTATCGCGTAGTTGTAATAAGTTCGTTAGAAAAAAACGTTAGAAATAACGATCTTATACCTAAACAAGACGGGACACTGTTACTCCACGCGCCGTCCTCACACGTGATCTGCTCAGCACCGACAAGTTCAAATCCAACTGCACATGAGTAGGTCACGACGTCAGCATGATCATAAGTTCCTGATTGGCTGCCTAAGGTAGGCGTACCTGGATCCACGCAGTTCGCTGCATAATTAAATAAATTACAGACATGTTCACAAAACTTTACAGACATGTTTATTTCTTGTTTGCGTGGCTTTCAGTAACTCTTTTCTATGAACTGCCATGATCTTCCTTTTCAATTCTTGAATTGCAGAGCTTTTCGTTTTAAACAAATGGTTAATGTGTCTCCTGGTTTATGCATGGTCCAGATGGTATTAGAGTGTTACGTGTTAAAATGATCGTCTGGTGATTTGCTACTCTCGGTCACTGATGTCACGTCTGCTAAACACGTGACATCGCTCAACTTACCGAAGCAAGATGGCACAAGCTCATCATAGGTACCACTGCGGCAAGTCGCGTTTCTTGCTCCCACAAGGGTGTACCCTGCATTGCACTCAAAAGAAAGGGTGTCTCCATTGCTGAAGGTACCAGTCTGCTTTCCGTTAACTGGGGTACCTGGGTCGGCACAATCCGCTGAAGAAAGATAGTGTGAAGAAAACCATTAACTTTGACTTTGATTTCTATAAAGTTATTCAGGTCTACAACTTGTTTCACAAACTTTTATTCCACAGACATTCGCTTTCTCGGCCATCCGTCGATGTTAAATGGGCTTTTGTCGGTTGTCTGCTTCAGGTCTTACTCTGATATTGTAAACGTTTATCTAATTATCTTTGGTCTGATATAATAATCAATGGCTTAATTGTCATGAGTTTCTGTTTTGCTAGTGTGGTACTTAACTCACCTTCGCAGGTGGGCACATCGTTGCTCCAGCTTCCATCAGAGCAACTAATTGCGCTGGCTCCCAGCAAACTGTATCCCCCGTTGCATGTAAATGTGAGGATACCACCGTTGCCATAGGAACCAGACTGCATGCCATTATCGGGAGTGCCAGGGTCAATACAGTTTGCTAAAAAGAAAATGCCGTATTCTAAGTCAGTTTTATATTAACTCCATGTACGTTATACGTTTAAAGGGCGGTGTGGAATAACTGCTAACGTTGATCTGTGTTTAATGAAATACAATTATGGATATATAAAGAACCGTTTACCATCTATTTTTACATGACCCTTAACCTTCCTTTATTTTATTACGAAACGTGAGTATCACTTATTGGTTTTGGTTTAACAGGACTGGAAAGCCGTAATCTTTAGAGTATAAACCGCTCCTTTCTTGAAAAATCAAATCTGGGCAATTACTTAAATAGCCAACATACTCACCAAAGCATGTTGGAGTAGAGCGACTCCAGGCTCCATCCTCACAACTGATCACCGACGCCCCCACGAGATCATACCCAGCATCACACTCAAATGTTACAGTGGTTCCCATCAAGTAAGTTGGATCTCCTACCTGAGAACCTTGGGCTGGCGTTCCTGGATCCCCACAGTCAGCTAATTAAGGAAAACGAACAAGGGGCTGATTGATCTGTTTTTGGTACCATGGTTCTAAGCTTGACATAATTTTGCAAGACATACACAAATATAAACACGCTCGTTCGTGTGTAGTGCCCAAGGAGAAATGAGCAATTATGTGGTTAAGTTGTAAGGCCTACATGTATAATCATTTGAGCTTCTTAAAGGCTTTCGTATTCATTTTCGTAGCAAGGCGTTCCTTTGAAGTTCGATGGGCCTCTTGACAGTTGAGAAATGAGCAATTAGTACGTCAGTTAAAGAGATCAGGATTAGTTTTGGTGAGCCGATTATTTCCTTTTCTTCATTGGATTGACAGGTGCCCTTGCAATTAAGGTGTGTTTCGTCTCAGCTGTTCTTGCCAAGAACCGAACAGTTTTATTTGGGGTATAAAGATGTCAAAAGAGGAGACTTCAAATACAATGTCATCATAATTATTGCACATTACTGTATCCGCCTTTGTTAAATGTTGGCTTGAATCGCCTAAAACTGCTGGCTTGTTGGCCCTGTCCTAAAACAGGCAAAACCTAGATAGAGACGTTCAATTATTTAGCAGTAAGAACTTACGTGAGCATGTAGGAACTGGCAGCGACCACGATCCATCGATGCATGTACTGACGGAGGCTCCGATGATACTAAACCCTGAGTCGCATTGGAAGTTGACTGTGGTGTAGGCTAGGTAGGAAGGTGTTCCAACCTGGGAACCGTTGACCGGCGTACCTGGGTCACCACAGTCCACTGTGGAGTGTTAATAAGCAAAATGAAAATGATTTGTCAAATTTGCTCTGTTCTGTGACAAACGAGAATTTTCAAATTTTGGAAATGTTACATACTCCAGGGGCGAATACAAAATTAGAGAAACGTTCCAGTGGTGTACAAAATGAGAAAAAACCCAACACTTTCGCTAATTGAAATATCAGCGGCGAAAGAGCAATAGGACCACTAATGAGATTATCTGGAAGTAAATATTAACCACGTTCGCAATTGTTACCTCCGCCAAGGAGGTTATGTTTCTATCGAATTGTGTTGGTTGATATGTCTGTTAATAAGATAACTCAAAAAGTTATGGGCGGATTTGCATGAACATTGTTTGCATGAACATTCTTTGGTACAAATACAAATCGATTACATTTTGGAAGTGATCAGGTGGGTTTTTTTTTCACTCAGTAGACGTCACGCAATTATCGGTGATGTATGACATTCACCTTTCCAACAGTAGCTCATTAAAGTGTCTGATATGTACGTCCGAATTTACGGAATTTCCCACAGTCTGCTTAATATATGTATCCAACCAACCAACCATGGCTACTTTTCTCGATTTAACTTACTGACACACGTTGGCACCTCATGACTCCAACCTCCAGCGATACACGTGATCACGGGTGCACCAATCAGACTGTAACCTGGTGAACACTCGAAACTGACCGTGTCACCATCGTTGAAACTGCTGCCAGATGTGATGGACAGATTGGGCGTGGTCACCACTGAACTGCACGACTGAGCTGTAAGGTGAAACATTATTCTAGTGTTACGCCGCCGGGCTGGGGTTTCATTTAGTTGCGGGGCTGTGGCTACATTGAAGTACAGGGTATTGGGGCTACTTGGGGCTCGGGCTACATTTAGGTACAGAGTAAGGGCTACGATTTGGGATACATTTAGGGCTTGGCCACATTAAGGGTATAGATACATTATACATGGTTGGGTCTACATTTTGGGTTTGGGCTGCATTTGGGTACAGGATACATCATTGATCAAAATGAATGTATGGTTATTAATTTCATGCTTTCGCAGATGACCTATGTCATTCATGTTAGGAGAGCCTTTTTGTAAAATAATTTATATACGGCAAGTGCGTTATCCCTGCCCTATAAAAATGTTGGCATTATACTTTGTGTTTCCCTACCTGGGGAGCTCGGGATACCCACATTCAGTTAATTAAGGGAAACGGCACAACAGGCTTATTTTTCTACTTTTTGGTAGGCCTACCTTGGTACTAAGCTTGGTCATAAATTGGCAAGACTTTAAATACATGCACAAACACCCTGGCACTGTGTGTAGTGCCCAAGGAAAAATGAGCAATTATTAAGTTGTATAATCCTTTGAGCTTCTTATGGGATTTCATATGCAATTTCGTGAAAAGGTGTTCCTTTGAAGTTCGATGGATGGACCTCAATTGAAAGTTGAGAAATAAGATATTATGTCAGCAAAAGAAAAGGTCTGATGAGCCGATTATTTCCTTTTCTTCTCTGGATTTAAAGATGCTTTCGCAAGAGAGTGTGTTTTTATCAGCTGTTTTTTTTTACGAGAGTCGAATACTTTATTGGAGGTACCCTTTCAATGCCATCGTAAAAACAATTCATAGAGAAAAAAAACAGCCCTTTGGGTTGTCGCTTGGTATTACGAATGTCTGCATATCAACTTAATATTTTTTTGTTTCGACCAGCCTTTGCCTTTTCAATGTATACTGGTATAGATATCGGTTGATAAGTACTGATTCGTCACATGGGGATATTGTTGTTGCGCTTTTCTGTAAATTCCTGTCAACCGTCTTGTTATTTTGTTCTACTTCAGGCACAAGAAAGACCGCAGTTATTATTTATTGCAGTTGACGTCAGGGCGTTGATCTTGTCATAGTTTCCGTGGTCATAATCTTTTTAGAAGTCGAGTTTAAATGTCATTATTACTATTACCCATTCAGCCGATGTCTGTTTTTCAAGGGGCCGTGCGAATTAAGTACCAAAATTACAAATTATTTAATATATTATATAAACTTATATGTTCAGAGGCATTTTTGATATAAAAAAAATACAAAATATCAAGTTAAAATGGAATCAACGTCAAAATCCAATTAAGGCAAATACAAAATAGAGAATATGGAATGAAAATTTTATAGATTAAAACAGTCTATTGAATTTAATTGTGTTTAAATTTGAGTTGTCCGATGTCTTTTATCTTGCTGCCACATCGGAAACTGCATATGAATTTAATGGAATAATATTTAAACTGTTTTTGTCTTTTAGAGGAGTGTTAGCGCGCGGGATTTATTAATAGTTCAGATTTTTAACTTCAATCTCTTTAACATGTAGAAAAGTATAACTTTTTGGCACTTAACAGTTAATAACTCGTTGGCTCCACAGTGTTACATTGCAGTGCGCAAGGGTATAAGTCTCAATCCAACAAAAATACTCCCTTGCTCATTTGCATAAGAATTCAATGGGAGTGACACGTCGTCGTAGGTGAATGTGTTTCCTTATTTGCCGACCCACTCCAAACTTTCTTAGACCTTTGAGAGATCCCAGAGTATTATCCGTTGCGTCAACACATCTTTCATAACGTATTACGGGTATTTTCCATAGCCTCTTTGCATATAAGAATGTCCTCATACTGTTGGTCAATTTGTTCGGCATCCGTAATGGGACACAAACAACCTCGTCATTTTATTGCACTGCATATGAAATTAGTTTCACCTGCTTCTGCTGTGTCATGATTTTGGGTACAATGTAATTAGAAAGGGCGTTAGCAGATATAAATTATTAAAGGATTGTAATATAATTACGGATAGATTGTAAGTCCATGGTAAGTTTTGTTCGGTCATCGAGTGGTAAGACGTATGCTCTAGTAAGCGGGAGGTCGTGGTTTCGAGTCCAAACCGAGTGAATTTTCCGCCCCCTCACAATCACACTTGGGCAACACGGATGCATACAGTGTTCGTAAAATACGTTGGTGAAGGGCAAAAATCCAATATTAAATTTACAGCACCCGAAGCAAGTTCCATCTGATGAATAGATTCAATATTGTTCATTATGAAAAAATAGGCATTTTATGCAGTTGAATACGAGCCACATTTAAGGAAAAACATAAGCGACAGCTCAGATTAGCTTAAGCTCTAGAGAAAGTTAACCAGTGCCCACAGACAGAGTACGTGCGACTACCTAAAACATAGTATAAAACTGTAAAGTCCTTAGGCCTATAGGGAAAGATCTGTCACTGAGTGACTAAGAATCAAAGAACAATGTTTTTTTCTTGATTTGCGCAAATGAGGAGATGCTTGAGGTTAAAGTCAGCATCAATAATTGTTTTGCCGCCTGCGATCGTAATTCCCAAACAGACCCACCGTACTGTAGGCCTATACGTAATTACAGATACCTGCCGATTGACGCATAATTAAGTCAATACTGGGAGAAAAATGAAAAGATGTATTTTTGGACAGTCTGACCGTCACGATTCAATTTTTGCTTTTGTTTGGAGAAAAATGTGGAACGAATATTTTTCCGCACATATTTAATGAAATATTTAACAGGCATGATTATTGTGACTTTAAATCTGATGTTTTAATCTGTGAGAAATACATTGTCATCATAGAAAGAAATGAACCTTTCAGACCTTCATCCATTTTTGTTTTACTTGATCAATTGACAATATCATCCACGTTTAACGTGGGGGAAACGCTGAGGACGAAACGTTTTTATCGATGCATTGAAATTAAAAAAAAGGAAAATCGCGCATCAAACCCAACCGCCCTTCCAATGCATGGTAGAAACCAATGATTTTATAGAGACATAAGTCTTTCACTGTAAAAAAAAAAAAAAAAAAAAAAGCGGCCTCTAAATTCGGGTTATTTTTGTGAAGTGAATAAAAAGCCACGTTTCCATCGATGACCTCGTGCGTCTATGACATCTATAGATATTCCTGAATTTTGTCAAAGTTGTTTGGAAACAGCGTCGTTTTGGAATGTTCGATCGAGAGTGGAATCTCTAACTTCTTCGACATCGTACGCGATAGAAAATCCTGAGACAAATTGGAGTAAATGACATGACTTTTGTTTTGGGTTTTATTTACATTCGAAAATGATAAACTACATAAATCTGAGTAGGCCTACGTGATTTTTTTAAAGAGTTATTTGTTGAATCTTAAACGAAGTCATGCTTACGCTTAAATAAAAGAACCGAGATGCAGTATTTCCTTTCTACATTTTCTGTGGTCTTTTCAAATTACTCTATTTTTTCTTTACCATTTAACTCCCTTACCTCGTGATGGGTCGACCAAACTTCCAAAAGAAAGGACAGCAACAAGCCACAACACTTTCAGAAGGCGGGACATCGCGGAGAAATTCCCCCCAATCTCGCTCCGTCCTCGTCTTTGTCAGTATCTCCAACGAATTCTCCCCCGAACCGAGAAAGATCTTAGACTCCACACCCAGGCTAACAAACTTTCCCCAAATAGACACCTGCCATTGGCTAAGCCAACTGGTTGTCTGTGGTGCTAAGAGGAGACATCGCCAGGTTTTCAGCACTCGTACCCAAGCTCCACCCTAGAAAGCAAACACGCCGCGCGAATGGGGCTTACACGGTTATGTAATGTCATGTTAGCATTTGGCATGATCACTCAATGGTCACATGCCAGTCCAAAAAAAAAGTTTTACAGGGAAGGGTGTGTATAAGGGAAAGTATGAGTTAGTCTGTTCGGTAAATATCGATCGTGCTCACGTAGCCTTGGGCGAGGCAGGTTGCTATGTTGTGACGCAAATAGCGACTGTGTGTTTTTCATCAGTAAACGAAGGAATGACTAAGATACCTAATAATGAAGGTTGAGTTTGCACCTTTTTAATTTGTATTAAGATGGCTGTAGCCTTCGTTTTAACTCCTAATTGCTTGAACGTAATATTAGTTGAAATTAAACAAGAAAAGTTGTTGCGTAGGTAGGCGTTCACCGCGTTATGGGGGAAGTATTTTATTGTTAGGCAAATTAGGACCGAGTTATGGGGACTTTCTGCTGTCCCCACAGCGTTTTCGGTCCCGTCAAATACCCGGTCCCCGTAGGGACGAGTGTATGTCCACACAACTACGGAACAAGAATGGGTGTGTTTGTTTGTTTGTTTGGTTTTTTTTTTTTTTTTTTTTTAAATTAAGTAACTCGAACAAAACCTTTCGGGAAAGGGTGCACATTTCTAACAAAAACGTTTGGGTGTTTTTTTTTTTTGGGGGGGGGGGGGGAGGGAGGAGAATGAAGTCAACTGTTAGGTTTGATGAAGATTATAAAATTATTTTATAGGGTGTTTAAGTCTGATGCAGAGGCCACACAACAAAACCTGTTTTTTATTTCTATATTGTTAATTTTCCAGTTTCCAAATTTTTATATCATACAATTTCTAAGTTCTGAACTATCGTGGGGCAAGAATCTGTCAATATGTGCTGCATATATTTAGCACTATGGTCCGAACAGTCTGTGTTGTGGAACGAAAACCACACTTCTTCTAGACATTCCATGGAAAACTTTGAAACCCTGTTTGCATAGTCTGGTGGGCACCGTTAGAGCTTAATTCCCAAACGCTTTACCTGCTCAATACTCGAGTGTTTGTTTTGCGGACTACCGTTATAGTGAAGCCGAAGAGACAACAGTTCACTGTGTGCTTCCGCCTCTGGTCGTATCGTGGCATGAGAGTTGCATCTCGGAGCAGGTTCGATCGAAGACCATTGGCCGACTTATCGATGATTGGTGACGTAACTACACTAATAATGTACGATGCGATTGATCTCGGTAGACTATAGCTAGTCCCGAATAGTCGACTTGCGTGAGTTCGATCAAAGACAGCCGAACTACAAGTTTCACTCGATTTCGCTCATCTTATCAACGTTCTTCAGTGTCTTATCTGTGTATTTTCATTTCTTCTTCCTTTTTGGCAGGTTTGGGGGTATACGTGTTGAAAATAAATAAGTAAATATACACTTAAATCCCCTTACTTCTCTGGTCATCTTGATAACCGTCTTCCCAATGTGGCCACGTTAGTCGGCCCAGGAAAATGTGGCTACATGTGATTATGGTTAACCTTGGCCGACCGTTAATAGTGACGACGTCAACTTCCATCTATTCCTTCTTCCGTAGTCCCATCATAGAGGAATGTGTTCTTATTCCTCCATGGTCTCGTATACCGATGTGAATATCCTCGTTTGCACTCTACTCAAATGAAATGTGTTGAAGATGTCTTTCAAGCACAATGGGCTATAATTATATAGAACTCCCAGTAAACAACAGATAGGACATTTTTACAGATTTCTTTTTGATTAATGTATAAGTTTAATAAACCCGTGAAATTGTGATTTTTTTTCATCAAAATATACCGCCACATTTTGTGTATTCATTTTCCTGCGTGTGCAAACGTCTGCACTGTGTGATCGCGTTAGCTTAAACCGTGCGCGATTCCACATCTTGTAGCAAGTCTTATCAATATGCATCCTGTTCTGGAGCTTGCGCTGTCGAACGTTGTTGAAAGAAATAAATACATTGAAAAACATGAAATAAATTATTTGAAGACTTATTTTCACTCTTTGTAAATAGACACATATAGATGCATATATAAAGCGCCCGCACTGGGGACATGCAGGTCATCGTTCCTTCGTGAGACGCATGACACTTTGCACTGTTAATGTTGTTAGTGAGGGCGCTCTTTTCAGGGGGTCTTGTTTCAATTCCGATAACCACAACATACTAAGTAATATACAAAGAGCATCAGGCTAATATGAAGGATTCATACATTCTACGGGTTAATGAGTTTATCATCATGATACCCCGGGCAAATTTCTGTGTCGTGCTATGTGTGTGGCTATTGACCCAGCTGCAGAATGTTTTTTATCATCTGAAATGTACTTTATAGCGAGAATAATTTAAGCTAATTATTTTAGCATGAAGAAGTTTTGACCGATTCCATCCATCATCCATTTGTTCGGAAGGAGGCTTATTTGCTATCCACAGGCCTAATGCGGTTATTCCATTATCACCTGTCATTATCGCTTTATCATCATTTTTCAGTATTCTTTTTAATGACATGAAAACCATCCATTTGCGACAGGCCAGAGTTCCATGTCCCTTTGCAGTCTGCTGAACTTTATAAAAAAAAAATACAATGTTTATGTTATTCAATCATACTGACCGTGCAGCTGTATAGACTAGATAATATTTACCGTGAGATAAACGCAAATGGCTGACGTGTTTTCTGCTAGGTTTAATACTTTGTTATCTAGAAAAGGTATCTTAGAATATCTGAGTTTTATCGGCCAATTCTGCAGTGCGGAGCGGATTGGTATGGAACAGCACGATTTTGATGCATTGGGAGCGGTGGCCCCAACAGAACGGAGTGACGATCGCGCATCCATAAGGGTGAAAACCTGATATCCGTACTTTCGCGATTGTAATTAGTCAACCATTGGATCACGCCTGAGCTGTTGTTCTGATGAAAGAAAATGTGACATTTTCACCTGGGCCATCGAGCGAGTGCTTGAGCACAAAATTGTAATTGAATACAGAATAATAAACTGCACGGATGACGATGGCTTATTAAGTGACCCGCTGTGTTATGCTGGGGTCGATGGCTTCTGCCGAGGCAATTTGACATTGACGACATCATGAACCCTCCATCGCTTTATGTAGCAGTAATTATGCATGGACACTGCAAGTGCATTGGTGCATAGGTCCTCGAGTCATGTGTAATGAGTTGGGTTTCTCATTGCGAGTATCTGCGCATGAAAGCCGTGCGGATCAGCATCAAAGCATCATCGTGTGCGGATCAGCATCAAAGCATCATCGTGCGGATCAGCATCCAAGCGTGCACTTGTACTTGATAACCGCTCTTGTATGAAAAGTCCTTCGAAACTATCGAATGCAACAATTCACAGTCAGGCATGAATACCAACAATTCTGCATCAATAATGGAAAGCTTCGGAAACAATTCGACTGAAATTGTACCGTTTGATGAACGTATTCTGTCGGTACCTGAGATCTTCATCTTCGTGGTGTTTCCGGTCGGTCTCCTAACCAACTGCGTTTTTCTCTCGTTCATCGCACGCAACAGATCACTCCGGACTCCGTTCAATATTTTCTTGTCCAACCTATCCGTGGGTGGTGTCATCTTCTTGATTCTGGCGCTGTCCTTCACGTGCGTCGGCGACAAGGAAGATCCCTTTTTGCGCGGGTTCTGCTTCATGTTTGCCGTCTCCTACGTGGCTACTAGCTTGTTTGTCACCATCGTGGCCATCGAACGCTTCCTCGCCGTGTGTTTCCCGTTGAGGTACTCGATCCTCGTCAATGACAGACATCGAGCTGGAAAGATCTCTGCCGTGGCCTGGCTGACTGCTGCAGTTTGTGGTGGTCTGGTCAAACTGGTGGTGTCCCTCTTCAGCTTCCACCAGGATGCTCTCCTCCTTGTCATCGTCTTCTTTTGTGTGGTATTCCTAACTACCAACAGTGTCTTGTACACCGTCACACTTTGGCGTCTGTGGAAGCGTCCCCTGGCCTCGTCACTGGTTCAACGCCGCGTCGTCATCAAGTTGGCGATCACTGCAGGTGTGGTGTTTGCAATCGACACCACGCACGTCATATACATCATCTTACATTACTTCTTGGAGGAAAAATTGAACAAGACCTCCTTTGAGATGATCGTACTGGCTCTGAATGCGGCTAATTCGACCATTAACCCCCTCATGTACGGCTTGGTCAACAGCGACTTGAAGGAGCTGTCCTGGAGGAATGTTCTCGGGAGATGGTGCTTCGCCAAGAGACGAGCCCAGGAGCCTGTGGAGAATCAGCCACCATCTCGCTCTTTCAGAAGGACATTTGACATGTCAACTGATCGATCTCCAATGCAGACTCTTGATCAGTAACTATGCTACGACTGCTGCAAGAGGATCCATTTTGTAAAATTGTATACATACGTATAATGTATATGTTTTTGCCTGTCAAAACAATTTGGACATGTGGCAAGACGCTACGATTTCTGCGCAGTACTTACTGTTCCACTGTAACTACATGTATTTTAATTTCACTTGCAGCACTAATGTTACCCTGAATTTTGTTTAAAAATGGGTTTAATACATACCTTCTCTTAAAGGACGTTTGAAATTGTTTCGTTGTTTTTAATATTTAGTCTGTGAAAAAACTTGCTCTTGAATTTAAGATCTTCCGGGGAATTATACTGCAAGGAAAATAATATAAGCTATTACAAATAATGTTTGACCTATTCTGTGACTCTGGTAAAAAGCCAACATACAGTTCGTTTAGTTTGTTTTGAATTTGAATTTCTAGCTGAAAATTCTGTTCGATTGCTTTTGATAGTAATTTGCTGTGCATAAATCTTCTTTCCAGCTAAGCCCACGTTATATTTATCTCGTTGCATTATCGAAGAGTAAACATCTTGTGATTTATATTGCTCAGAGGCTCCGATATAATTATGAAAACATGAACTGTTGCATTCTTCAAATAGCTCGCCGTTATTGCCTCCCATGAATATCTCTTGATGTAGAGAAGAACATAATGGTGAACAGAAACGTTTTCGTTTCTATGTTGTGTTTACAATTTCACTTCGCATTACATTTTGTGCAATGCGAAAGCCCTTCAGTGCTGACTTCGCATGTAAAATCTCATTCAATATTAATATATATACCACGTACGGCTGACTGTAAAATCACTTCCCTGAATTTCACACTGCATGTAATATTAAAGCTGTATGTTAAAGACTGCATAGAATCGTGATAAATCACCATGGCATGGCCTAGTGCACGTTTCCAATTAGCGGGAAAACGATTGACGGCAAATCACTAACCAGCGATTGCCATGCCCCCTTTAAACTAATCAAAATTGATGCAGAGAAGTAATTTTCTCCCTCTATGCCTACCTGTAATCCGTTGGGTTTAATTACTACCTGATTTGAACTTGGACTTTCATTGTGCGTCGACACAGCGTACCTATAAATCGGTTAAAGTTGTTTTTGTTATTTTACTGTAAAACAAACAAGAGGTGGTTTTTTTTTATCTCAGAATCACAAAAACACATAGATGTTATAATAATAATAATTTCAAATTAGGTTTTGCCCTTCACCGACGTTTTTAAACACTGTATACTCAGTGTGTTACCTCCCGAGTGAAAGTTGGAAAAAATCACTCGGGTGGGACTCGAACCCACGACCTCCTGCCTTCGTTAGCTCGGTGGTCGAGTGGTAAGACATCTGCACTAGAAGGCAGGAGGTCCTGGGTTCGAGTCCCACCCGAGTGATTTTTTCCAACTTTCACTCGGGAGGTAACACACTGAGTATACAGTGTTTAAAAACGTCGGTGAAGGGCAAAACCTAATTTTATTTATATCACCCCGACGCAAAATTCCATCTTATAATAATAATTTCATCTATAATTTTATCAGATGTTATATGTGACTGATCACCACACAATTAGCTTAAAGTCGGACTTTTTCAGAAGTGAGATACATGTATCTAAATATTTGGATTCTACTGAACAAGAGCTTTCCATTGGTAGGCCTATACGGCATTCCGAGGTACTGAAAGTTCAGAAATGGAAATAATATTATTGACCCCAAACTTTCATAGTTGAAGTTGTAAACTGATTTTCGAGAAAATTCGCATGACAATAGTCTGATATGTTTGTCAGAACGAACAAAATTGCGGAAAAGTAAAACAGGACACACAGATAAAGGTTCACCTGAAAACAAAGAAATCGACCACCCTTTCAAACTTGGTTTTTGGGCCCACTTAACTGCAAAAAGGCAATTTCCAACTGTTGGCTCATGTTGCGTTGATGACAGGTCATATATTTCACAGTATCAATTAAATGTCAAGTGTCACATTTTCATGAGTGGTAATTTATTGATTAGCCAATAAGTCAACGGGTCGTGTAGAAATGGATTTCAGTTGATGTAACTTTATCGGTTATCACTGTAGACATATACCATTATAGAAAGCAATAATGGCTCGGATCATCATTCATGAGAACATGAGAACCCATTAACCTGAATGATAGACCAATTTTACCAAATGTTGGGGCAGTCGGCTCAGGTTGTAAAAAAAAGTATAGATTTCTAAGTGTACTGTGTGTCACTGCTATCAACGTCATAATGACGTCACTAGCAGTTGCATCAATACTTCAATTCCAGCCATTCGTCGACGACCTATTGTCGGTGGTATAGCTTGGCGCGCGAACAGTGTAGGTTCCTAGCTAAAGAAAACTGTTTTGTATACAGAACAAGGCGAAATTACCTGAAATCGTCCATGACAGTCAGGAAGAAGAACGGACTGGTGTACGTGTGCATATATCATGTTTTCGATAGATCATGGTTCTTTTTGATCTAGACATGTCAAGTGAGGTAATGAACGCCAGCAATGCCAACCTTAGTCAGTATGCGTTAGGGAACATCTCAACTACGCCAATATTGTCCTACTACGGAGCAGGTGAACTGACTGTTGCAGGAGTTATTGTCGTGGTGCTCTTTCCAGTTGGTCTTCTGTCTAACTGCTCTTTTCTCTTTGTCGTCCTTTGCATCCGGTCGATGCGGACACCTTTTAACACGTTTCTGTCCAATCTCGCCGTGGCAGAAATCTCCTTACTAACCTTGGTCCTCGTCAGAACTTTGACTGCCGGTAACAACGAGACAGAGGAGACATTTTCAGGTAGCAATGAGACGGAGGAAACTTTTCCTGAAAACACCGACGAGGATGGGACTTTTCCTATCATCGTCTTTGCAATGATGGGCGCATGCTTTGCATCCAATCTGTTTGTCACCGTCGCTGCAGCCGAGCGATATCTAGCCGTGTGTGCCCCGATGAAATACGTCCTGATCGCCCGCGACCAGCGGCGGGCCGTCAAAATAAGCCTTGGTGTCTGGTTGGCAGATGGAATCTACGTGGCTTTGTTCGCACTAACAGTTCACCTATTCGACCGGCAGATCAAAATAGCCCTTTTTGTTCTGTATGTTGTCATCTTTCTGACAATCCTTGTAGCAGACAGCTTCTTTTACTTGAGTATTCTCAAGAGGTTGAGGAAGCGCCCTTCGTCGGTCCATCAAAGGCGCATCGTGATCAAGTTGGCCGCCACTGCGTTAGTGATCTACGCCAATGCCACGGTGCATGCCACATTGATGATTACAATGCACTTAATACATACGGAGATTGGAAGTAGCATCGTTCGTAATGTCTTCTTACTTTCCAAGGTTATGACGTCTACGATCAGCCCTCTTGTCCATGGTTTCCTTAGCTTGGACCTTCATGAGCTCTCGGCGAAAATCGTTTTCCGCAGTTGTTGTCAAAGAGAGCCTTGAACGCCAGGGTAGTCAGTCCGTCGCGTCCAGTATAAACAGAATGATGCATGCAACTTTGTTATCAGTAAATGAATTGTCTGGTTTATTCAAACAAAGATATATGCAACCTCAACCCATACGCAGCAACGTTTTGTCGATAACTGATCACTTTTATTGAGACTGATTCACTGATTACATTCATTACGACTGTTGCATAAACTAAATCATAGAGTTTATTTGAAAATATCGGTGTTGATACCATGAAGTAAGGTTAAATATAAGTCTAATAACGAGTTTTGTGTGATACATCAGCAGAATGAATTAAGTCGCTGTGCACGTGCAATCTTTGCCACGTACCCCATCGGAAAAACAAAAGCAAAACTTTAATAGCTTCAACCACCCATGGAAACTCTACTTTGAATGTTGTTATGGAGTAAAAAGTGAAATGTGACGGTGCTATTGACAAGCTAATTAAGAATGAAGTGTCTGTTATTCAAAGTACATGAGTTAAAGCGATGCACTTTTCTTAAATTGACTGTGCAACTTTCGACTCCTCTTAAATATGTACAAAGTATTTGACATGCATTTTGGTTAATTGTATTGACATGTGCACTTCTTTACACATTTTAAATTGTCCATGCTATACCGGACAACTGAGAAAGCTGTTGCTGTAATGTCATTTCAGGAAGACACTGTTCAGTTTAGGGGTTTGCAGTTCAAATTGTGAACCCAAAAATTGGCTCACTGAAAATATATGTGAGAAAGGGTTGCTTATTGGCTTACTGCCATGTAATTGCACAACAAATCACGAAAGAAAAGAACAGTTTTGACGTACAGCGAATATCCAAAATTGTAGCAACCTGTTTTTGTGCTGAAATAGCAGTAACATTGAGGTTTCTGCCTAGTCTGGTTCCCAGACCAAAAGATTCCGACTATTCCTGATGAATCTTAGGTCAGGTAGCCTCCGGTAATACAATGTATTACAATTTACATCACGTGACTAAAACGGGAGGAATTCCTCCTTTTTCCGAAACTGTCCGAAGTTTGCCGAATTCATTTCGTCGACAATCGGATAGTGTCCGAGTATTTCCGAGTATAATATAGGTTTTATTAACTGCTAATTGCTTATTAAAAACTTTAAAAAACTAGTAGATAATTAATATCTATTGCTTTTATTTAGAAAACTTGAAATTCAACAACGATTTTGCACTCGGATCGTATACGAGGGGCGAACTTTTTGCTGCGTCATGCACTAGTTTGAATTTGACGACCGTTACCGGCATTTTCCAAAACGCGGCGTGGTCTTAATTCGGCTCCGCCTGCTAACAGTGCTGTTTGGGTGTCCAACTTTGAAGATTCCAGGTTAAAATTAGTCAATGTTGTTTTACAGAAGTATTAAACTGTATATCATAACTGTATGATATATGAAGCAAGTGATTTATTTTTAAAAAAATTATCGGAACATTAAAAGCTTTATGTGATAAAGCGAATTCGGAAACGAAGTCGAGCTTGAAAAAGGGCCGTCAATGTCGTCATGTTTATTTTTAGCCATGGAGGCTGCCTGACCTACAATTTAGACGTGTAGACGTCGGGGAAAATTTTCAGGTCGGGGAACCAGACTAGTTTCTGCCCGGAATGACATCACAGTCTCGCTCATGAATATGGAAATTTGCATTAGCATAAAAAACAAATAGGCGCTAAAATACTGTTCAAAAAGGCAAGAAGAAAATTGAAAAGGAGGTTAAATGGGACAAAAAGGTGCATTTTCAAGGATAGCATTAAAAAGCATTGCTTGGGCGCCTTAAATGCTCAATTTATATATCAAAACTACATACAAGACTGCACTAGTAAAACAGGTTTATTGAGTTTGTGTTTGTTAAACTTCATTTTTTACGATTCTTTTTAAACCCATGTCCACGTTTATATGTATATTTACGTCGCATGTACATTTTGATATAATAACGCTTGTGTAATATTTTGAACACGACAGCTGTATTTTCACAGTGTTTGTAGTCCATTCACACTTCAGTTGTGGATTTGGAAGCGGTCAACGTTTCTTCAAGTCTTTCCTTTTCACCATCGTCCATTTCTGGCAGAGAAATATAGTCGTCCAATACATGCTACAAAACAAAACATATTGAACAAATCAGAGAGAATTCAACAAAGAGGTACTTGTTCTTTTATGTCGATTGTAATATTAAAAAATTGTGAGAGGGATGTTTTTAACAAATTACCGAAATGGGACTTCGCAAGCAATCAGTTGTAAGTTTGTTTAGTGATTGAACCCTCCGTTTCAAAATATGAGTTTTCTCAAATTTTGCTGGGAATAAAGTCACAAAATTAAAGTTCAGTATAAACCATCCATTCCGTATTTATATTTTCTAAGCTTTCTTATTGGCCGACTTTGTATGCCTGTTTTAACTTAAATGTCAAATTAAAAAAGGAACTAAAATTGACCTTATTCTTGACCTTGACCTTATTTAAACAAAGAGGGCGCTGTATAACATGTCATAGTTGGGTATAGAATCAAACGTGTATCCAGGGCTGTTGGTGTAATGTATTGTGGCCACAGTTTACAATGTTTGTTTTTATCAGATTAATTAAAAGCACAAAACTGCTTTAATAACCGAAATTTGATCTAGTGCTTGTACCCAGAAAATTGATTGTTACAGCGCCCTCAAGAGCTCCCCCAAAATGGCTGATTTTCTTATCCGACTAACAAAAATCCCACCTGTCTCGTCCGGGTTTCTGTAGGAACGAAGTCACTCTTGACTTTCCAGACCACAAGTCTTGGGTCCATTTTTGAGGTATCGTTTGCCCCTAGAAGACGAGAAAGAATAATGGATGCTATAGGCCTGGTAACTTACAATCCCCAAGACGGAACTGCATATTCACAATCAAAAATCCGAAGTGTTTATATTCCGTTTTATTTTATTTTATTTTATTTTTAAAAAGCATTCGTGTTTCAAGAAGAAGAAAGACTTTTGGTTTAAGTGTGCGGAAAGTCCTTTTTATTACCTGTGACCAAGGTAACGAAGAGTGCAACGATCGTGCTGATTGCAAAAGTTAAACCCGCAAACCATATTTTGTTCAACGTGAAAATTATTGGCGTCTGGTCAGGCCTGCAAAAAAAAAAAAAGAAAGAAAGAAAAAGAACAGAAAAAAATCAGCTTAATATACAATCACCAAGTCAAATGGGGATGTCACATGCTAAAGGTGCTCTGTTTTAACAAGGCAACCTCCAAAGACGTTTGGCAGCATGGGGAAAATGCAAAACCTCCTTGACATGTGCGTGTAGGGCACATCTGTTTAAGTGATGACAGAAATTGCTTCCTTGCCTGCAAATCACGTTTCAGTGACTGATCGCGCAATTCAATATGATGATCGGATACCGAGGGATATGATGACATGAAGGCGGCGATGTAGTAATAAATCCCACACGAAATACGTTCAAATTATCCTAATGGCCCATAATATTATACTCATTCGCGTGACAGCTACCGTAAAGCAGCTATAGATGGACGTTTTTTATGGCGCAATTTATAAATGAAATTTATACCATCGCAGTGTCTCATCATACTGTTTGATCCTCCCTATAATAAATTAGCTTTTAAAGAACGTGTTATTTGTTTGTTTTCTTTGTGTTTTTTTGTACGGCAAGTAATTTATAACACTGTCTTTCCCTAATGCAGTGTAATACTGACCTTTGGTTTTCGATATTTGACACAGTGATATTTGAATCCCATGCAGTCACTAACTGTGTGACTTCTGTGCCACTCAACTGAGTGTCGTTCAGGCAAAATTCTCCTGAAAGCTGCAGGTTCTGTGGAGGCGGAGCGTAGATAACACTCCCAATAGACATCGTCAGGGCTACCGCTAATCCAACAACGTATCCGGAAACAGCACCCTGTAAAAGTGCATAATTGAGAGCAACGTAAAAAAAGAAGTGTGACCTTATTGATCTGAGAAAGAATATACTAGCTGAAATTTCAAATGAGAATTTGTCAGTTTTGCCGAAAAGCTTTTACACGCGTGCTGTCTTCTAGAAACATTGGGCTTTTGGGTGAGGGTGGATTTCGTCACAAGCACTTCAATTTATCAGTGTATAAAAAGAATTAATCGTCGTCTAATTGTAGAGTATAAGTTTGGAGAATTAGAAACCCTGCACAATAGATCAAAACTATTAAAGAAATTTGTTTGGGTTTTGTTTGTTTGTTTGTTGGGGTGTTTGTATGTTTGTTTGGTTTTATTTATTTCATTATAAGGTTCAGTTGGGATGATTTTGCTGCGTTGCGTCATATTAATCAACATCATGTAAAAAAAAAAAAAAAAAAAAAACACCAGATTTTCGAGAAACATAAAATAGAACAATCCGCAACAAAACCACTTTCTGGCTTCATATAAATGACTTTGTGAAATCGAAGGATGAAGATTGATGTGTTTACAATCATTACACGCGAATTAATCATGCACTGGATATTGAATTTCCAATGAAAGCCTCATTTGACTTGACTGGTAGCCAATTTACAACGGCACTTTCGTTAATTTGAAATAACCAATTCATTAGCTTCTGGTCCACCTGTCACTGCTCATAGAGATAATTGATTTGATACCTTTGGTCCGCACCATGGAACAAATGCCCCGAGAACGTACAAGGCAAGCAAGGTACCATGGAAACCACCGTTCAATGTAACCATAACCTAATAATAAAAAAAAAAGAACAGGATAAATAATTGGTACTGAAATTGGTGAGGATGGCAAATTTTGATTATAGTGATTGGAAAATGTCAAATATTATAAACTGGTTTGATTTTTTTTCAGAGATTATGATTCCTACTTATAATTTGCGGCAAACGTTTAATGTTATAAGCTAAACACGTAAAGGCAGGGCCAGTAGCTGTGCATTTTTTTTTAATCTATAAAAAGTGCCAAAAATGATTGTACAATGCGATAAGAATGTTCATATACCGGGACTGCATCTCCAATAGCTGGTACGAGAAATGCTGAACCTAAGGTGATCACGGCAAACGCAACAACTGAAACCAAACGAGAAAACATGGATAAGGATTCCGTCCTCAATAAAACAAATTATTTGCATCATTAGGCAACCTATTTACTCTAATGATTAACGTCAATGAAGAGTTTGTTGTTTTAACTATGATGTTCAATAGTCTTAGCCGGCCAAAATGAGATTGATGCGCTTTCCCTTGTCTCCATCTTCAAAACTTGATAAAGTGAAAGCATTCATCCATTTCCACTATCTACAAGTGTTGTACTCGAGTCCATCACAAGTCTCTGCAAGTCCATCACAAGTCTATCGCAAGTCCTTCTGTCTCAAGTCAAGTCACTATATTTAATTGAGCTGTAACAAAAGCATTACATTGTTCTCGTCATCATGTTACTTGTCATGGACTCAACTACATTATGTTTATACAACACTGCTATTTACGACTGTGAGACCTCCAGGGAGTACCGCGTTAAATTGGTTTTTAGTATGTGTCATGCCAATTTGGTATAGCTTTTGGTATAGCTGTGTCATTGAAATTCACGTTTGCCTTCCGATAAGCGAGCCATATTTCCAGAACGTCGACTACATTGTATTGTCTTCCATCTATTAAAGCTTACCGATCATTTTCAGCACGATGGTATAGGTCGGATCTGACATCTCTTTCCAGATTGGTTTAACAAAGTGTTCACCCACGAGTGTTGCGTTAGCATTCAGTACAGAAGACAGTGTGCTACAAACAAATAAAGCATTTTTTTTAATTTGGCAAAGATTAAAACTGCTAGTGAAAGTCCTAATTAGACGCCATTGATTTGTTGTGAAATGGAAATTCCTCAACCGAGGATAAAAGTAAAATCCGTATAGAGCCTAGTGTGTATAACCCGTGGGGCCTGTTTCTGTCTCCTCAATCGCGTCCCGAGTCAGTCAGTCAGAAACTGAGCCTATTATTAAATTTCCTAAGCTGAGGCTTTCTAGTCTACCTCTGGTCTTGTTATTGACTATCACTGACCTGAGTGCTGCACCAAACAACCCTGCCAGCAGCAGACCTGGAACTGCCGGTAGATGACCAAAGACATCGACAACGAAATAGGGTACAATCTACAAGTAGAAAGAAGTATTCAACTTGCTTTTAACCAACTACCATGATGCTATGTTGACCGTTTGAATTTAGCAACCAATGTTGGTTTAATTGTTAATTAATGCAGTGGCGTATCATCTGGTGTGTATGTGGTGGAGGGGGGGGGGGTGAAGGGGGTATTTACCCCCAAAATTCTCTCTATGGCACGCACCCCTTTTCCCACGGGATGGGCGTGCCCTTTTTTTGTTCGTCCTGCGAACGTCGGCAATTGTACCGCCGTAAAGAGTGCCACCTATTGTCCAACAGTAACCATGATCGTCAGCTTTAAATAGCGCCCTCATATGAAGATGGTTCCCCCCTCCATCGCTTTTGATTTCATGGAGGCAGGGTGACTTACAGACGCTCAATGCGTCCTTTTTTTAGTGCACCCCCAATCAAAATGACCTTGCTACCCGCCTGTAAGAACTGAAGTCCAAGTTAATCTCCATGCTATTCGTTAACAAATATTGCTAACTCTAGTGGATGCAATACATTTAACAACTAAACTGTCTGAAAAGTGCGCATCAATTTAATCATGCATGGAAGAATTTCGAAAGCTGCGTGAATATTGTCTTCTTGGACATGATGAAATTAATTGACCGACTATTTAGAGAAACAAATATGCACCTGGTCATTTTTGGTGGTGTATCCCAGCGTAAGAGGGTCACAGCCTTCGTAATACGCGTAGATGGTGAAGCCTGCCAGAATGAGCAGCACAACGAAGATAAACTCGCCAACAATGTAGCCAACAATGCATCTGAAATACAAACCAATCACACACAATAGCCTTTGACTTATTTCAAATTATCTAGAAACCTTTTGGCAGGTCACGTTTGCAAATGAAAAAAAAAGATCCTGTCAAAATCTTTAACATTTTTCATTTGTATATTTCAGGTCAATCCAATCAGGCAGCAGTTTGCAGCGATTATGATTATTCACTTATTTTTTTACGAAAATAAAAAAAGTAAATGAAAACGATGACAATACTTTAACCATTTTGAAATCTTACATCCTGGCCATCCAACTTATTTTTATAGTGGGGTCTCAGTTGTGAATCTTAAAGAAATGGTAGATTGTTTGAATTATGCCAGTGGTTTCTTCATCGTTGTCACTTACGCTCTAGCAACGGCCTCTGATTTGCAGACTACGAACCGTTGGACCATGTACTGATTGTTGATCGTCCAATTGATGTACGTGATCTGCCCGACGGTGAATCCCCAGCCATTGTAGAAGTCAGTAAAATCCATATCAAACCTTCAAAGAAATGTATTAATATAAATGCTGCAATATTATCACCTGCGCCCTTTTTGACACTGATACTTTGTGACCCGATACTGGGTCAAGATGACACTTTTGCCGACCCGTTTGCCATCATTTCCGGGTCAAAATTACCCGGAAATGATGTCAAAAAGTGTCAGAAAAGTATCAGGTGAAATACAGGGTGGCGGTAATTATCAGTATGGTGAAGATTGTTTGTTTTTGAAGATGGCAAAATAGATTATGGGGTCGTTAAGTTATTTGAAATTTGATATGATTGTAGAACCTCATGATTGGTGATAAGAAAGCACGATGCTAGTTTAATAGTGATTCATGGTTCAGGGTATATATGAGATTATAATACTCGAAGAAGTTGGTTCTTTGTCCCTCTGATGCTATTCTCCACACATTCCCGAAGCCATCCAGCTCCATGCTGCCTTTGATGATGATTGCGATGACTGCCGCTAGCATGAGGATCATTTGAAGACTGTCTGTCCAAAGCACGGCTTTGATTCCACCCTTAAAAAAGAAAGGTAGATGAATGTTAAAAGAAAAAAAAATTAGGGAAGATGGAATGTTAATTTCTGGGTAACATAAGACTCATAACCAGCAAAAGTGCTGCAGCACTTTTTTTTAAATTGTTGTTTAAATTAACGTCAACACAAATTTTTATAAATAATTAAATGCCACATTAGCTTTGGGGTACCGAAAATGATGTCAATATAAAGAAAAGAGAAAAAACTACAGACTAAAGGTATACAGTAGTTTGTACCCCAGCTACCAATAACATGCAGGTACATTTGTGTTTGGCTTTGGTCGGGACAGGGTCCCAGACAAGATTCCACCTTATCGTCTGTGCGTTTTGTGTCAACGTATTACATTTTATAACTTACTATGACAGTGTAAATAGCGCACACTATGCAGGAACCAACGATAGCGGCCTCAAGACTAATACCAGTCACTGTAAACCAAATAAAATAACGGTCAAAAAAGGTTATCAATTGCTAAATATGCTTGCGTCTAGACTGTATGTTTTTGTAATTTAATCGGACTACAGGTGTTTAGGAGCGAGATAAATATTCGAAGGTAAATCTCGTCAACAAATTTAATCCCTGGCCTTTAATCGAAATTTAAAGAGTTTATGTGCTGTCAACTGACAAAAAATGAACTTTTGTCTTTGTTTCGCTTGTTGGGGTCGTAGGCCTATGGTGTTTGTTGTTTGTTTTGTTTCTACTATTTGGGAAGATGTTGAAATTGTCATACTGAAACGAGAACGCAATGAACATTTGTTACAAGTAATTGACTTAACAGATCTTACCTGCAGTAACAGCGACGCATGCAGTGTATGTAATCAATCCGAGATAAAGAAGCTGCCAAAATTAAGCAGAAAAAGACCCACGTTGCATTAGGCCAACTAGAAAAAAAATAGGTTCTCGTCCGAACTTTTTGAGAAATTGAAGTATAGGCCCAGCCTCAGCCGGTTGTGTACAAACTCAAAAAGAGTTGATAACATGTCGGCCATCGACCTAGCTAGTGATAAACCTAACCCTAAATTGTAGGGTTAGGGCCACGAAGGCTGCAAATTATCCTGGAACTGCTAAAGGTGACGGACCAGGTTTAATATTGTTGGAAACCTGTTACAGAACAGAGCTACCGAAATCATAGAATTCCTCCTAAATTTTTAACAACGGTTAATTGGAGAAGTACATGGAGATTGTAGGCCTATATGGAGTCTAAGTAAATTTAATCGCATAGGATTACATAGTGTTATCATGTGCGAATTGTTGCAAATTCACTGACCTCTAGATGTTTTAATTTAGGTGAATTGATGAAGCTTTGAGCTCTTTTAGGTAACATGGCCTCGATGACTCGAGTCAGTAGGCCTAAAAGCTGTTGTGTTGTCAATTTGCGTATGTTTCGCGTTTGGTCTGTAACTCTGCCTTAAATCATATTGTCAAAGCTGTAAGGAAATACTCACTGTAAAAAGAAGAAATGATATGATTCCACATATCTGGACAACAGTATTGAAGCGAAGGTCGAGGTACTGTATGGTGGAATGGAATAACCAAAGACTGCAAAAGTTACAAGACAGTTCCCATATGAAACCTTTTAAATATTTCATTGCCATTGTCGTATTTTTTTTTTTAGAATTAATTTATAAACTTGACTTTACAACTGCCATTTGATGCTTTTAATCAAGTAAATTGGAATTTAGGGTCACTTCATCGATGTTTTTGATAAAGATCAGATTTTTCAGCTTGCAAAAAAACAAATGTAAGTCTGTTACTGTTTGCGTGTTCAATCTTTCTAAGCATTCTTAAAGAATTATGCTGAGGCACAAGTTGGTGGGATTACCGTGTAGACAGACGTCATGCCAAGTCTGTAGTACATTGGCATGAAGAATAGCATAGAAAGCACTGCACCCAATGTCATGGGAAGCATAAACCATATCAGCATTGGACCGTGGTAGTACACATCCGCTGGGATTCCCTGCACTGAAATACCAGACGAGAAACTGGCGATCAGGGACAGCGTGGCCGGGAGGAATGACATCTGACGATTAGCGAGGATGTACTCGGACGAGGTGCGCTGTCGATCGCCGCTCAAGCCGTAGTACAAGCCTATGGCTAGCGACGCCAATAGCATTCCGCCGCATACAATGTAATCAGGAGCTTCGAAGTAGGAACGTGTGCCGAATTGTTCCGCCATTGTGTACAAGCGGCGAAGTCACCTACTAGACCTTATCTATATATATAAGAGAGAAGTTTACTCGCCCCCGAGACGATGTTTGCTCATGAAAGGATCCGAGACTGCGGGCTCCCGCGGCGCCAAAATCGCTCCACGTCCGTGGAAAAATGCGGAGGGTGTCTTCCGCCGGGTCGGACGCTTCGGGTCGTCCTAATTTTCCCGTACGGACCGGCGATCCGTTTCGTCGAATTTTCGTGACTGCGTTTTGCACAGGAATTTGCTGTCGTGTGCGCTTTCACGTTGACTGCCTGGTCGCCCCCCGTGCTGGCTTTCCTGCGTGCCTAGACTGTGCGAGGTCAACGTAGGGGTTTCGTTTACGTGTTCTACTCGGCTGTTCTGCAAAAGTGTTCACCAAACTTTAGTATGGGGTGACCTTGGTAAAATATTTTTTGTCCATGGTGCGTGGCCACCAAGTGTCCCTATTCTTTCATGTGCTTCGCTTGCCGCCCCTGCGCCGAGTGCAACGAATACTCAGAAGGACTACACATTAGTATGCCTAGCGCGGTCTGACCAATCGAAAGTCTACACTGCGTGGTACTTCCCGGCTATGCGTAAAACCGTCACTGGCAACGCGTACTGCAGCCTGCTCCACACCCTGGAAACGAGGTTGAGTCTACGGTGCTCGCTATTTGAAGCACAAGCATGTGACGTCGCGTGATAGAGTGCTGTTGCTTCCATAATGTGTTTACAGCTCCATGCTTCCACGAGCTCTATGCTTCCACCAAGGCTGAGCGTTGTGAGTTCGCTGCCCGGCCCGCCACGTCACAGTCAGTGTCGCGTTATAATTTCGGGGGCCTGTTTGGGATCAACGAAGGGTCGATGCATTGCTTCAAATATTGCGATCTTGAACGCAGTCACAAAAAAAAGAAATTCACCGTATTTTTCTATGGACGTGGAGCCATTTTGGCGTCGCGGGAGACCGCGGTCTCGGAACCTTTCAGGAGCGAACATTTCTCGGAGGCCGAGTAAAACTTGCTCTCATATAGATGGTTGACCAACTTGAATAAAAGTTGAATCGACTTTTTCCTCGCAGACGGTCTCGCAAATTGTAAGAAGTTCAAGTTTACGTTTGTTGAAGAGTCCAATACTGAAACTTAATTATGACCTTCCTCCATCATTCACACCGTTTGTAATTTTATGGTAACACTCAACATTTTCATTGCAAATGACAACTTCACGTTTGATTACATTATGATTTAGTGTCAAAACTGCACAATCAGCCTTCGCCTGTGTACTACGGTAACCTTTTCACTACGTTCTCCCGGCAATGCGACTGCCTCACAAAATGCCAATTTAACAGACCAACGGGAACATTTACAGACAGTTATCAGGGTACATAATTATCATGTGCGTAAATCGGTGGGGAACAGGGGGACCCCCCCCCCCACATTGTAAAGCGGGGACATTGTTTGGTTCCCCCCCCCCCACTTTTTCTTCCCCGAATAAAAATTGTAACCTACTACATGTATAATGATTCTATTGCTCAGAATACCGTGTAGCTGATTCAATTACCCCAAGAAATTGCCTCAGATCACACCACAAAAATTGCTTTTCTATAACTGCATGTCTCCTCAATGATCCCCCATTTACATTTAACTGCCCACATTTTCATCCCCAACACTACGCCCTATATACCCGATCTATGATCGGGTAAACCAGCTTGTAGACTATAACTCTAACGTCTTAAGTGTTCCGTTCGTCAGAAGCAAACAGCACAAGGACTTTTGACTCCTCCCGGGTTTTCCTTCGGAAAACTTCACAAGGAGACATGGAGCAAAACACAAAAATCACTTAATAAAATGCGCAAACTTGTGTAAAATTGAGCTGTTCACCTTTGTCGCGTTAGACCTTTACTCTTTGTACATTGTTCAAGTATAACCAGTGTGATACACAATATTTGTATAATCTGAAACCATTCCTGCAATAACAGGAAAATGTGGGTCCATACGCGCAGTCAAGTGGCTTAAGTCAACATTTTGTGATATCGTGACCGACTGGTCCAAAGCTCTTAACTTGGTAGATTCCTATAGTCCTATAGATGTCTTTAGAAGAAGCGACACCTAAAATTCATTTGGGAAGATTCCTAATTTGCATCAATCGTAAATAACTGCCGCGTATATTTCCCATATTTTGGTAAATTTGTATTTTGTTTAATTTTTGAAAAGTATATTTTTGGGATTCTACTTACATACCCTTACTTATAATAACCTTTTCTAAAGCACATGTAAATGACTGGATTATAAGGACATATGAAAGATCTCATTGGCTACCATTGTAACCTAAAGTTGCGCGCATTTACGTTTTCCCACGATTTGATCACGTAGTCTTTCCAAACCTCAGTGAGCTTTAAATTCACAAAGTTACTTACTGGCACAGTTACCCTAATAAACCTATATGGAAAATCATGTGAGCAATGATAACATCAAGGCGTCCGTAAATTGGGCCAAAAATTAGGCGAAGGGTTGGCCAACGTGGGACAGTTGAACAAGCTCAAGGAAATCTCCAAATCGCCTGAAATGGACGTCGAGTTAAAACAAAATGACAATCTAACAATAAAACAGCCTCAAGGATTTTGTAATATAATGCTGATTTATTAACAATTACTCAGGGGCAGATTCAATCTCTTTAGTTCAAGTACTGATTTCAACGATACGAGGGAACATCATAATTTTCACGATTTTTTCGACTGATTACACTTTAATCGGTTTGAACTTGTTTGTTTACTTTGAAAACAATACTGCAAACATTACAAAATAAAAGTTTCACCTTTGTAACTCGAGTATTCTTATGAAATGTTTAAATACACCTGCATGCATTATTTTTAAAACTCGACATTTTTTTTCCCGTCGTACACAATGTGAAATAAAACCAATCAACTAAATTCGCTAACTGTCATTTCAGAAATAATAATTTTTTAGATTGTTTAATTGTAGAGTAATAAAGATTGCAGAAAATATGTAGGGTATTTGTGTGAGTTTAAAAGATTTGCGCGGACTAAGTACGATTGAAAAGACGATCAAATTTCAATGTTTTTGTAATACTAACATCTGTGTGCTCATTATCATTATCATCATTATCATTAATCATTTTTGGATTCCTCAAAAGCGCCCTAGGCACTGTAGCTCGCAAGCCTGAAGAAACCTGTGGAGGGAAAACAATGAGAAGAAATTACAGTTTTAGAGGTGGGAGGAAAAGCCCAGAAGAATATTCTGAGGAAAACCCACGGAATCAGGTAGGGACTGAAAACCCAATCCACATATTGGCCCACGGAGGATTCGAACCCGGGTCACAGCGGTGGAAGGCGAGGAAAGTACCGCTACGCCAACCTGACATCAAATTCTAATTGAAGTCACAACAATAAACATTTTTAGTAAGTTTTACATTATATATGTTTCTAGTAGCATGTACGACCCGTATAATCACCTATTTTTTTCTAGCTACTACGCATAGTGCCATCACATTATTTCCACCGTATTTAAAACAAATGACAACTTTATATAGCACACCTTACTCAACATTATGGAATTTGAAGTGAAGCTTGCAAAGACAAATGAAATATATAAGATTGGCATCTTTATCAAATGCATGCCACATAAATGCCGAATAATCAAATATCGACTCCCAACCGAGCTTCTATGAGCCAAATAACTACAAAAAGCAATTATAAAGAATTATAATAAAACAAAATTCAGTTTGATGTAAACAATACAAATATTTAATAAACTTTGAAAAATAAATTGCCCCCTATATATTCGATGCATAGAACTGTCGCTAGACAAAAGAAAATCCCAAAACAGTGGAAGAAGTATAATACGATAACAAAAATAAAGAAACTTGCAAGGTGTGGTATATATAAATGGAATTTGAAAACAAAACTAAATACATTCATATAAATATAAATATAAATAAACATCAATATTAATAAAATTGAATTCCATGAAAATAAAAGTAAACAATGCTTTAGTTATGACAATGTGTACTTTGGCTTGTGAACTCTGCACCTGTCTCCAATTTATGCGTTGGTTTTTCTATTTCAAATTTGGTACATTTACTTCGAGTAGCCATTCCCGGTTTCTTCTATCGTTTTAATTTTAATTTAAATATAGACAACTTAATACCCCTGTTTGACCACTTTCAATAATAAACATACATTCCTACAAGAAATAATTTCCTATTTCTATTATTAACTCTAATTTTTTTTTAGAACCGGTCTCGAGCGTTGCCCATAATGTTCAGCGGGAGTATAATAAACAATTTTTCCCGATTCCGTTTTGCATTTATTACTTTGATTTGAAGTTTCTTTCCTTCAATTAAATGCATCATCAACTACATTTTTCATTTTACCATTATGCCTCTGCATTCTGCTGTTTTTATGTTTCCTCCCAAATAAATTGGAATATAAACTGCCTCTGAAAAACATGTAACGTTATCAATTGTCATATTCTGCTCTAATACTCTATCAATTTGACGGACAAAGAACTCGAGTAAACTGCCTCTTAAACCATCCCACAACCATACTTTAGTATTGGTATTTTTTTAAAATTATATTTCAACTAATGTCGATAGTATTATTAACTTAGAACTTCAAATCATTTTAGAAAATGCTATTTCCTTATTGTCTAGTGGTACCAAATTGATGTTACGATGTCAGTTTATATGTTATTAGTTTTCGTCATTGACTTTGCCATCCCTTGAGTATTTGTGGGGTTTTTTGTTCTTAAACTGGACTTTTGGGTCTTATTATTATTCAAATCTTCTTAGCACACTGTATCGATTATTGCAGTTTGACTACTTATCGTCGGTATACCAATCGTATGAGACTCGGAATCGTTCGCGGATTCTTGTCGACTTGGGCCTGCATTCGAGTCTAGACCTCCATCTAGCAACTCCACCAAGTTGCTGTCCTCCAGATTCTAAGGAATAAAATGAAGCAACCAACATTTAATGAGTAGGAACTCGGAATCGAAAGTGCTTATCCAAACCTTGAATTCTAAATTGTCGGTATATGCACATGTAGCGAATACTTGCCACGACGTCACAAATTCGCCTTCGCTTTCGCTTTCGCGCAGAGTATGAACCGGGCTTAAGTCTACAGACGATCTTTCACTGCGTGACGCGGCAAAAGTCGGGTTGGCTATCCGGCTAACTGCCAATTATAAGACATTTGGTAATATCGTGTGAGTTCACACGAGTTTCACTCTAGTTTGTTTATTAAATAAGTCTTAAAACTGACCTTCTTGTCTTCACTTGAAGTGAGATTGCTCTGGATTTTCCAATACACAAGTTGCGGGTCAAGCTGAGAGGTAACATTTTCACCTTCAAAACAGAAAAAGGCCTCAAAGTAAGTTGCATAAATAGAGGAGGGGCACACGCGGGGTACGGGCTCCCCGCTCCCCTTGCTCATTTCTGTCCTTTTGGGGGGGGGGGGGGGGTAACGTTATTTTTTGTTAAAAACCCATCCAGTGCCCCACCTGGAAATTGAGTCTGGAAGAACCCTAGTTCCGCCACCTCTAACACCAATTTACAAAAAGTAAAGGGTGAAAAACAAAAATCAAAATTGTTACTGTTGATCGATTTTAAAGATGTGGGTTTTTTGCTTCATACCTGTCACCAAGGTAACGATGATGGCGACAATCATGGTAGATGCGGTGATGACAAAGCCGTACCATATCTTGGACAAAGTGAAGAAGGTGGGCGTGTCCGGGCTGTGAAATAAAGAGGAGGGGTTTAACGCGAGGAGCCATTTTAAAATTTCATTTGAACAAATTTGAACAAAACCTTTTGTATTAAAACTGTATTCGTTGAGGTCAACACAGCATATTATAGAATTAACATTGCCCATCTAAAATCATCCACTTCGCTCTTTCACATCCGAAAGAACCGACTGAAATCCCTATTTTTTTTATACACATGTAGTATATAAAATAGAGGGCGCATTCTTTTCATCACAAACAAAATCTGAAGTTCATTCACCTAGATTATTGTTTCCCCTAAAACACTCTGTTTTAACTTGAGGAAAACAACCCACACTTTTATGCCCAATTACCTGTCACTGTTCTGGAATGGCACTGTCACATTTGCATCAAGCATTGTCATCGAATATGTCACACCGTTGTCGCCGAAGAAAGTCTCATTGAGACACTTGTCGGCCGATAACGGCAGATTGGGACTTGTGCTCGGATAGACGACTTTACCAATGGAAAGTGTCAAGCCAAGAACCAGTCCCACAGTGTAGCCAGCTATGGCACCCTATAGTATAAAAAGGCCATTTTTTTCATTAAGATCAATTCAATATGATTCGTTCTATAATAGCAAATATAAGACAATCAACAGATATGACACCCTATAGCAAATATAAGACAATCAACAGCTATAGCACCCATGCAATAGCAAAGATAAGACAATATGCAACTATGGTACCCTATGCAGCAAAGATTAGACAATCAACAGCTATGGCACCCAATAGCAAAGAAAACACCGTAAACAGCTGATTGTATCTGTCAAAAAGTCGTCGATTGGGCCAGCAAACAAACTTATGATACACAAGTTTTGGTACAGTCTTTTTGACTTAGTGCTGTGTGTATTGTCGTGACAACAATCACATAAATTAAAAACCGAATCGCACTTATGACGGCGTGAATCTTTGATTTCCGAAGTTAAACCGAATAACCGACGACTGTTTTAATGTTGCTCGAGTTTTTACAGTGTGCATTGCCAAAAAAATAGGAAATTTGTTATTTCTGCAATTCCTAGTCCTACTTTAAAATTACAACAAAAATCATAAACATATTCCTTCAGTAATCAACATTGTCTTTATAAATTTATAAAGACCTTTTCATGGGTTTCCCTTTCCCATTTGAACACTTTCTGGAAAGTGCTGGATAAGTTCAGTCTGAATTGAGTTCACTTGAAGGTTATACCTTTGAACCACAGCGGGGAACGAATGCCCCAAGGAGATACAAAGCAAGGACGGTTCCCTGGAAACAGCCGTTTAACGTCATCATCATCTGTGATTAAAGTTTGAAACAAATGGAAATGTTAATCAGGCGAAAAATTAAATTAGTGGAATGCTTGGCAAGGACAACAACTAAATACGACGGTTGGTAGAATTGGTGCATGGTATTCTCCTTGGATTATACGTCTGGAATTAGTGCACGGACAACCATATAATATATAATTAGTGCACGGACGACCATATAATATATAATTGAATAATGAGGTCGACTATAATACAATAAGCGGGCAGAAGTAAACTTACTGGTATTGCGTCTCCCAGAATTGGAACAAGAAACGCCGACCCCAAGGCAGTAAAGGAAAACAAAACAACTGAAAAAAATTGAATAGTTCGAGTTAATAATTCCCTGTATTATACTTTCCGTCATCAACAACTACATTATCGCAAGTGGACCAATTAGGGAGATACATTTTGCTGAAAAGATGTACCTTAGGGAGACAAGGTTGATTAGGGAGACATTGAATGTCTCCCTCATGTTTCAAGTCCTAATTATAGGCATGATTTATAGTCGCAAATAGCCTTATTCGATTCCATGTGATGCAAAACCCAAATAAACATAGTTTGGTGAGGGCTGGGTAGGTTAAGTTAATGGTTAAGTGTCATTAAAGTTTGGATTTGTTTTGTGCACAAGTCTACGGCAATGTCTCCAAAAGGTACCATTTCCCGTATTTACCTCCACCAAGGAAGTTATATTTTCATCGGATTTGGTTAGTTGGTTGGTTGGTTGGTTGGTTGGTTGGTTAGTTGGTTTGTTCGTTAACAAGATAACTCAAACAGGTATTCTTATGATGCTTTTGATGTAGCGAATTAGGAATTTATAGAGGCTTAAAAATAGACATTGGACAACTCAAATCCAAACACAGGAAACTTAAACTCTGCTTCCAAATAATTTAATATGACTACAGAAAATGGTACAGAAAATCATGATGAAGCCAACGCCCTGAAGCCAACTGCAACGAACAATGAATACGGGCGTGCTTATATAGCCACACAAGATTAGGAGGGTATTACAAGAATTTGTATTATAAGAGCACCACGTCTGGTATTACATAAGAGCGCCACGTCTGGTATTACATAAGAGCGCCACAACATACGCCACCCCTAACTGAATTGGCTCCTGACAATTTAATTACAAAATATAAACAAAATTCGAGCTATTCAAAATTACATTATTATTATTTTTTTTTTTTTAAGTTATAATATCAGCTACTTTATTCCATACTGGGTCGATCGTTGCGTGTCGTAAATGGGGTTAATCGTCGTCTCCATTAACCGCGTAGGACCTCCACACGTTCTCCCATCTCGTCATTCATCACATCACACACAGTCACTCATCAGGCTGGCCAGGCCGCAGGTTCCTCACGTGGTCCGACATCCTCAACGATCCTATCCAGGGCGCCACTGGAAGCTGCATTATCACTTAAGCATCGTAAACTAATTTAAATTCATAATTTATTTATTTTATAAAGCCGACTTTTATTTGCTACAGCTTCTACTCTTTTTAACAACTTAACACTTCTTTTTGTTCAAGAGTAAAATACAATTATAGTGACATCAGCAGTAAGTTTCATAAATTAATTTGATTCTTCTAATAATCAAAATGGCATAAAATGAGAAAGTCGATCACAAAATCAAGACAACAATATCAAGGCCACAACATATGCAATCAAAACAATTACAATGCTGATTGATTACAAAATTATTTAAAAAAAAATTTTTCTCTTTTTTATTATTATTATTTATTTATTTTTTTTTTTTTTTTTTGTGAGAGGTACCCGGATCTTCCACCATTTCTTATGATGCTTTTGATGTAGCGAATTAGGAATTTATAGAGGCTTAAAAATAGACATTGGACAACTCAAATCCAAACACAGGAAACTTAAACTCTGCTTCCAAATAATTTAATATGACTACAGAAAATGGTACAGAAAATCATGATGAAGCCAACGCCCTGAAGCCAACTGCAACGAACAATGAATACGGGCGTGCTTATATAGCCACACAAGATTAGGAGGGTATTAGAAGAATTTGTATTATAAGAGCACCACGTCTGGTATTACATAAGAGCGCCACGTCTGGTATTACATAAGAGCGCCACAACAGTATGGACGGATTTGCATGAAATATTTTTAGGGGTGGCCCTTGGTACAAGTACAAATCGATTAGATTTTGGAAGTGATCCGGATCTGGGTCTGAATCCAGGATTTTGTTTAAAGGATTCTTCACCAATTATGCGAGTATTTCTTGTGGGTGTGCTGGCAATACGGCGGGTAACTGTTTGGCCTTGGCGGAGGTTTGCGCTCTCTGAGTGCTTTCTAGTTAGAAGTCTGCATTCCCATTGAAATGTGTGTAATAACCTATAAGCGTTCTTTATTGATTGTATATAATGTCAAGAAGCCAGTATTTGTATAGGCCTACTAATTCCTTTCATTCCAATTAAAAACAATAAAACCTGTCAATATAATGTGATTGAATGACCTAACTTACCGAGTACTTTCAAGATGATTGTATATGTTGTGTCGGGCAGTCCTTTCCAGAAGGGTTTGACAAAGTGTTCTCCGACCAGTGTGGCGTTTGCATTCAACACCGACGACATCGTGCTGTAAACAGAGAAATACCACATTATGTCGACAATTTGCCTCAGTGACGAATGGGAGCAGTTTTATGATAAACCCTTGAATATCGTATTGGCCTTTTCAATATTTAGCGCCCTTTTGTTTTTTCTGGGTTTTTTTAACCAGTTCGTTTGTATCTATTGAATGGCAACATATTTTAATCCAAATAGCACATTTACACATTTCAGCTGATGTTGCATCTGTTGATTAATCGGCCTTTGGATTGTTGGTTGTGTTGTTTTGGAAACATTGACAATAATTATTCTTTTGCTGTGCAGTGCAGCAGCTGACGTCCGGGTGTATAGTTTGTAAACCAGTACGGTTTTCACGTAGCAAACGTAAGGTGTATGTTTATATCTCACCTCAGTGCTGCACCAAATACACCTGTCAGAAGCATACCAGGAGCGGCGGGAATATGGCCGAACGCATCAACGATGAAATATGGCATAATCTACAGAAAGACGAGATAAATTAGGTATGCACTGAATTAGTATCGCAATATCTAAATATATATAAGAAGATAGCAAGGAACGGTTTTACCTCCAAGATTTTCCAACATCGAATACCTCAGAAGTACCTTAGATTGTTTATCCATTGGTCGAGAACGTGCCACGTAGGTTGTTTTAAACCGCCGGTACAGCACCGCTGCGTTCTCTGCCACATCGGTCGGTACGCGCCGCGCGCCAATCTCCATATAAGGAGATTTTTAGCACTGGTCGCGAGAGGCACATACCATAGACATGGCCAGAGGGGTGTTTCACGAAACATAAAGTAAAATTGTTGAAGAAAATCGTTGGAGTTTTGTTAAACTTTTGGATTTATTCGGGCTTGGACCCTTTCACGGATGCGTAATCGATCGTAAACGAAAGGTGAACTAACTCTATTTGGTAAATCGGGGGCAGTATTTGAAGAAAAAAAAATCAGTTTTTTTCAAACGATGGTAGGCCGACCACCGTTGGGGCATTGATACAAAAATTCAATTCTTATTGAAGAAAACGGCACACTAGGAGACATGATTTTATAGGATGTTGGAGACCACAATACACTCTAGTAGGGTATTTTATAATAATTGTGTAGTTTTTGTTTATGTTTTCAAATGTTGTATATTACCATAAGGTAGAAAATCTGAGAAGTTCAGAAGTAAAAAACAACAACACATATTCGGCATGACTTTAGTAGGTTCGGTTACCTGATCGTTTTTGGTGGTGTATCCCAATGTTGTTGGATCGCAGCCTTCATAGTAAGCATATATGGCCCATCCTGCCATCGACAATAGAGCGTAGAAGATGAACATGCCGGCCACATAACCGATAATTGACCTGCGGAATGCAACAATGTAACCAAAAACAGTTTAATAGAAAAGACATATATGCACACACAAACGTTTTCTTTACAAATTGATGACTGTGTAATAATTGATATGCTTACAGTTACTTAAATACCAGGATTCAGTGACATTTTAATGTTTGGCTGATTGCGTTTTTATGAAATTGCTCATCTTCTTTCGTAAATGAAAACAAATACCAAATAATTAAAAACAATTACTGATTATTCATTTAATCCGTTTATTTTATATCTGAACGTGGCTTACGCTCTTGCTACGGCTTCCGATTTGCACATAACGAATCGCTGGACCATGTACTGGTTGTTGATCATGAACGTACTGTGAGGGATCTGGCCAATAATGAAACCCAAGCCGTTGTAGAACTCAGTCAGATCCAGAGTAAAACTGCAGCCAATGTTGACCAAAAAAACAAACATCCTTACAAATTCAATTGAAACTTTTTCAGCGAATGAGGGCGCTATAACGTACGATGCCATTGCCTGGATACAAACAGTTGAACTCACGTTTCAACTAAATTAGAACTAACTTAGAACCTTGAAATAAAATATATACTTGTTTTCTGAAAAAAAACCCAAGTATTCTGAGAGTGAGTTGCGGACGTTTGGGGACCGTATAAGGGTGACCCCCAAAGAAGTTGGGCAAGCAGATATCGTTGAAACTCTCAAAAAGTACCTATTACGTGAGTACTTCAGTTTGATGGAGCATATTAATTATACTCTTGTGTATAATCAGTGAAAATGTCATGGAAACCCATTCATGCAAACCAGATATTATGTCTCAACCGTTCCAATGGGAATTACACATTGCATTGGAAGTCACTCAACCAGTAGTCTGCAATGGGTCTTTTCATTAAAGTTTTAAATAATCTGTTGCATCTTTGGTTTGCATGAATGGATTTTCATCAAATTTTCGCTGTGATTATACACAAGAGTATTAATAATATACGCCATCAACATGAATTGCTGATGTTGGATATTTTTTGAGAAATTTAAAGATGTCTGCTTGCACAACTGTTTTGGGGTCACCTTGCACTTTTCCCCTTGTATTCCGAATTACAAATACATGATATAAGTGGGACCATAGGCCTACTGCTGACGATTTTTTTTTTACACACTATGCGTTTAGACTGGAACTTTTTATCAGATAGAAAAAAAGAGAAAGTGAATACATTGCAATTTATTGGTGAGAAAGCAACAGTTGTTTCTCGGAGCAAACCTAAAGAAGTTGGTACGTCCTCCCTCGTAGGCTACTCTCCAGGCGTTACTAAATCCTCCCACGTCAATGGAACCTTTGATCAAGATTGCGATAACCGCCACCACCATAAGGATCATCTGAAGACTGTCGGTCCACAGGATAGCTTTGATGCCACCCTGTGCATACCACGGGAAAAAGGGAATTCATTGGTTCATTTGTTTTATTTTGACACTTGTTTTAACAAGACTGATGAATTCGCTGTTTAGCTGTTGCGATTAAGGCTTATGAGAAGGATTCTCCTCAAACTGCGAATGTGAAAGTGGAGGCATTATCAATTGGAATATTTGCCTGTAAGATTTCATGAGAATACATATGCCATTTACACACACACAAAATGGTTACGCTTTTGGTGTACTGACATGTAGTTCATTGCTACAGTCCCTGTTGCACCTGTCTTACTGACTGACCGACTGACTGATTGACTGACTGACTTCCCGACCGACCGACGGACTGACCGACCGACTCACTGTCACTTGTTACTTAGACTTGTATAAGTCTCACCTCTGCCACAAATATAGACTCAGATGACTACGTATAGACCCCTGAGAACATAATTTGTCTGGAAGCAGACTTACTCCACTTGCTCAGTCTTGGAGTTTTGTTTGTTTGTTGGGTTATTTGTTTGTTAGTGTGGGGTTTTTTTGGTGTGTGTGGCAATCGTGGACGTAGGCAATCGTGGACGTAGGACAAAAGAATGTGGGCGCAAACAATACGTCCACGATTGACCGAACGTCCACGATCTCAAATCGTGTACAAAACCAATGAGAGCTGTCGCTAAAAAGTACAAACAAAGGAAAGAGGATTAGGGACAATGGGGCGTCCACGATTGCCGGCATTTACACATGTGTGGGTGTGTGTGTGTGTTTTTTTTTTAAATATAGCCCAATATTCCACAAGTAGCAGTTAAGCTGGATTCTTTCTCCACAACTGACTTAAAATCATTGAAAAAGCTGTGTTAATTTTTTTTTAAGTAGTCGCCATGTTGTAATTTTGGAGTAGGCCTACATTTTTAAACTTTGAACGTCTAAAGATAAATCTGATTGTAAAAGGCTACTTACTATGACTGTGTATATACTGCATATCACACAAGCACCGATGATAGCAACTTCAACGCTGATACCAGTAGCTAAGGATAGTAACATACAGATTATTATTTTTGGAAGGGGGTCATTTAAAAAAAAAAAAAAGTCACTGTACGAAATGTATGGTAATAACAATAGCGGTTCAACGTGCAAAACCATGTGAACTATTCATAGTATACAATGACGTGTTGTGACTTTGAAATATTGACGTGCTTTTTTGTTACACTTTGTTATCAGGTCGGGTTTAGAAGAAAATGCTCTATTTTGTGCAGCCTTTATATTATAATATGAACCATAAATATATGTTTGCGTCATAAATTAACCCGAAATTAAGACAAGGAAAGCATTACCATTTCCAGTAACATGCAGTTGTTTGCTGTTAATTTACGCGCTGACTGAAGAAACTTCATTCCTACAATTTACATGCAAAGCCAGCTTACACCTGCGATCTGCTGTTGTTTGTGCTGTTACCTTCAGGAAAAGAACATTATACCAAACAAAATGGTGATACAAAGCCCATGAACCTGGAAAAAATTGAAAACCTGAAACCATCAAAAGTGGATTCAAAAGTGAGTATAATCGTAGGAGATAAAAATTAGATACCGGTATATAGTGGAGCTGCTAAGCGAAAAATCGTGCACTTTGTGGTAAAAGCATGAAATTTGGCATGTGTGGTCAAAATGGGCTAAAAATTATTTTAAGATTGGGACCCATCCTGGATCTTGCCCATTTTGGGGGCGGAGCTTGATTTTTCAAAAAAGGGGGTGCAAACAATACAAACTCATGAAAACTGTATTTAACATCAAATTTCCTTGTTTTTTTACGCTTTGAAATAAACTTAAACATGAAATAAGACATTCTAGCATTCTAACACCTGTTAATTTTCCACCCATTTTGTGGGCGTGGTCTAAATGGTAAAAGAGGCGGTATATATTAGCAGTTTGGTTCTAATATGGAAAACGTCATTCAGTTTGGTGGTAAAATTCTGAAAATTGGCATGTCCAATTGAAATGGGCGAACATAATTTTTTGAGGTGAACGCATCTTGGATCTTGCTCATTTGGGGGGCGAAGCTTGATTTTTCAAAAAGGGGAGTGCAAAAAAAGAAAACTCAGAAAACTGTATTTTACATTCACTTTGTAAATTCTAACATTCAAACGTGTTATTTTCACCCTTTTGCGGGCGTGGCCTAAATATGTAAAGAGGCGGTACATTAGAGCAGCTTGATTCAAACGAGGGAAAATCATCATTTTTGCTGGTAAAAACACAACTTTTCTATCGGTTAACTATGTTTACCATACACTGTAAAGATAAGTTTAAACGGTTGCAAGACTAATTGTTACCCTTTTGTTCGCTCACCCTGTATACTTACAATGGCGGCATTTCCTAATTGTGCATATATGATAAACACTATGGGGATCACAAGGAGAGGGAGGGGAATTAGGGGCGGCCCAATGAAGGATTTCTTGAAAGTGCTCTTCTAATATGTTTAATATATATATATATATATAGGCATATAAACATAAAAATGTGCACAGAATATACGTCCATTCAGGCGCGGTTCTAGAACCAATATTTAGGGGGGGGGGCTAGCACGGTGGGTCCTGAACTTTTTCAGGGAGGCGTGCTGAAATGTTGACCGGTTATTTTTTCCAGACACTTAGGCCTCCGAAAATCAATAGGTGGGGAGGGGGGGGGGGGGGTTCATGCCATATTTTCAATGGGGAGCGCCAATAAAATCCTAAAATCATTCATGCTATATTAACTAATGTACCCTTGTCACAGCTATTTCTTCTTTAGGCGGAGACCGTTCGCATGTACATCACAATCCTTCTTTATGCTAATGCAATTTTTTTTACGGAATTTATTTTTTTTGGGGGGGGGGGCTAGACAAAATTTTGGGGGGCTACAGCCCCCCTAGCCCCCCCCCCCCCCCCCCGGTAGAACCGCGCCTGCGTCCATTCCCTGCAGTGTGTACTGTTGGATTTATATTAGATGGATGTTGGGACTTGGGGGAGTAATGTGTTACTGACTGAAAAGGAGGGAATAATGTTGGGTTTTTTCGAGAAATTATGTAACTTCTTAAATAATGCGTTAGCAATGTCCAGTTTGCTGACGTCACGATCCTAAAACCTCACGAAGTAATTATGTTTTTCTATATAATATCTAAGGGTAAGTTTGGTAAAATTTGGATGAATGGTTTTTAAATTAAAAATAGTCTAACTTTCTTGGACGTGCTAGGGGGTGCCCTTTCAGGCGTTTTTATGCCCCGCGGCGAAGCCGAAGGGGCATACTGTTTCTGCCTTGTCCTTCCGTGGGTGGGTGGGTGTGTGAGTTTGTCTTACATTCCCTATGTGGACTTGTGAACAAAAGATGTCCACATAATGCAGGTTGTGTTAACGTTATGTGGACTAAGCCGTGTCCACATAACGTTTTGCCCTTTCTGGAAAACAGGTTTAGAGGCATTTTTGGGTTAGGTTTATTCGTAGCAGAATGAAGAGAAACACTATAGGGAATCATAGAAAAAAAATTGGGTTGAAAGAGTTTTCACAGTTTAAGTAAAGTTATTTTTTGTACCGAGTTTTCTTAACTACACGAAAACAAAGGAATGTCCACACAAGGTATGTAACGTAAACCTGGGTGTGTGTGTGTGTCCGGACAAATCTTGTCAGCGGGATAACTTGAGAAATACTTAAACATATGAACTTCAAATTTGGTTCGTGTATTGTTCTTGGTAATCCTAAGAAGCCTATTGCATTTGGGACCGAAAGGTCAAGGGTCGATGTCACAGTGGCTGAAACACTAGAAATTTTGTCAGCGCGATAACTTGAGAAATACTTTACATATGAACTTCAAATTTGGTTTGTGGATTGTCCTTGGCAATCCTAAGAAGCCTTTTGCATTTGGGGCCAAAAGATCAAGGGTCAAGGTCACAGTGGCTAAAACTAAAGAAATTTTGTCAGCGTGATAACTTGAGATATACTTTACATGTGAACTTCAAATTTGGTTTGTGGATTGTCCTTGGTAATCCTAAAAAACCTATTGCATTTGGGGCCGAAAGGTCAAGGGTCAAGGTCACAGTGACTAAAACAAAAGAAATTTTGTCAGTGCGATAACTTGAGAAATACTTTACATATGAACTTCAAATTTGGTTTGTGTATTTTTCTTGGTAATCCTAAGAAGCCTATTGCATTTGGGGCCGAAAGGTCAAGGTCACGGTGGCTAAAACAACAGAAATTTTGTCAGCGTGATAACTTGAGATATACTTAACATATGAACTTCAAATTTGGTTTGTAGATTGTCCTTGGCAATCCTAAGAAGCCTTTTGCATTTGGGGCCAAAAGGTCAAGGGTCAAGGTCACAGTGGCTAAAACAAAAGAAATTTTGTCAGCGCGATAACTTGAGAAATACTTTACATGTGAACTTCAAATTTGGTTTGTGGATCGTTCTTGGTCATAGGCCTATCGCATTGGGGGTCGAAAGGTCAAGGGTCAAGGTCACAGTGGCTAAAACAATAGAAATCGTGTATTTATTCTGAGATCATAGGGTTTAGGGATTAATTCATATAAAACCTACACGAACGTGTTTGCTTAATTTTCATTCATACAGATGCGAGTAAATGCTTCAAAATTGGAAGTACCAGTAAAAGCAAATGCCATGTTTTATTCATACGAACATGGTATCATTTGTACTTTATGAACTTTGTTAATATTAATTTTTCGCGATTAACATATAATAAATGCTGTAGCTTTTGCGCAGAATTATTTGCTTTATAATTTCAAGGTTGCCCCAACCCAGCCTTGTGAATGACAAGTGCATATTTGAAATCTGAAGCATTTACTCCTTTATATTCATACGAAACGTACAGATGGGAGTAATGCAAATGCCAGTTTCCATTCATACGAACTACCGTATGGTATTATTTGTACTTTTTCGCGATTAACATTAATAAATGCAGTAATTTTTGCGCATAATTTTGTGCTTTTATATTTTCAAGGTAGCCCCAACCCAACCTTGAAATATGACAAGTAAATATTTAAAATTTGTAGCATTTACTCCTTTTTATTCATAAGAAACGAAGTAAACGCTTATAGTGTAGCAAAAGCTTAAAGGTAAAAGTATTTATTTTCAGAATTTAGCAAACGGTTTTTAGTAAAAGTGTTTGCTTAATTTTCATTCATACAGATGCGAGTAAATGCTTCAAAATTGTAGCAAAAGCAAATGCCATGTTTTATTCATACGAACATGGTATCATTTGTACTTTATGAACTTTAATAAATGCAGTAGTTTTTGCGCAGAATTATTTTGCTTTATAATTTCAAGGTTGCCCCAACCCAGCCTTGTAAATGACAAGTGCATATTTGAAATCTGAAGCATTTACTCCTTTTTATTCATACACAACGAAGAAAACGATTATTAGGCTAAAAAAGGCTCTGGTTTCTGGTATGCGCGCGCGTCGCCATAGCCATGCGCGTCGGCAATGTAAGATGATGTCTTTCAATGTAAGATGATGTCTCAAACCACCAAACTCACTGGTTCGACTGGAATCCTGCTGCTGCACAATTTTAACGTGTTATTTCTCATAAAGTTATTTCTCATGTCTAAGTTTATTTCAAGCATGAAGAACAAAGGAAAATGGATGTTAAATACCGTTTTTCTGAGTTTTTTATTTTTTGCACTCCCCTTTTTGAAAAATCAAGCTCCGCCCCCAAAATTGTGCAAGATTCAAGATGTGTTCACCTCTTAAAATTATTTTCAGCCCATTTTAACTAGACCTGCCAATTTTCAGGATTTTACTACCAAACCGAAAAATGTTTTCTATATTAGAACCAAACTGCTAATATATACCGCCTCTTTTGTACATTTAGGCCACGCCTACAAAATGGGTGGAAATTAACTGGTGTTCGAAAGCTAGAGTGTTAATTTTTATGTTTAAGTTTATTTCAAACCATAGAAAAACAAGGAAAATGGATGTTAAATACAGTTTTCATGAGTTTGTATTGTTTGCACCCCCTTTTAACAAAAATCAAGCTCCGCCCCCAAAATGGGCAAGATCCAGGATGGGTCCCGATCTTAAAATGAATTCTAGCCCATTGGGACCCCACCTGCCAAATTTCATGCTTTTACCACAAAGTGCACGATTTGGGCCAAAAATGGACCTAAGCAGCTCCACTAATATTTGCCAGCGATTGTTATCATTCGATCATTCTACGTGCTTAATACTCCATCTTCTCTTTAGGTTTATCATGCGTCACCCATGCATAAAATGCGAAATAACTTATCCCAATACCAGGTCATTTGATAATTATAAAGCAGGTGGTCAGTTCGAAAAGGAGGAGATCAGTTCCAAAAAGGACAAAAAAAATATCTCTAATCAATTAACTGAGACGAACCTGCCGCTACGGCCGTACATGCCGTGTAGGTAACAACTCCTAAGTACGAGAACTGTTTTATTGGTCAAAAGGTATAAGCGAAACCTAATTAACAAGTCAGAGAAAATTGTGTGATAAAGACGCAAAATATTCTTGTTATTGACAAAAAATCCTTCCCTCTAAATTACTAAAGAGGTTAAACATAGAATTTCATGGTATACCAGAACAAAGCCACAAGTGGAGCATAAATGTATCCGTCGCTGAAGAGTTATATTGATAACATTGAATTGCCAACGCCACCAAAAAAAATTGTTACTTTCTTTCCATAAATGTTGAACACATTTTTTCCCCTGTGATATACAAAATTCGAACTGTTGTCAGTCCAGCTGTAAATCAAAGCAGCGCTTAGATTTAGTGTACAACTTTTGCGTGGTGATTGTTTGTGGATGGTGCAAATTACCTTTTAATGGGTAAAAATCTGAAGTGGGGGTAGAAATCTAATGATTTGGATTTTAAAGAGTATTCAAAGATGGACTACAACTTCTGTGTAATTTGTTCTACATACGGTCATGTATAGACGGATTGCATTAAGCAGCCATCTTTGAGGTGTTTTGTTATTTGAATTCACTAACAATCAATGCACAAGCGGTCTATACTCATGCGCATCATAGTTGGACAAAAGCACGCATCTGCAGTGTAAACGATCAATAGGCTGAGTCAAAAAGAAAGTGACAGAGTTCGAAAAGAAATAGTGAAAAATATGTGGCTCGCTTTTAAAAAAAAATGAATTTAACATAGGAATAAAGAACATAATATATTATTGCCTATAGTAACTGTGAAAATGTCATGTAATGTGCATATTCTATTCACAAGTTATATCGATTTTAATACAAAAATCACAAAATTCGGCTGTTCACCACTGATCATTTACCGATATCATACGCATTGATGAATATCCTTTAAATACAACGAACCTTACCATGGAGGTTTTCCTACCCCCATGAATGAACGACAACTTGCAAAGTAGAACATACACAATCACCATCACCATTTCAGGAAAAAATTGTTCCTCATTCTACGAAACACAAAATGTTACAGTAATAATAACGTTGATGTCTTGATGTCTTTATTTGTATTTTCTGTGGTTCTTGCTCTGACTGCGTATATCTTAATTTTTTCCATGGACAGCTGTAAAAATGTATTCTCTTAGTAAAACATGCACAGCGTCTACTAGCACAGATCAATTTCAGTAATTGTTGTTGTGTCACATGAGTGGAAGACCATGCTCGTTTAATACACTATTCATTGGTGACTTCGATATATTTGCTTTTTAAGGGGGAAAAATCATTAATTTTAAGGCCACTATCTTTTTTGACTCATGTATACTTTGAATCTCGCGCTCAATTGCCTAAGGAAGTGTAGTTGAAAGATATAAACGATAATACCTCATTGGTAGTCATTCATTTTGCCCGATTTAAGATATTTTTCAGTTGGATAATCAAGGTGAGACTTACCGTAAATAGCAGAAATGACACCACCCCGCATATCTTGACGACGTTGTTGAATCGCAGTTCTAGGTACTGTAAAGAAACCATTGGAGCGAAGGGATGTGAATGTCCATGCCCACCGAATTTACCACAAAAATTAATGGCTCATCCAGAGCACAATATAGAATTTCCTCGTTAAATCAATTCATTCATTGCTCAACGTTAGTGCCAATTACTCCTTCATTCCATATTAGAATGACAGGTGTAAGCCATGATTGCAGATGAACGCATCAGAACGAACAATACCACAACATCATCAGTTCAAAAAAAAATGTTTAAAGGGTTCATGCGATGAATTTTCCTGAGGAAAACATTTTGTGCAACTTTCTACTCCTCTTAAATGTATAAAAACTATTTGGCATCCCTTGTTGGTTAAGGCCAAAAAAAAGTATCCGGTTTCTGGTATGGAGCTTGCCCAAAAAGTGGTGTGGCGACGCGGCTTTTTTTTTTTACCTGATTTTTTTTGCTTCAAATGTCGGCTGTTGACTGCAAATGGTGCCCGACTAAACTTAGTGCAAATATATGGGAGTCCAGAGAGGCCACACAAAGCTTATTTTCGACCATAACCCAATCTAAAAGCACGTTAAAATTGTGCAGCAGCAGGATTACAGTCATACCAGTGAGTTTGGCGGTTTTGAGACATCTCATTGAAAAAAAAACTTTTTCATTTTGCCGACGCGCATGGCTACGGCGAGCGCGCGCATACCAGAAACCGGAGACTTTTTATTTTGGCCTAATCTTATTGAAAAGTGCACCTGTTCAAAAAAAAAATTGTCCATGCTTTCCCGGTCAACTGAGGGCGATGTTGCTGTGATGTCATTTCAGGAACACACCGTTCCGTTTAGGGGTTTTCTGTTCAAATTGTGAACGAACAAAAACAAAATCCGCTCATTGAAAACCTTTTTGAGAAAGGTTTTCTCATTGGCTAACTGCCATGTGCGACATAATTAACAACGAACCACGAAAGGAAAGACAATGTACGACAGCAAAACATCCACAATTCTGGCGGCTTTTGGTGCTGAAATAACATTGAGGCTTCTGCCTGCAATTACATCACACTTTTGTTCATGAATATGGAAATTTGCATCGACATAAAAAGCAAAATGGCACCAAAATACCCTAGAAAATGGCAAAACGAAAATTGAAAATAAAGATTCAATTTTCGAAGATTGCATTGAAAACAATTACATATTTTGGAATCACTTAATATTCGGTAATGGTAGGTACAAATTGGGAGAATTTTCAATGTTATGTGATTACGCTGAAATTGTTATAATAATTTTAGTCAAGCGTTGGTTACATTTCACTTGTGGTCTGAACCCAATTTCCTGGCTCTGCTAACCACAGAATTCCACGCTTACGATCACCATTCTGTGCTAACCGCGCAAGCAGAAAAATTCCGTGCTAACCCTGTAAGCGCACAATCTTTAGTTACGGGATGTACATATGCGCATAAACCAACATTCCTCGCTAATGCGGGAAATATACTTACCGTAAGCACGGAATTTTCTGCTAAAGTAAGCCGGGATTTTTCGCTAACTGTAAGCAGAGCCAAGAAATTGATCCTGGTCTTGTGCTTACGACTTATTTATGATTTTAAATGACTTATTCCGTAGTAATTATTTATCAGGTCTATGATGACATGCTCTCATTGTAGGCTGAGTGGTCCTATCAAATTTCAGTGACTGATAACAACACAAAATCTGGAAATCTATTAAGCAAAAATTTCGACAGTTTGTTTTCCATACAGCTCTTCTATACTTTACATTATGCGATCGAGCTAAGTTTGGACACATAATCGGCACAACAAGAATGGAATAACAGTTGAATAACATACCTCGTAGACGGATGTCATACCCAGGCGATAGTACAAAGGCATGTAGAACATGGCAGCTAGAACGCCGCCAACGAGTTTAGGAATCAGCACCCAGTTCACCGACGGGCCGTGATAGTAGATATCGGAGGGAACTCCCTGGACCGATATGACGGAGATGAAACTTGCCAGAAGAGACAGCGTAACGGGGACGACAGTCATCTTGCGATTCGCAAGGATGTACTCCGATGAGGTGCGCTGATGGCCGCCGCTGAAGCCGTAGTACAGACCGATACCCATCATAGCTAGCAGCATCAAACCGCAAACTACGTAGTCTGCGGCTTGGAAGAACACACGGCTGCCGAATTTCCCCTCCATTTCAAGATGATGTTCCAAATGCAACGTTGGTCCAAAAACTGTGCTTAAAGTCGGTCCGATTTTATAATCTTCTCTCTGAACTGGACTGAACTGGAAACGAACCGGAAATAGCTGGCAACGATCACGACGTGTTTATTTCATAGGATTCAAGTTTGTGTTATTTAAACGGTGGACAATTAGGTAGACTGCTCTATTCGCTTCATCCCGTCTCTCATCTGTAATCAATACCAGATACCAAACGTATTGCGTGTGGTGCCCACCCCCTACCAGTGGTGGCCACTCAGCAGAGAGATTCGAGGAGACGCAAAGGATTGTGGGCTCAGACGAATGGAAAATTGAGATGTTGTTTCCATTGTGTTAATAATTCACGTGGAATTCCATTGTAATTTGTATACCGTTGTGCTTTTCCTTATGGATTTCTCTTTGGCTATTATGGTTTCAACTTGTAAAGTTGAAAATGTCTTTAATCAAAATACCAGGATCAATGCAGGATTTTCCTCTGTGCACGTCTTGACAGCTAGCCGTGAGTGGGTCTGTATATCGGTCTGAATGGTCCTGGGCCAATTACGCACAATGAACCATTTGCCGTGTGGCCGTATGGAAATACAAGTACTCGTACTCGTACTCGTACTCGGAAGTACAAGTTCTCGTATACTCAGCAACCTAAGTATTCGGCAGTACTCGGTACTCGAGAAAAACATACTGGACTACAACTTTTTTTCCATTCATGACTCTGACCAATTTAATTCCTCTTGATATTTTAATTGGTCGGTGGTAATGATAGAGAACGTAATTAACGAAGATTTAATTCCAATTAATTAATACAGTAATGTTTGTACCAGTAGGTTTCTGATTCTTATTAAAAAATCTTATTAAAAACCTGTTGGCATGCAAATCGTTCAAAGAAGGCGTCATTTGACAATCCTTCATGAGGATTTCTCAGTCTACATGTGGATAATTGATTAAACACGTTTCCACCTTGCTCGGTATCAACCTTCATACAAGATTTAATTTCATGAATTAAAACAATAGAACCACCGACGTCATTGGAGTCCTTTTCTCATTAGATTTTTGCTGGGTAGTCTTATAGGTTTACTGAGGTCATTGTATGCCGTTTCTACGGGTTCAATATTCGGACTTTGCTCTGGATAAACCTTTGCTATATCTATCCCATCGGACGCGAACATTTAGGGCGGTAGTGAAGCTGGAGTCTATTATGCCTGGGCATTTGGGGCGCCTCATTTTCCGGATTGGGACTCAATGGGATTTCATCAATATAAAGCTCGTTTTTGACTTCCCGAAATTTCTAAGGGGGAGGGGAGGGGCAGGTAAAAGAAGGAAGGGGCAACCCTCGAGCGGTGGACTATGATACCCCTGTGCCTCCATCCCTAGGGATAAGCCATTGATTTAGGACAACTATCCCATGGCGGTACTCATTAATAATTCATCTGTAAAGGACTCTATTTTGGTTAAATTGCTGTCTTTCTCTTGTATTTGGTGTCACCGGACACCCAAGTCAATTAACCAACTTCCGCATTTTTGATGACATCTAAGCCTTTTATTTTGTGCTATCGTGCATCATCCCGACTCGAGTACGGTCAGGATACTTCAACTGACATGCATGGGTAAAACTACGTTTGTGTTGGAAAATGCCACGCCCGCGGTTTGCCCTTTTGTACCAGGTATATACAGTTACAACTAGTTTCAACGCTAGATGTCTCTTCCGAGGTTTTCGAAGTCACGATATGTATGTATTTGTGAGTTGTCATCGTAAATCATGATTTCCATACCATCATTGCATACTATTTTATTATAGCTATAACTTATATTGGGCGAATTACTTAATATCCTTATTACTGAATTGCAAAAACGCATGTACATAAATTGTTTCTCAGTTTGTATGAAGTTACAGGTCTATTTGTAAACACAGTCAGGCATGACAGAAACCTCGCTGAGAATTCTCATTAATTACAGGTGATGGATCAATTATCAATTACGTTGCGTGAGTCTTTCAAAGATCTCAGGACCCTGGAAAAGTTGTTTGTCTAGGAAGGAGACCCGTAAAGTAGTATGTCTTTATTAATCAACATAATTCAAATATAACTTTCAAAACCGTGTCAGCTAAGATTCTTGTAGTGACTGGAAAGAAAAGTTGCTGCCAAATGCAGTAGAATACAGAAATCAGCCGACAGAAGTAAATTTACCCCCCCCCCCAAAAAAAAAAAACCAATGAAAATAAAAATTTAAATTTAAATTAGATATAACCAAAAAAATTTAAAAAGATAAAATAAAATAAAGTAAAAAAATACCCCCCCCCAAAAAAAAATCAATAAATAAAATAAAATAAAATGTAATAAGAAAACAATAATTACAGAAAAGAAACACACGGACAATTGATTGCCAAACAGGTCGACGCATCACACTATAGCATTTCGTCATGAATACTCATTTCACACCCCATTCCAAATTTCAATTAATGCACAGAACAAAAGATACACATCAAAACGTTAACCTCCCTCTATTAAAGGCACATAGGCCTACTTAGTGTAATAAATCCGTTATAATAATGATTTCAATGCTTTTATGACCCTAAAGATTGTTTTCACGTGTTGCTGAATTTGCCGAATTCATAACAGCATTGAGTTAGGTAATAATCATTTGGTAATGGTCTCAACTTGAAAAGTTTTGAGGTAAACAGAAATCAAGGACAAAAGAAACGTTTATGAAATCTTTAACAAAAAAAGAAGGCACCATAGCCCCAAATGTGGTATCAAATTAAAGGGGACAACAAAACCTTTCATTTGAATGATGTGCCAGTGAGATTGAATATAGTTAAGAGTATTTGTTTGTCAAACATCTGGTATTCTGCCTAAAAAGTATGGGTTTTAGATATTTATTTTGGCACCTTGTTTTAACATGCAAATTACAAGTGTTATTGTGAATTTTTTTGTAACATAGAGAAAAGGTTCATTTTCTATGCCAAAAGAGTTTTATGTTTTGCTTGATTATTAGTTTCTTAATTTAATGTTTAAACTTTTTACCAAAGATGGACGGACAAACTGTAACGTAAGTTACCGTAACGTAAGTTACCGTAACGAAAGTTACCACCATTTTAGGGTAAGTGGCCAACATCTGAAATGAGATTTCCTTTATTACCCTACTAAACAAATAGTTTAGTTACCATCAAATAAATGGTATATATTACTTTTGTCAATGCATGTCCCTTATGAGGAGTCATTTGAATCAAGACCTCCAAAAAAGTATGCATATCCTCTTCGTGTAACGAAAGTTACCAAAGTTAATTGTTGTATGGATTCCTACCTCCATGATTGTTGCCAAGCCCTCCCTGCCCAATAAAAAAGCTTTGCAGTTTGTATTCATATGTTCAAACAGACTACAGTGTTCAAATATAAAAAAAACAGTCTGACAGTTGAAACCAGTGCATTAAGTTGTGAGGTTTTTTTGTGCATGTCCAAGGGCCTAAAAATGTAACGAAAGCTACTGTGAAATTGGGCATATATTTGATAAACCATTAAGTCGGGGAATCAATAACACCATTTTTGTTATTTCAAAACTCGGACTCATCTTTGTTTTCTAATGACCAGCAATCATGATCATCCTACAGCCAACCCATCAACGTTGTAATTTATCGCTTGCATGCACTGGTACTATTGAATAACGCAGCGAAATTAATTTTCAAGGAGATCTTTCTTTCAATTACAGTCATTTGTCTTTAATCTCCGGTCATATGAAACTGTCGTTTAAATTATAGCGTCGCCACCAGCTGTCACGCTGTTTTGTTATACAATTATTTTTAATTATTTTTTTTGCACGGGAAACGCAACATTTGATAGTGTCACAAAATACGCTGTCAGTACTTAAGAACACAACCCAGGCAATTATGTTCGTCAGGATGGGTTTTAGCTTTACCTCAATATATTCATCCTGGGTAATTCATCTTGCTAAGGCCAAAAAAAAGGTCTCCGGTTTCTGGTATGCGCGCGCGTCGCCGTAGCCATGCGCGTCGGCACAATGAAAAAGTTTTTTTCAATGAAAGATGATGCCTCAAAACCGCCAAACTCACTGGTTTGACTGGAATTCTGCTGCTGCGCAATTTCAACGTGTTTTTAGATGGGGTTATGATCGAGAGTAACTTTATGTGGCCTTTCTGGACTCCCATATATTTGCACTAAGTTTAGTCGGGCACCATTTGCAGTCACCAGCCGACATTTGAAGCAAAAAAGTCAGGTAAAAAAAAAAAGTCAGGTAAAAAAAAAAAAAAAGCCGCGTCGCCGCACCACTTTTTGGACAAGCTCCATACCAGAAACCGGAGCCTTTTTTTTTTGGCCTAAACAAAGGTACACATTTTGTTTTTTGTTAAATCAATTACATCATGATGATTGACTGAGAATTACAACGCGAACTGCTGGAAATTTTATTTTTGGGAGATTCGGATTTTAACATTGATTTCAACCCTTCGCTGACTTCAAGGAACTGTATTCTGGGCATTTTCCAAGTGCTTAGGAGAAAACGGTTCAGATTGTTGCTTGTTTAACTGTGACTGGTTAAAAGGTAAAGTTCAAAGACAGCTGACCACGCCTTTAGGCGGATTAAGTAAAGATCAACCCCCCCCTAATATTTCCTTTGTGTTTCCCCTCCCAACCCTGCATGCTTGTGTGTCCCCTACATGTTTGTTTCTTATTCCTCTGACATTTGCCTCTATTGAAGACCTTGCTAAGGCTGAAATATCAGGCCGCTCTGCACTTACACTACAGCTGACAACGCCTTAAGGCGGATTAGATAAAGATCGCATTAGTTACTGTCTACCGGATCGCGGAGGGACTTGTATAGCTTGAAGACTGAATCACCTGTTGGATCTGTCATCTTAGCCGCGATAGTCGCCTTCAAGACCGGGCAGCTCTGATACCTTAGATGCGGGTCATCGGTCAGGATGATTTCCTCCAAGAGCTCGGCAATCTCCTCTGGTTGTTGGTAGGCCCTCGCGGCGGGCATCAGATCCTTCTCAAAGTAGTCTTTGTACATTTCTTGGCCCTTCTCCTCCCAGGTACCGCACATGTACTCCACTTTGAATGATGGGTCAAGGAATTGCGCCAGAAGAGGTGTCCAGACTGAATACGGCTCCAAAATAATTACCCTGTTTAAAAGCAATCAAGGAAGACAGGTGCTTTGATCTGATCGTATAATAGAAGAGCGATTAACACATATTAGACTGCAGGACATACCGCACGTGTCTATCATCTCGTATACACGTTTGATGACTTGTATTCCCATTTGCATTACTTTTTCGTCACTTCCATAGTATATTTTATAAGAAGCATCAGTTAGCCCTTTGATTGGCTGACCAGAGGTCACATGTTCGTCAAGCATGGTCCCTTTTAAGCTCATGGCCCTTTTTAGTTGATGTGGCTTTACCATTTGCACTATCCCCCCCCCACCTCAAACAAATCTCGTTGTCTCGTCTAATCTACTCTAGTAGCCTATGAGATACTCACTATCAGTATTTGTATTCCCGATCAGAATTGACCCATATACTATAAATTTCTGCTTTTACATCGACATTCCTTGATATTCTCCTGGCCATCTCTTGTTCTCTACATTCTCTATAATTATTTTTAAATTGTATGAGTTACAAAAACTCCATTAAAAGTATCGATATTGCCAAAAAGAAATGTCTGTGATTTTGCAAAAAATGTGCAATACAAAAGGCTTTTATAGGCCTACCTGATATTGTAACCTTTGCGAAGGACAGGTGCTAGGCTCTCAGAGAATCCCTCCAATGCGAACTTGGATGCCGAATAAAACTCTATGAAAGGAGTTGCTGTAAAAAAAATATCAACAAGAACAGACTGGTATTTGGTAAGCGGTTCGGTGGATGTGTGAAATGACGCTTGGTTAAGTGGTGATTGTGTACATGCTTTACGACAGAGGACAGATACACAAAAGGAGAACAAAAGATCATTTTAGTTTAGTCTTTTGTTGAAAACGGTCCTTGATCGTATACGGTTATGTGTTTAGTCTGTGGGAGAGTATTATATTACAGGGACAAAGGGAAAACACAAAGCATTGTCCTCGGGCGTATAGAAACTCGAAACTTAGTCCTCACGTTACCAATCAAACATGTTAATTTTATACCTTCTACCCCGACTCCGCTTGATGTGTTGATGATACGACCCGACCTCTGCTTTTTCATGGCTGGTAACACGGCCTGAATGACTCGGGCTGCGCCTAAGAAGTTCACGTTCATGAGATCTAGAACGCCGTCTACGGAGCTCGGTGGATTGTGAAAGAAGAAGCCAGCCTGATCACCCAACACCCCGGCATTGTTCACTGAAAAGAGGGGTTAACAGCTGAAATTATTATTTTAACATTTTTGTTTAAATCAGATAAATCTACGATATACACCTCTCTGGATTTCTATCTTGAATCGTGGTAAAGACTGCATTATATACCAGCACTGAATATTCATTTCGTTAGTCGAATACCCTGATAACGGACATTTTATAGGTACAGTAGTAACCTTGGAAAAAAAGATATGTTTGTTAGTTGGGCTGTTTGTTAGGGTGTTTGGAGTGTTTTTTTGTTGGGTTGTTTGGGTTTGGGAAGTACTTTGCCGTTGCCACCTTGGCTGGCAGGTTCGAAAGTGAATGAATCGATTACAAAGATAAGGCATAGGCCTACTCATCTGTCTATAGTGGAGATATACTTTGTTGAATATAATTATATGCTCCTCTAGGCCATGGGCCAAAATCTGTATCAGGTCTAGAAGTTGAGGTTCGTCTTAACTTTCTGGTGTCAGCTTGCAATAAGGTCAACTTTACTAAATTGACAGTGCTGAATCTGATCTGGTTGTTCACATTGGTCTAAATTGCACATTAACCTGATGACGATATTTTTTCTCATTATTTTACCCATTTTGGTCAAAAATAGTATTTTGGGCATAATTTCTATGTTTTAAGTTCAAATGCCTTCAAATTTGACACAACAGATAAATAGGAAGTCGGCATGAACAATATAAGTCCATTATTAAACGCGCGACGTGGTTTTTATTGTAGAATCGATCATTTCAAACATAAGCATGATGAGATTTTGACGTGGCGTTATAAGGATTTATATTAAATTTACGTACCTCTGTCGACCCTATACAACACAAATCAATCACAAGTAAATTACAAGTCATGCAGTTTTTATTCAAGTAAATAAGTGACACACTATTTGTTTCTCCATTTTTATCCAGGATACATGTTTTTGGTGTTTTTTTTTTTTTTTTTTTTTGGGGGGGGGGCGTAAAACTTGGCTTCCAGAGTCCAAATCGAAATAAAAGGCATCGCACAGTCTTGAAAAATTAGTACGTTAGTTGACGTGTAGGAGATAACGCTCGATTGGATATCCACTCCGTTCACAAGTACCCCCTCACCGGCAAAGCAAGTTCAGTTGGGGTTGACCGACCGACGCCATCTTGCCTGACTATGAAGCGCGGCCACTGCGTGTACATGTACATAGTACAAATCCCCTGGTGTACCTGCGTCACACACAAGGAACGGTGAGCGCCAACTAGCGAAATGTCCCGCCCATGGGACGTCGTCTGTGTACATGTACATGGTGATCAATGGTCGTTGCTAGGTAAAAGGGCGCCCTTTTTCGTCGGCGCACGGAGCCCATAGGGCGCGCAGACTTCAAAATACGCGCGCAGTACGCTCTGAATTAGCAAGTCAGCGACACCGTTTACGTATTCCTTACGGCCAGGGGTTTAATGAAGGAACGCACACGCGCCCATGGCCATAGAGGCGAGGCTGTTACGCAATGGCAGCGATGCATCGCGATCGCCCTCGTGTGGCATAGTTACATTGGGGAAACAGTCCCCTTTATTTCGAATTTGTGCAAACGATGTGGAATGCACGTTGAAAATATAAGTTAACATGTTTCAAACTACTTAAAACCGAGAAATGAAGTTGCCACTAAAAAGTTAAGACGAAACTGCACATTACAGGCTTTGGCCCACGGCCTACTCATTGTAATCACAAGACTCATTCTAAATAAGCTGCATCCGAGATACTCGGCTCCGGCTTGCAATTACATATGTGTATATATGGAAGTAGTTGAAGCCGCCATCCATAGCCACGTACTGCCGGCTAAGCCATACGCGGCCTGAATTGAGTGACCAGTAGTGCATGAAGTCTGGCATGAAACGAAATCGCAATAATACTGTGCTGCCACCTATCATGACTGTGTTATAAAGAGTCGGCCTGCACATAGCGCCCTCATTGCAGACGAGTTTTGTTATTTAAATTGAGAGAGTATGAAAGTACAACGTTGAGTGGAACAAAGACGTGTGCACAGTGAGGGCGCGGTGCAAGCCATGTATAGATTGCCCAGAAGAGTGACGGCACAGCTCCGCTACCATTGTATTTCGACATTCCCGGCCCGCACTCACCAACAACGTCGATCCTGCCGTCCACTCGCAATATCTCGTCAACTACGGCCTTGATAGTATCTTCTTTGGTGACATCCAATTTACGGATGATCAGCTTTTTGTCGAGGGAGTCACCGGCAGCCTTTTGCAGGTCTCCCTTTCCGTCCAAATCAATCACTGTAGCGTAAACCTACGGATAGATAGTAGACACCATTGGAGGGCGCTATTGCGAACGGGGAAACACTTTTGTTTTTACGCTACGTCCTATCGTGTCCACCATAAAATTGGCTAACCCTGAATACCACAGCTCTGCAAAGTTTGTCATCAAGGAATTTAGTACCGTGATGTCTTTTGTATTCAACATCCATCTATACCTATAAGCCTGGTTTGTCATTGGTAATTCGAAGAATGCAGAGACGGACTACTGTATGCCCTGTACTGTATGCCCTGTGCACCAAGAGCATGTACCTCGATGATGGAAGCAATGCAAATGATCTATACCCACAACTTAATATCAAGCAAAACAAAAAGCTCATTCAGGGCAAGAAGAGGCATTTTTAGTAGACGTTGGTAACCCAATTAGTTTACCTAATTTGGGTTGCTGAATCCGAAAATGATGGATACCGAGCTGTATTCAGTCACTTATATGCCTTAGAAATTGTCATCGAAGTAAGGAAGTGTAAGTAGAATCATCAAAATATTTTTTTCAAAAAATACAATAATAAAAAATATTCCGAAATATGGGAACAAATATATTTCACGACAGGTATTTAAGATTTATGCAAATTAGGCATATGTCCACTTAAAATCCAGCTTGGTATCTATCATGTAACAATTTCTTTAAAATATTGCCTCGACTAATGTACTGATCGGAATACATGCTTGAATCTTGCATGTCCAGTAGGTATATTTTGCACACAAAAATCGTCACCGTCACCACAAAGAGACACTAACATCGAAAAGTCGATATTTTGCGATTTCGATGTTTTTCCTGATTATTTTGTGACTAATAACACATAATCTATCACCTCAAGAATTTACTAAACACATAGTTAATTAGTTTTGTCAAAACATTTATTAACATTAATTAACGTTTGCAACTTAATGGATCAAAACCAGAAAATACCATTCTTTCGCGTATAAACTGCCTGCACACTACGCGTCAAAAACGGGTTTTGCGTTTTCACGAAGTGACACAAATGTCACGTGATATGCGCGACTCACTTCTGGCGTTTTCACGAAGTAGCGCTAGCCCATTAGCTAATACACATGGTTAGCGTCACTTCGTGAAAACTCGAACACAGCGTTATCTGAATTTTAATTAGTTTGATAACTCATTACTAGTAATTTTTTTCAATAAAAATCGTTACATTAACGTGACATTCAAGATCCCAGCTTTCAGACAATGTAACAAAATTTGCATTTTGAGGCTAAAACGATATTCAGACCATCGTTTAAAACATCGTCAAGTTAAATCGCTTGTATCTCGAAACACACATTTTCCACTTTGCGAGGGTTAGGGTCACTTCGTGGTGTCGGTGACGAAATGAGGTCACTAATACGACACTGATACCGTGAGGGCATTGTGTACGCCGTAGCCCATCGTTAGTTTCGTTAGCTTTTGACTACTAATAAAGAAGAAGACCTGTTACCTTGAAGTCATGTTTGGACACATTGGCAAGGTGCACCGCCTCAGTCAGCCCCATTCCCGTTGAACAGCCAGTTATAAGAACTACCGTCGGTGCCATTTTGTTCACTGCCGTTATTAAGAATGAACTGTTTTGATGTGGTTCTCAGTTCATGTGTTATAACACTTGAACCGACCTTTGATTTTTGTCTTCCAACTTGAGCCTTAAAATAGGCGATCAGATACCACACTGATCTATTTTCGGACCGAGCTTTGTTTAATCAAAGGGTGTGCGTAGGCCGAACTTCGTGATATCAGTTCGAATTCCACCCTATAAACTAACGCTTTACATGCACATTGTGCATGTACTGAAAACAAAATTAGAATTTCTAAAATTAGGGATTCGTCATGCGAAATGCCACTATTATTATTAACAGCGCCGCCGCGTGCCACATTCTGTGTATTTTCGTCCGCTTTAACAGCGCCCCCTCTGATGAGAAATTATTGTCTAGGACCCCAACATGGCCACAGCTAGTTAGTTATCCTTTTCCAAAGTGTTTCAAGTCGAGTGATTTTCACTCTTAATCGTCTAGTCCTGCAAGTGTCACTCTTTGGAAAAGAAAGAGTATAGGTTTTATTATTTTGGCAGTTTGTGCCAAAACATTGCGTATCCATGGAGCTACGGTGTAGTGTATAAAGTTAAAACGTTGACCCATTGGGAACACCATTATGATTGTCCACGGCAAAATACCAGCTAATCAAAGAGGGTTTTTTTTATTGAACCATAGAGAGATTACACGTAGACAAAGTTTTATGAAAGTGTATAGCAAGGGAAAGGATCGAGCTGTCCATGCAAGGTGTAATTTGTGAATACAGGGCCTCAAGAGGAGGGCGAAATGCCCCTTATCCTCCATTTCCACTCCAGAAGCCTTTGCATCACGGCATGACTTAAGATGTTTGGTGCGAAATAGCCGCCCGGGGGGATGTACAAGCAACAGTTTAAGTGCCTCTAACTGCTTTGATCCTTAGCGCGGTTCCACGTTGAGCTCCCAGCGTGACAATAATTTCAGCCGTCACCTTTAATCTACACCCGAATAACATCACCATCAAAACGGGGCAGGTGACGGGCATTGGGGCCCGACCGTGCTAACTCAATTTCAACCCGCCGAAGGAGCATTGGATCACGCGCTCGCACCCAAAAAGAACCCCGTCAAAAACTAATTTAATGGGGCGGCTCTGTTACAAAAAGGAAAGCCGCGAAATTCGGCTGATTATGTTATTTCAACATACGCAGTGGGGGGCGCTGTTTTGTCTGACTATTATACGGGCGGCATGTCACTGTTCAATGGTGTCACATTCTCGTCTTGTTTCACCGTGTAAGGACGAGATCTAGTTAATGAAAATATCACTTGGTCTGAAATCACATTTCTCAATCGAAATCGTATTACGGTCAGGTTGTGCCATGTCAGTGTATTGGTGGCTTTTCTTTCAGGGAAGGTTTGGGTGGTGGTAGTTGATACCTTCTCCTTAATTAAGTTTAATCAGGTTATTTCCCAAAATTTGGTCTGCCAGTGCCGTCAAAGATAGAGGGAAAAACTTTCGTTGTGTACAGTGTTTGTACCAACATCTTTTCTTTTCCTTAATTAAGGTATGTGAAATGGAAGGTATTGACACGCAAGGGCGGATCCAGAACACAATTTGGGGGGGGCCAAAAAAAAATTTGGTCCCCCCCAAAAAAGTGGGTCTAAAAAATTACGGCGTGGGGTTCGGGGCCCGTGAGGGCCCCGAAAAATTTTTGGATTCTAGATGCTCTGTGGTGCGATCTGAGGCAATTTCTGACCACTTTAACCAATTTTTTTGAGGAAAAGATGGTGGTGTACTCATTGCCTGCCTTTATTGCGATGTCACATTAAAAAAAAAAAATTGGTTTCGTTTTGGCGGGGGCCATGGCCCCCTTTGGCCCCCCCCCCCTGGATCCGCCCTTGTTGACACGTGAAAATGGAAGGTTTGTAAAATGGAAGGTATGGACTCGTATATGTGAACTTTTTACGTTTAGATGAAATTTAAAGTTTGAATTATGCAAAGTATTTTTAGAGGATTTTTTTTTCATACGCCAAAACAACGCTTCATGCAATAAAAACATGGCAGCATTATTAATAAATCTTTGTTGAACGCGAAGCAAAGACATTTCAAACGATTTTTGCAGCAATTTCTAGCAATGACAATTCTTTTTTTTTCATGAAAGGAATTCCTTCCGAAAATGGTACGTTTCCACCTTCAAATTAACGGAACATTGATTTCGTTAAAAAAAACACGTTCTGCTGCACAGGATTTTTTTCAAACAAGAAATAATGGCTTGGAATAGGTTCAATGAGGCGTCATCATGATGTCATTTTTGCTATACAACAAATATCAATTGTTTTGAAAACTGCTGCAACCTGCTTACTGACTGCATGGATTGACCTGATCATACAAATCAGCAAAATTGAATTTTGGTATTTTTAATATTATTTTCACGGTGCTTTGGAAAGTCCGTTCCGTCTTTGGGTATTTTTTTCTTGCTGTCAGTCAGGCCAGTCCTCAAATGCAGCTGCCGCAATGTATCACTACTCACAGTAGAAGAGGGAATAGAGGTAACGTTGTGTGGATATATGATTTATTATGATGCATATTCACATTATGGAGTCATTTATTCATGAACACTGTCAACCTTTTGAGGGGGCAAGCTTACGAGACCAAGGGGAGCTATATTAATTATTAGCGTCTAGAGAGTTGGGGCCTGAAATCACCGAGCAAGCCAAGTCGGTCGTGCCGTGGCGCTCGGGCCGATCCTATACCCGGGCTCAGTCGCGGATCAACGATTCGGTGTTTCGTTTCGAGATTTGAAGTGTCGACCGTCTTGATCACAGAAACACAAGCCCCTCCGGCAGTCTAGGGCGAAATAAGACATCATTGTTTACCGGATCAGAAGAAATCTATATCCTTCCATTGCTTGCGATCAGATGTCGTGGATAATTAGTAAATTTGAGTAGGAAATAACACTGGATAGGTTTTTTTGTTTTAAAATTCTTTTAACAATGGAAAGTTTGCATGGTGAGGATAACAAGTTAAGTTTGCGGAAACACCATGTGAAATTAATCCTTTTTTGTGGGATTTTGTGATGGTTCTTAGAAGAACCGGTTTCGTCTCGGACAGCATACTCAGTCCGTCGTCAGGAGACTGAGCGGATTCCAACTGGAGGTGGAGTCTAAGGAGTCTTGGAAGAAGCAATGAAGCATCTTAAACTTGGCGTGATCGCTGTTCGATACGGACGTAGGCCTATCTTGTCGAGTTAAAGACAACCTGAAGGTGTTACAATGTTTTTTTTAAATCGACATTGTGAACCGTCATCTCTTTATGCTTTCATTTATTTTGATCGGAGCTATAAATTTCTCCATCGCTTTACAAAACTGGCAATACGCAACACAATGGTTAAAACATCTGCAATATCACACAAGCCTTGTCACTGAAGCCACTCTAGCTAGCTCTTCAACTTCTTGTTCTTGTATCGCATTAATTTTTATTACTCCGTCCTGAAAAAAATTATTTAAAATCAATCTGTACAAATCTAAACTAAAGTACCGTCTTTTAAACAGTATTGCTGATTACGGAAAAATTGAAAAGCCTGTCGGGTAGCCGTCTGTCGCCTCTCGTAGGCTATCTGTCATTCTTGTTGGCCTATAAGCGTGGAGTTCGTGCACCAACGGGCCAGAAACGCGACAAATGTGACATAAATTCTCTGCAAGATCGACCCCAGTCCCATTACCTGTCGACCCCACTCCCCTAGTCGGTTGCGGGAGGTCTGTGGAATTGCACCTCGTGTATGCCAACACATCACACCCAGGGAATAAAATACTGATTAATAAACAAAATTACTTCGGTACTAAAACCGTTAAAAATGTGCCTTATTCTCGAGTCGGCCATATTGGATTGAGAGTGGTAAATCTTCACTTTTGGAACTTGTGCAGAGAAATGAAAGCAATGACGTTAAAAATTAATACCAGTCTGCTGTGATGAATATTTTAAAATGTGTGATAAAACATACTCTAATGTTTTAAGCCACATTTAAAAAAAAAAAATATGAAAGTGAGTTTATAGTGAATAGATAGTTTGGTACCATCCCATTCAACAGTTCACTATTTATTAAATACATTCAGGGAACGCGACAAAAATGGCCAACAAAAATGGCCAGCTATATGTACACGTAGATGTGTTTTGCGTGGAAATAAAAAGAAAATGTTTTTCAGCAAGATAATATTATGATTTAATTTTGGCATTTAACTTCAATTTCATTTAACTTCATGAATACCGAGTGCACATTTTGATTGTTCCCATTCTTCGCAGACATGTCCCATAAAGTTGTAAAAGAAATTAACGAGGACTTGTAATGGGCTCGGATCCTCGGTGTTATTGTTACGTCAGGTAACACTTTGCTTCAAGTCCTCAGTCGCACGTAAAGTTGACATTTTTTGTCTTTACATTATTAATGTTCATTTTCAAACATTGTCATATTCAACTTCGCAATTTATATAGATCCCCATTTTGTTTTATCATACTTATAAATGGAAGATTGCGAATTAAACCTAGCTGGGAATTACTGATGTGGTTCGTTTTTAAATGATTTTTGATGAGTAATAAATATTAAGGTAAATACAGAAAAGCTGACGCATTTCGGATTGGTCGTCGCCAGGGTGAATTTCAAAAAAGAAAGATTTCAACTCGTGATCAAAGTCGAGTGTTATCTTTCAAATTATTAACAATTACAAACTTTGAAAGATTCTTCAAGATCGGAACGCCATGAACTCCGAAAAAAAATATCTGCATTGTCGGGAAACCTAAGGAACTGACTGCAGTTAGTTTTAGCATCCTGAGATTCATAAGCTCTGAGAATCATAAGCTCTCGTCTCTTTAACAATTCACTCCTCCCCCCCCCCCCCAAAAAAAATATCAGCACAATGTATCATCGACTAAGCCTCTTTGAATTTGTTACTTTTGCCTCTCAAAGCGCCACCAAATCACCGTGTGCTTGACCCTCCCCGGCCCCCGTGGGGAGAAATCACACCGCATGCTTCAGACGTGCTGAACAGGTGTACCCTGGGCATTGTTGAGAAACAC